TCGTCATATTGCAGAACATCCCCGCCCGAATCCACATTTTTGGCCGCTAGCTCTCCGATGCGAAAGAAACCATAAAAAGCCGTCATAAACATTGCAGCATATCGCTTCCTTTGTGCCGACGAGGAATGAGTCGAACTCAGCGAACTTACTAACTGGTGAAGTAATGGACGCGATATTGGCAGTCGGATATCGGAAACTCTATTTCGGCTAGTTGCCGTCAACAGCTTTTGTATCAAAAAGGATTTCGTTGGGTCACCAATACCCCTAAGACGGTGAACATAGCCGATGGCCGAGACATATGAGTGAATAGTAGCAACGGCAAATTTTTTGGAGCTAAGGTACGAAATGAAGTAAGGCTAAGGCGTCAATTGACACAGGGATTAGGTGGGTTTCGCAACCACTGTAGAATCTAGCATGAAACTGCCGATAACACGTCCACGCACGCTGATACGCTTTTTGAGATCCGGCTGTTAGACTAGAATTGAGAAGTTCGTTCAACTGAGCGACCAATTCCTGGGCTGAAGGTTCTCGGGAACTGGCGTTGGGAATTCGTCCATTCCAGGGGATATTGCCTTGAACCGCTCTATCTGAAAACGGGAAATTAAGTCGGCGCGCTCGTTAAGCTTCCCTGGAAGATGACGAGCCGTAAAGAAAATATTGAATTTAAGAGTAGTTAACACCATATCCCTGATGAGAATCATAACTATCTTATGTTTAGACGTCTGCTTATTGATTATGTCCACTAAGGCAGCGTTATCGGTCACGAACGTCACACATTTATCCGCCAACTGATCCCCCCATATATGTAACGCAATTACGATAGGAAACAATTCTAATACCGTGATGTTCAGTGATTGCCAAGACTCGGGCCAACTACCATAAAACCAATGTGTTTTAAATAAAGCCCCGTATCCTTTAGAACCGGCTGCATCTGAAGTAATTTCATATCGTGAAGCGGACATTCTTTCATCCAGAAAAAATGTGCGACCATTGTATTGCTCCAAGAACGATAGCCAAATGATTAAATCACTTTTGGCGTCTTTGTTTAAAAGCATTTTAAAATGGGGCCTTCAAATTCCTCTCGTAAGATCGATTAGCCTCTGTAAGAAGGCTCTACCCGGCAAAACCACTGAACATGTAAAGTTTAAGAGGCCAATTAATGACTGAAGTTCGCGTAGTGTGACTTTACGCCTCTTATAAAAATCCAGCAGCATCGTGCGACATTTCTCGAGTTTGTCCTCGGGCAATCGAGCTTCCATGCGAATAGAATCTAGAGTAATCCCAACAAAAGGCAATTCGGTCTCGGGTCCTACGGTTTTCTCGGGCGCAATGGGAACGCCTAAGTAGTTACAAAGTGAAATGAACCGTGACAGTAGATTTTTGCAAGACTGCTTACTTTTGGCTATTAACAAAAAGTCATCCAAAACGTGTATTATCTCGTCGGCCTGAAAGATTTGCTTGGCGGCCCACTCGAGTGCCGTACTAAATCGCTCAAAAATGGCGCACGATGACCTACAGCCCATCGGGAGGCAGCGATCGAAGTAATAATTCCCTTGCCACTTCATCCCCAGTAACGGATAGTCCCCCGGATGAATAGGAATAATTCTAAAGGCAGATTTGATGTCAGTTTTAGCGAGATAACAGCCAACTCCTAAACGTTTTACAAACACTATTGCATCTTGAATGGACGCATAGCGTACCGAAGAAAAGTCTACCGGAATTCCTGAATTTACCGAATTCTCATGCGGATATGACAAATGTTGTATAAGTCGAAACTCATTGGGTGCTTTCTTAGGGACGATTCCTAATGGTGACACGACAAAATTATCGAACGGCGGGGCGCTAAATGGGCCTGCAACCCTACCGGCTTCGATTTCCTTGTGTAATTTATCCGTTACGATGTTTGGTTGATCGTTGGCACTAAGCAAATTTGGAGATTCGAAGCTTGATCTTAAATTAGAGTAATGAATATGAAACCCATATGAGAAGCCTTGTATCAAAATGTTTGTTAATAAGGGGTCGTAATCACGCAGAACTGAAGTGAGACGGTCAATTCTTACGGGGGTGACTGGATTGCTCTCTAGTAGACGCGCTAGCCGCTGTTGTTCCACTAGGCTTAATGCTCGAGGTTGGTTGCTCCCCTCCCTCTGAACAATTTCTGGCTGCGTGCTTACCTCCACATCGGGAGCAGATGTGAGTAAAGGAACATCCGGAACAGAACCTCCCGTTATTAAAGTTAAAGCATGTTCCTTTAACGAGAGGGATGTGTCGTGATTTTCCAACTCGCCCGGCGGCAAAGTTACCTCTCTGGGGACGAAAAGGCAAGTTAACTGAGGTGGCTTCGAGCCATAACTCTCACTGGACTTCCTCCCAAGGGTACCTATCGGGGGCGGACTGGCGCAAATATCTAAATTGCTCATCATAGTAAGCCCAGTTTCCGTTTTTGTTTGCAATGGCACGAACGGTCTCACAATATTTTAGCAAAGCGGCCGTGTCCCCCGCGAACTTCTGGCAATAAATGGCCATAAACGTGTGGAACGCCGTGACCCACTGCTGAATACTATTCAATTTACGTGGGGCGCTAGCTGGCTCTAATGTAATCTGCGGCTTATTGCCATTGCCTGTAGCCGAAAGCCCAAGAGCAAAACGCTCGTGTGGAACCGCGGTTTGGAGCAGTGCTCCAAGGTGTACAAATTCGTTAGCCCAAATTTTGGATTTGATTTTGTCGCTAACTGCACTTCCAAGGGGGATGGCGACGCTTGAAAAAAGGGGTGTGGTGGGCATACTCTGCACGTTAGGTGATACAATATTACCTCCAGAAGTCCCGGCAATAGCTTGCGTCGCTTGCACAACAGAATCCTGGACTATCGAGGCTGTAGTAGGCACGTGGACGTACACCACGGTCGACGTTGATGCTGCGTTAGTTGACGTTGTTACTGACGGTGGTGGTCGTAGCGCGTCCTGGACGGCCTTTTGGACAGCCAGAGAAAGGGCACTGGACAGCGCTGTAACATGTACTTGCATCGTGCCGTCTTGTTGATCAGAGGTACTATTTGACAAGCTGCTCGACGTGCTAGCGGTACTGGTTGCCATGCTGTTTACTGTAGAGGCAGAAGGGCCAGAACGTCTTGGACGCTTACTTCGTGGAGGCATACTTGTAAAGGATAGAGAGTGTTAATTTATCCAAACGTATTAATGTTCTCGTGTAACTCGTAATCTGTAGTTGTATCGCAATAACTGCCACAGGTCAAATAAATGCGGTATTAAAATTAAGAATTGTCATTAGATCGTACGCTCGTATCCTCAAATACATACAAATAGCTTGGGACTCCGAGTGCTATGGCACGCAACACAGGCGGCCCACTCATTTGGAGACAAAGCATAAAATCGACCGTGACCGGCCAAACAAGGCTCAAGGACAAACAATACGTTGTGAGTACAATGGCGAATTACACTACCAAGTACCAACGCAAAAAGAATATTTAATTTGGCGGTATGTCCAATAAAGAGGAAATAATGAGCTATAGTACAGATCTAAGACTCTAACTTTGTACATCATTAAACACTTTAAGTGATTGGATCGAAGCCCCCCTCAAACTTCGATAAAGTTTAAACTGTCCACGTTGGTTCAGATGAACTCCATCGTGCAATAAGAATGACTGTGTTGTCCTCCAAAATCCCCTGTGTCTCCAGTAAAATGCAAATGGAAGGGGCTGTAGGACAACGCGCAAATAATCCGTCAACGTGCGAATGCGTACGTTTAAGTGCGCGTTCTCTCTTAGTATAGTTTGGCACACGCAAACCACGGTTACGCCGAATTGTTCATGTAATAGCTTTGTTAGGTCCTCTAACTGTGAACCGACAGTTAGAGCAGAACGGATTGAACGATCACTGATATCGTTCGTACCCAACTGTAGAATAACAATGTCAGGCAAAAATTGTCGGACTATCTCCAAATCGTAGTGTATGACTTTGGCCACAGTTCGTCCCCCTACCCCATGCCAGCGCAGGTTCATAGGGGTGGTGATGTCAAAATCCTCCCGTAAAGCGTTTGTAGGCAGACGTACCAACTCATGCAAACGCCTGATGAAGGAGTGTCCCAAAATCAAAACCCGAGGTTCAGCCATAACTACACATCGAGAGAGAAAACTACACGTAAGCGCTACGCATGCTGCGAAGAAATAACAAAGTAGCGTACTTGCCTTAGCACGGTGCGTAGAAATTGAGTCAAAGACTGACGATGTTCCTGCGTTGCTATCTGAACCAACAATGAATCACAAAGCATTGATTGCATGATTTGAGCCCGCAAGGAATTCTAACTATTTCCCTATCTCCATCCCAGATGCAGATCAGACAAACAACCAGGAAATTAGCCCTTCACAAAAATGTCATTAAGCCATTAGCTTAATGGGTGTTATTATTTCCACAGGAGTTGAGTCCTGGTATTTTCCTCTCTTTCGCAACCGCACCCATGAAATTGGGAATGATGGCTTCAGAAAATTGAGTATACGTGTATACCCAAAGTGCGTTGCAGGTCAAATCATTGACTAAAGCTCCGTTGTTGGGTTCTTGGAAATAAATTTCCAATTTGCATGGATGAAAGTCAACCAATCTTTGCGGGGCATTCGCTAAAATTAAAAAAGCATTCTCCGGTAAAATCTTGTCCTGGTGCGGTTTTGATTGGTCATTTCCGAGTTCCAAAAACTCTCACTTTCAAAACGAGGCTAGGAGGAAGACCTTTGTTGTGACAATGAGTTGTATAATATATCCTAAATAGTGGTCACTAGAAAGCTGACTGGGGCCGGTAAATAACAAGCAGAAACTGAGTTCAATCAGTTTGTCAACCTGCTGGATAATTGACAATTTTGATAAGATTTTACTCATATACTAAATTATATTTTCTTATACATACTGAACACCTGTTTTGTAGGAAAACTCTCCATTTAACAATATTCAACTCTTAAGGAAGAGTACCCAAGTCCATATTTCACGTTAAATCTATGGCACTAGCGAAGTACTTTCTTTTCATATCTTTATTTTTTTATATCTCCAGTTTGACATCTACTGCAAACTGTCAGAGAAGATGCGAACTGAGCACGCGTAGTAATGGTGAAATGGCTATGAAAAATCGTGGTATAAAAGGACAGAGTTTTAAAAATCATGCGCTGTCCAATGCATATGACTGCCATGTAAAACACTTCCTTGAAAGATGTAAATGCCAAGCGTTCCAAATGAGAGAAAATCTGTGCGAGTTGCTGGATGAAGACAGATTTTCTTCTCCTGAAGACTTTCTCGAGGAAGAAGGATACGAATATTTTGATATGAACAGAGAATACGTCGACCAGGTAACTAATGAATCTTGCCTTTTAATACCCGTTAAAATGAAATAAATTGAACTGGAAGCCCAAAATTCGAAGCTACTTGACGTTTTGACCTTCATCAAGGGAAATAAAGGAACTGTTTTTTTTTTTAATCCGGTCGAGGTTTAGACCAATGATTGCATTTTACCTTTCCACATTTATCGGTGCTGATGGTGAAGTACAGGACGGTATTGTTTTTACTGGTCTTTAACATTCCGAGGTTGAAATGCATTTGGGAGTTTCCATTTTCTCTTTAAGAATACGCCAAAGTTATTACTTGCTTATTTAATTTTTTAAAAAATATACATCAGCCTTATATTAGTTTTTATTTCAATTTTTTTTTCTGAAAAAACAAATTGGAAGGAATACTTAAAGCTGGTTTGGTGAGAGTACCTGTGAAAGTGAAACTCGTGATAAAAAAGGAAAGGCGAGCAAATTATGTAAAAACCAAAAACATAGAACATATTAGAAGTTTAAATGCTGAAACAAAGAAGAATTACACAAAAAAATGATTATTTCATTCCATTTAGGAAAAAAAATTCAAAAGTCAGAGCAACAATTTCACAAATCATGTATTTCGTTCAAATCGCTCAAACTCGACGCCGCGCAAACTTGACTCGCCTTGCCACGGCACTGGAAGCTATGATTTTTGTCAACTAAAATTTTGATGTGAAACTCACAGAACTGTGCACACCGAAAATATTTAAGGAATGCTAATATGTTGCGAGGAAATAGCCAATAAGGTGTGAGAAAACTCAACTGCGAACAGCAACGGTAATAAGTTTGTGGTTTTGTGGTTTGCTCGCGTGTCCTGAACTTTATTGTGATTGTTCACTACACAATCAACATTTTTGAAAATTTTCGGGTGTTCACGGTTTTCTGAGTTTGACAGTAACATCGATCGATTGTGTGGGTTGATGTTATGAACTGTTGCCCGGCAGCCTCGAAAAAGGCAGAAGTTTCAAGGGGATTAATGTTCTTTGACCCGGGTACAAAGTGATCTAGCGGTCTCACTAATGTCGTTGCCGAACGGTTATTGATTACTAGCCAATTCTGACCTTTCGTGCATTTAATCTAAAACGAGGAGTAATCGGAGCTTAGGAGAGTGCGTTCGATATGTTCGTTGAGGCGGAAGGGTGGTTGCGATGTAGATAAATAAGATCATGGCATATTTTGAAGGTAAGGGTTGCGTACAGCGAAATCTCTATATAAACTGTGTATCATTTTAAGAACGTTTTCAAAAGATATCGTGTGCTTCGGTGTCAAGTGCTATTAATCGGAGGAGACATTGGCCAGCGTCGGACGTGTAAATGGAACAATTTGTTTTACTGGCGCGAGTTACAGGGCGCAGTTTCTCAAAGGCCGATTAGTGCTTAACCCGGGATTCTTTTTCTTTCTTCAAAAACATTTCTTCGGATAATTTTCTCTGTTATTTTTAAGAGCATCCAATCATCAACTTGTTGACAAAATGAATTACATTGAAGTTACTGGTTTAAAAGCTTTCACATCTGAATTCAAACTTCGCACTAACCATATCAAAGCCTCAAATGGAACGTGTGTGCGGCTCACGTCAATAACTTTTCCAGTAATTTGGTCGAGCGTGTTGATTTCAGTGACTCGAGAGTGGCGCTACTGTGGGCTGATTTATAAGTTTTTCCTAATAAATAACATAGAGTTAAAGTGTTCGTTTGTCCGGTGCCGAAAATATCACAAGTCATGGTCAAATGGCGCCGCCGAGCTTCACATCTCGGTAGATTTACTTTGTGGCACAACGGCTGCCGAGCTACACAACTCGTAAATTTACTTTGTGACAAAACGGCCGCCGAGCTACACAACTCGGTATTTTAAAATTTACTTTGTGGCATAACGGCCGCCGAACTAAACCCGGTTTGATGCATGCACCAGTAGTCGCAGACATTTTCCAAAGACAGTGACGAACCATGCTGAAAAATATGAAAGCTTAATCCAAGGTAAAATTTAACAGCAAATTTCTGAAAGATGAACGCTTTGGACGATTCAGCAATCACAGATCGATGTACGCTTGACGAAGATTCAGCAAACTTTTTAAAAGATGAAGGCTTTACGAAGAATATTAGACCTTAGCAAACCTTTGAAAGATGAACGCCGAGGACACAAGAATCACCACATTAGTTAGCGCGTCAAAGTGAGGCAAAACTTAAGCAAGCGCCTCAAAGCGAGGCAAATGACGACGAACGAAAATGCAATCTCAAGAAAACCTCCTTTATTAATTTCACAGGTCACCCAATAATGCACAGAGCACCCAACACAAATTAGGGGTTGCGTTCTCGTATCTCGAACGCAATAACTTCAGAAACCAGTATCAAAGTGTACCTATCAAATTATAACAGTGATTTTGTCGTTATTCCCACGTGCACTTTTAACAGAATTTTTATTCGTGTTTATACTGTATAGGCAACTGCAGAAAAAGCTTGCGAAGAGCAACCGTGCATTTACCAGTGCTGTAATTAGAGTACTTGCGCTTACGGAGGCACCTGTACTGAACTGCGCGACAACGTTAAATACAAGTTCAACTGTACATGCGCCATGGGGTACTTCGGAAGAGCAACATCTTGCAAAGAATTCCTGCAGAGAGACGATGGAACTGACCCGTCCGGAGTTTATCAACTCTTTGATCCAACAAACAATTCCGTGTATGAGGTCTTCTGTGATTTCACCTCTGAAAAGGGATTCGTTTTGACTCTGATCGAATCTTTCAGCTTTCGCTATAATGATGAGTTTAAGGATAAGGCATTTTACGAAGACCATCCCTTAAACCAGGAAGCCTTTACATGGAACAAGTTTCGTTTATCTTTGCCACGTATGAATGCCACAGTAAAACACTCAACGCACGTGCGAGCAACCTGCAACTTTAACACTGAAGAACTTAAATACGAAGATTACTTAAGGGCCAAGTTAAGCGATATCGATCTTATGCGCTCCAGTTTGGGTATTTGCAAAAAATTCGAATTTATTAGCGTCCACGGAAATAACTGTACTAACGACACGGCACATTTCGTCCAGAGGGATTATTGGCATGCGCATAGTGATTCGAATGACCGAGGATGTCCCTGTACCAGTCTATCCGAGGGTGCAGTGAAGTTCCCGGGAGGCGAAGATAACTTTGGATGGTATAAAGCAAGAAATCCGGTTCACAGATGTGTAGAAAGTAATGATTCTACTACACAGTGGTGGCTCGGGGTACAATACTAGGCTCTTTGATAAAGATCAGTCCAGCGCAGACATTCTCTGAACATTTTCAACTATCTTAAATGTAGACCTTGGAACTTTTGAGTTTTTTCTTTATTACCAGAACTGTAAAGGAGTAGTTCCCGGATAATGCAAGGCTTTCCAGGTGGATCCTCCTTTATCCCACCTCACTTATGCATGTTGCACTGGATTCCAAGCTTACGTTCTCAGTGCTCTGGTCTTGCTGTGCAGCACCCGGAAACCTTGAGGCTTTTCTTGGATTAGACGAGTTTTAATGCGCCTGCCACTTATGGATTCACCTGTATGGGTTTATTTTTGCGTATTTTATTGTAAATCTCAGAAAAAAAAAGTTTTAAATGAATTGGCGTCTTTCAACAGATCTTATCTCTTGCGACAGGTGTTTCACTATATTAATTCAATTTTTTGATGGATTGGGTGTTGGCAAACACATCTTAGGTTGGCGTAAATTAAAATCAGTATCATTGACATTTGTGAAACATGTAATTAAAACCAAGCCCATCTTGTAAATCTAGGTGGATGCGTGTTTTAGTCAGATACTTGTAAGTAAAACGGTAAAGAAACATTAAAAGAAAAAGGAAGCGTCCCGATTCCGTATCCTTATAGATTCCCAGTTACGACGGCTTTCCTAGAAGTAACAAGTGCAAACTGAGTAGTGAGTTGTTTAAATAATTTGGCACCCGACATTTGGTTAAACTAATGCCATTTTCTAGTAAATGTAAACATTTATTACATAAATTTTTATGTTAGATAGATAGAAACTTTATTTATGTGTCAAGAAGGCTAGCCGAGGGGCAGGCCGAGGGGCAGGCCCTCTACTAATAGGGGACACCTACAGTTAAAATATAATAGATACAATAATTACGTAGATAAAAAAAATCCATACAATATGTTACAAATTGTTAGCTAAAATACTAAAGCTGAGTACTAAAATGCTAAAATTGTTTCCGATGAGACATCAAGTATCACACAGAAGACATCCTTTGCATCCATCATCAATAAGAGATGTCAGATCCGTATTACGCATTCGGTTTCTAAAATCACTTAATGATTTACACGTTTTATCATTTTTGTCCAGCTTGCTCCATAAAATGGGACCTAAATATCGAAGGGAATGCTTACCAAATGAAACTGTGTTAAACCTGGGTAAAAGAAAGTCTGAATTTCTTAAACTGTAGCATGAACCACGAGGTTTAAAAATGTTGGTGATGGCTTCGGAACACATTTTAGTGTGTTTAACCTTGTACATTAGGACGCATATGTCTTGAAGACGTCTATTCAACAGTGTTGGCAAATTAGCCCTATTCAATAACTGATGATAACTGGACTTAGTGTCCTTATACATAGCTCTAAGTCCTCGTTCCTGAATTCTTTCGAGTCTACGAGTATCGCTTGCCCTACAAAAATGCCAAACAAGGTGGCAGTATGTTAAGTATGGCAAGATAGCTGATTTAAAAAGTACTAACTTTGCCGTGGTAGGAATTAGATTTCTCAATCTCATAATTACCCCAACCCTTTGACTAGCTTTGTTACATACGTCGTTGATGTGTTCGTTGTTTTTAAATACCAAGCATTTTTATGGTATATATCCCTGGAAGGAATACTGGATTCTATACCTTGCGTTGAAACAATAACGCTGATGAACAACTTTCTTTTCGTTTTAATATTATTTGATGTCTGTAGTTTGAAATTAACAGTCACAGGCTGTCAGAGAAGATGCGAACAAAGCAGAGGAAGTATTGCTGAAACGGGTATGAAACATCGTGCTATATACAGGGACACAGCTTCAAAAATTATACGCTGTCGAAAGCGTATGCCTGTCATGTAAAATGCTTCGAAGAGAAATGTAAATGCCAGGCGTACCAAATAGGAAAAAATCAGTGCGAATTGCTGGATGAACACAGATTTTCTGCCCCCGAACACTTTGTCGCAGCAGATGGATACGTTTATTTTGATATGAGTAGAGAATACGTCAACCAGGTAACCAATAAATCGTAACGACTTTCATTAAAGTGCACCAAAAACAAGTAAATTAGGGGCCTTAGACTATTAGCATTTCCACCTTTAATAATTTGCCAAAACAAATGAAAGGATTGAGAGTCGCCTTGAGGTTGTCATGATCGCGTTTTGTCAGGACCTCGTTGTTTTGATAGGCTAACACTTAATTGTTCAACACGCACCTCAGTTCTCATACTCATCTTTTTCCCATCGTAAAGGACATGTTTTCAAATTTTGTGTGTCTCTCAAAAAGTGCGTTCAATTTGTTAATTATTAATTACATCGTCCTCGTTTTGGACATACGAGGCTTACAGTTCTTCACATGGTGCAGTTGTTTTACGAATTGCCAAAGTTGGTCATTCACCAACCATCTCTAGTCAGTCATTTCAAGAACTCCCTTGTTTAGCCTCTTCTCGTATTTTATAAACAAGAAAAACCAACGGAAAGGAAACAATACCTTCATAGATACTTTTTTATTCTTGGCACTGTCAGTCTATAAAAAAAGGATTGTTTTAGGCCGGAGAGTACATATTTCGGATTTGCATGTGTGTGTGTGTTTATATTAATTTTATTTATTTATAAGAAGCTGACTTAAACAGCCACATCTTCTTTGGGAACAATTGACGGATGCGAAAGCCGATTGCCTCTGTTTATACTGCAACATTTTTAGTTTGCTTCCATTTTTTCTCAGGCTTACAAGAAAATATATCCCACCATCAAACATGTGGTGCTTCTGATAGTGTGGGAAGAGTGGGCGCATTTTGATTTTAACTTTGCTACGTTAAAAAATCAAGATTTTGGCAAACCTAAAAGTGGAGCTCCCATAATGATACTGATAATAAAGCAACAACTTAAGACCGTCGCAGAAATGAGTGCCTGTAGCATGGATAAGCTAAGTGCACTTTCCACAATGAAATAAGCCTTTACCCTTTTAAAACTTTGACTAGCGATTCTATTAATAAGATGAGCGAAAATTGTCAAACTATAACTATTCATTTATCATAATAATTACAGTTTCTACCTGCACTTACTTATAACACACCTTTCCCTTGTTGTACTTCTATTAGGCATCTACAAAAGAGGCTTGCAAATGGCAACTTTCCATTAACCATTGCTGCAATCAAAATCCATGTACTCACGGAGGGATCTGCACACACCTATGTGATGTAGCCGAACAAAAGTTCAACTGTACATGCTCTGAGGGTTTTTTTTGGCAGATATTGTAAAAAGTAAAGAGTAATTAGTCCCTTAGTTCTATAGCCAGATTTGACGTTCTTCCCTTGACCTCACCGATTTTTTGAAGCCCCTGAGCACAATATTTCACTGCCCTGCCTCAACATCTTCATACCCCCTTCTCTATACAAAATGAACTTTTGGCCTTATCCATGTTCTCTTTATACAAATATTATCAAAATTCAGCGAAAAACAATCCTAAACAGGAAGCCTAACAACGTCTGAAATAAGTACAAGTATGTTTTCGATTATTGGTAAGACTTTTCGCAACCCCCACTTCATTTCAACACACTATAACTACATCACCCCTTCATAACCAAATTAGCACTTCCACAGCCACCTCACTAAAACGCCTAGAATCACTTTTATCTCCCACAGTAATTATTTTTTGTTGCTTCATATAAAATTCTAGGAGAAACAATTTTCACTAATTAACAAACTACAGTCATTATATCACCAATTCACGTCTAATATGACTCCACGCCTTCCACTTTACGCATCTCAACCAACCCCTAAAATATACAACGCTACTGCACTATTCACACATCCCTATTAAATACATACAAAAAAAAAATCACACACGCGTAGTACATCGACGCCCAAATATACGCTCCCACAGCGTCTTGGTTTACTTGCTTCGATTTCTAGGGTTAGGAGGTCATTAAATGGCGTCAAATTACGGTGCACGCCATTACGTCAGTCACGTTTTGCTTAGATTTTGGAAATGATGAGTGCATTATTCTGAGGAATATTAGAGCCCGTATCGCGAGTGGTTTTCAAGTTATAGAGACTCCGCCCCGGATCACACTTAGCATAAAATAATATCGGTCTAAATAGGGTCAAGCAAAGAGACTAGTAACGCACTCCAAACCACCACTGAGTGGTCTAATCATCACTCGATACACATTTGTGAACCGGATTGACTGTTTTATAACATCCGAAGTCATCTTTGCCTCCTGGGGACTTCACTGCATCTGCAGATGCGCTGGTAAACTGGCACTTTACCACCGGAGCCCAATACGAATCAGTATGCACATGATAACCGTCCTTTTGGAAGAAGAAAGCCGTGCAGCCAGTGCAGTTATATCTTCTGATGTTAATGAATTCGACTGTTTTGCATCCTTCAGACCTCAGGCGCAGGACATCGATATCACTCAACTTGGCCCTAAAGTAATCTTTATATTGAAGTTCTTCAGTGTTAAAGTTGCACGTTGCTCGCACATGCGTTGACCGGTTTGCTGTGGCTGTCATACGTAGCAGAGATAGACGAAACTTGCCCCATGTAAAAGCTTCCTGATTTTTTGGATAGTCTTTGAAAAATACTTTGTCCTCAAATTCATTTTTATTGCGACGGCTGAAAGATTCGATAAGCGTCCAAATGAATCCTTCTTCAGAGATGGCATCACAGAAGACCTCGTACATGGTCTTAGTCGTTGGGTCAAACAGTTGATACACTCCAGACTTGCTCCCTTCGTTTTTCCATAGTTGCTCTTTGCAAGATGTTGCTCTTCGTTTTTGACAAAATCTGCCGTAATATCCCACTGCGCATGTACAGTTGAACTTGTGATCGGCGTCTGCACATAATTCAGTGCAGGTGCCTCCGTGAGCACATGGATTCTGATTGCAGCACTGGTTAATGCATGGTTCCTCTTTTTCAGCACTCTTTGCAAATGCCTAATAGTGCGAGGGGAGAATATCTTAAAAGTGTACATATTGATAATATTATGATTTACGCGACCCTCTCCTTTGTATGTGTACAATTAATATTTTACATATTTTCAGATGGAAGCTCCGCTTTTAGGTTTTCCTATTTTCACACGCATGCAAACTCCAAAATATTGCTGTACTACACTAAATTCACTGCTTTGTAAACCATGAAGAATATATGCATAGGTTGTGAAGACTGTTCGCCGCTCAGAGTTCCTCTTTTATTCATTCCATGCTTCAAGCAAAATAAAAATGACGAAAGATTCTTTTCCTTCTTTTTTGTTTTGTAGAAACAAGAAGCCTCTTTTCCCGAAACAAGAAAGTGAACAGAGGAGTTATTTAAGTGAGTACCAGATATTGTTCATACATCCAAAATTTTTCAGACTGGAATCTTGTTTTATTGACAAGGTAAAAATGAATAAAGCCGAAATGAAATCTCGACGGAACACGCCACTATGTTACTGTCTCCCTTTTTTTCTTTCTATTTTCATAAGATTGACAGAACTCATAAGTTACCTGGTGGTTGACGTATTCTCTATTCACTTCATAGTAAGTGTATTCCTTTTTCTCATGGAAGTCTTCAGGAGCAGAAAATCTGTCTTCGTCCAGCAACTCACATCGATTTTGTCTTATTTGGTACGCTTGGCATTTGCATCTCTCTTCGAAGCATTTTACATGACAGTCACACTTTTTGGACAGTATATAATTTTTAAAGCTGTGTCCTTGCATAGCATGATGTTTCAAATTCACTTCGGCAATACGTCCTCTGCTTTGTTCGCATCTGCTCTGACAGTCTGCGTCCAATTTCGAAGTGTAGATATCAAAAAATATAGAAACAATAAGGAAATAGTTCGCTAGTGACATAGTTGTAACGTTAACTATGGAAATGAATATTCTTCCAAGAGGTAAATTTCCTATCAAATAAACAATCTGTTTAGAATAAAAGGGAGTTTTGACAAATGAAACGTGATTTGTATAAGAAAGGGAAATGTCATGTTATACAAGCATATATCAGTTATGAAGCAGTCTTCTCTAGCTAAATGGTAAACTGTTTGGACAAACCACCAACTCAGTTTGCGCTTGTCATTTCTCCCAGTCGGCGTTCTAGTGATTGGGATTCCAGGATAAAGAATCATTGTCAGATTTTTCAGATTACATTTATTAAAAATGCACAAAGACATTAATTTATGAGATACGCTGAACATAATTGGCGAATGCTGAGCGAAAAGTCAATATCCTTCACATTAATGAAAAAATTGTCTACTTACACCCAACAAAACTGACTTCACCTGTCGCAAGATAAATGAAGCATATACCTTATCTTGTAAAGCCTTTTCAAATGCGGTAAAATCGTCAAGAGCGCGAAAAGAGAGCACGATTATTGCTGAAATGACAGTTTAAGAAATATTTCCAGCCGTATTTGATGTTTGGCAATTTTTTTAATGTTAAATAGAAATATAACTATATTTATTAAAAACATATTTCAATAATTCAGTAAATAAATAATCACATTGAAAGTACTCGAAGTACCTCTAGGAAAAAAATTAATTCGAATGGCACCCGAAGCTATCAATTTTATTATCTTTCAGAACTAAAGACGCTTCAGAAACTAGTAAAAGTAAATAGTAAATTTTACGACTGGGGGGACAGTGTTAGCCACGCAGGAGCTCCTGTTATCAATATTTCACTTCTGCGTTTGATTTCTCCTGTGTTAATTAACTTTAATTTCAAAAAATTCAAAAAGGATATTGATATAAGCCGCGTCACAGCAACATAACTGGTTGTAATTTATCCCGTGATACGTCCGCCCTGTAATATACAATGTAAGCAGAGATGTTTCAAAAAGGATCGTATGCGGAACATGGTGAATTCCTTGCGCATTGTTTCAAAATTCAGTACTATATCAGCTTATATTAGATTTAATAATATGCCTGCTATATATTATTAATGTAATGTTTAAAACACGAACAGCAGTGTTTTGTCACTAGTTAGAAATTCGAGTGCTGCAAGATCGAATTGTCAACCAGTGATAAAATTAGTACGGTGGGTGTTTCAGCAGCTTCAAGAACGGCCCCGGAGAATTTCCTTTCTATAGAATTCGAATAATGCTTTTAAAACGTGAAAAGTGAGAAAATGTCAAACAAAAGCAATCAAAATAGAACTGAAATGCTAGTCAGGTATATAGCTGTGCAAAAATTAAATAATTCAAGGCCTAATCGCCATTGTTTTCTCTATTTTTGGATCTTAGTTTGTAATATTCTTATTATCCGTCTGGCAAATAAAGAAAACTAAGAGACAAATTCTCGTTAACCTTTAAAGGTTAAGCTTGAGTTTCTGTCAAAACGGTCTGGTCTATTTGACTAAAAAATACTTAAAAAATGGTGACAAATAATCTAATAATCTAATTTCGATAGGTTAAAACAGTTTGTTTTCGAAGAAGTTCTTATAATAGCAATGTGTTCTTTCAGTAAACAAAATAAAACCTTAACGTTATCGTTTGAATCTAATTTGGAGCCCCCTGCATGAAATTTATAGACCCCGTTGCCCATACGATCTAGAGAAACAACGCTTTTTACTATATTTGATTAGAGTATTACATGCAGGATTTTGAAACCAGATATTTTGGCGTGAAATTGAATTATTTCGATACACTTTCCATTTCTATTTAATGTAAAGGTAGTTTACACAGCCGATATTGATAACCAGAGCACCTGATTGAGTAAGATAGTCGTAAAATTTAATTTAAAGTACGTTTAGTTCCCACACGATCTTTAGTTATATGGCAAATAATTGATATCGTTCGTATAGAGGAGTTAAATTTGTACTTTTTCCAAAAAAGATGATTATATTTTCCTAACACTGGTGGTGAGTACAATCAAGGTTATTCGGTATTTATTTTGTTTGTTTTTTACATATTTATGTATATTTTGTATTTAAAAATTGCCAACTGTCCAAGACAGCTACAAGTATTTCGTTAACTCTCACTCAACTAATCGTACCTTCTTATGGCATCCTGGACCATTTTATCACATATGAAATGACTTACCAAAATCAAATTTATCCTCCTACAGATGAAGTCAATTGTTAATCTTCTGCTGTTGGTTGTTCAATAGCAGTCAAATTTTTGATAAGCTTGAACAAAATTGACATTGGAACAACAATCGCTATATAATTATATTTAGCGTATCTCATAAATTAATGTCTGGGTTTTTAATTACGTGCAGTAGCCGGCAAATAAGCATTAAATGCATCGTCAAAATTAATCTGGGTGATGAGGATTCGCTATCCTAGAGTCCCAGTCGCTAGAAAACTGATTAAGAGAAATGACAAATACAACTGACAAAACTGATTTGTTGAAACAATTTGTCACTAGCTAAGCTGTGTAAATGCTTATTTCCATAAATATCTTCACGTACATTAAATCTCCTTTCCATATACAAAGCAAATTTCATTTGCGAAAACGTTCTTTATTTTGAACAGATCGCTTAATTGGAAGGAAATTTCAACTCTCGTTAGAAGTACTCTAATCCTTTTCTTAAGTTAGCATGACACTGGCGAACTATTTTCTTTTCGTTTCGATATTTTTTTATGTCTACTGTTTGAAATTGGCCGCAGAGAGACGATGCGAAGAAAGTAGAGGAAGCATTAGTAAAGTGGGTATAAATCATCGTGCTATGCAAGGACACAGCTTTAAAAATTATACGCCGTCGAAAGCGTACGACTGTCATGTAAAATGCTTTGAGGAGAAATGTAAATGCCAGGCGTACCAAATAACACAAAATCGATGTGAGTTGCTGGAAGAAGACAGGTTTTCTGCTCCTGAAGACTTTCTGGAGGAAAAGGGATACACGTACTACGATATGAATAGAGAATACGTCAACCAGGTAACCGTTGAATCTAAAATATGTCTCCCACTTTGCTAAAGGTAGACATGAGAGTAATCATTGCATTTCGGCTTTCATCATTTTCCTCTAGTCAAATAGTCAATAAAACAGGTTCCAATATTTTGATAGATCGAAATGGCTTTGCACGGTTTTGGAAGGTTGACGTTTTGAAATACTGGTAAATTAATGCATCTCAAAGAGATATTCTGTTTTCTTGTTGCTCTCTTTTAAGAATGTGGTGATTTAAACAGGGGCACCCAACGAGAATATAGTTCAAAACCACTTAAATATAGCATTGTTAAACGTGTTTTAGTATTTAAATGGTAGATATAGGGATACTTTTATCCACTAAAAATTTTTCATCTGTTCGGATTTCCTAACTGAAAGTCTCTTGATCCGAAAATTATAGGGATCAAAACTTACCTTTTCGAAAATTTCAGCCAGGTGACCTTTTTAGGGTAAAAATCCGTTAAAAATGGGCAATTATACCATTTTTTTTAGATATTCGAAGAACCTAGGACAGACAGACAAGCAAGAAATTTTACAACAAATGTTCCGAAAACTGTAGATCTCAAATCGTCTTCCGAACAGATATTTTCCGAAAATTGACGTTGGGTGCCCCTGATTTAAAGTCCTTCCCCTTAAATTTAAGCATCTTTGTTTCTTCCGAGACTATGGTCTCTCGTTTGAAATTAAGAACTTTTGGTTACCCTTCCCCTTATAGGTGCAGTCTGTTCGAATCCTAGAAATTTTGCATGGATGAACAATATCTGTAACTCATTTCAAATGGCTCCCGTGTTTCCTTTCCTATTTTGAGACAAGGGACTTGTTTACGCAAAGCAATAACGCTCTAAGCACTAAGCTCTTTACAAAACATGCCCATGTTGTTGACAGTTTGTAAGGCAAGGAATTGGTTTAATAGAGTAAATATTTCGGAGTTTGCTTGGGAGTTGGCAAACCTAAAAGCTCAGCTCCATTAAAAAATAAGTGGGAAATATTCATAAAGCACACTATAAAAAGAGAGGTTCTAGCAAATAACATTATAATATAATGCATAACGATTATTCGTTCATGAACTTTTAACATGCTCTCCTGTTGTACTGTAGACATTTGCAAACAAGGCTTGCAAAGAGCAACCACTCTTTAACCTGTGCTGTAATCAGAATCCATGTGCCAATGGGGGCACCTGCACTGAGTTACGTGAAAACGCTAAAAACAAGTTCAACTGCACATGCGCAGTGGGATATTACGGCAGGTATTGCCAAAAACTAAGAGCAGTATCTTGCACAGAGCAGCTGCAGAGAAACGAAGGAAACCAAGCTGGAGTCTACGAACTGTTTGACCCAGCGAATAGGTCCATGTACGAGGTCTTCTGTGATGCCATCTCTGAAAAAGGGTTCGTTTGGACTTTGATCGAATCTTTTACGCTTCGAAATAATAATGAATTTGCGGACAAAGCATTTTACAAACATTATCCGGTAAATCAGGACGCCTTTTCATGGAACAAGTTTCGTTTCTCTTAGCCGCTTATGAATGCCATAGCAAGCCGCTCAACGCACGTGCGAGCAACGTGCAATTTTAACACTGACGAACTTAAATACAGTGATTACTTGAGGGCCAAGTTAACCGATATCGATGTTATGCGCTTGAATTTTGATGGGTGCAAGAAATATGAATTTATTAGCGTACGAGGATATAACTGTACTAGCTGCACGGCTCACTTCGTCCAAAGGGATTTTTGGCATGCGCACACTGATTCGTATTACGGTCCAAGGAAAGGATGTCAGTGTACCAGGCTATCCGTAGGTGCAGTGAAGTCAAGACGAGGCGAGGATAACTTCGGATGGTATGAAACGGTTAATACGCTTCACACTTGTGTATCGAGCAATGATTCGACAACTCAGTGGTGGTTTGGAGTGCGTTACTAAGCTTTTTGATTAAGATAGTCTAAGTCAGACATTCTTGGAACATATTTTTTTTATTAACCTAATAATCGTTATCTTAAATGTGGACTTTCTGGTTAATTCTTTTAGGCTTTGTTACCAGAACAGTGAGACAGTGAAAGTTCCCAAGTAAATCAGGTGACCCTGCCTTGAATCTTCCCGAATCGCGTGTGATTTCAAGCCAGTGTTTTAAGCTTATGCCTTGCATTAGAAGCATCAGTTTTTATCTTCACCCCTCTTCTATTAATTCTTGTTGAACCTGTTTTGTTGCTGCCACTTGTTTATTCACGACTCTGGGTTGATTTCTGCGTATTGTATTGTAAATATCAGAAAAAAAAAGCCTTAAAAAATTTGGCGTCTTTCGGCAGATTTATTTAAAATCTCGAGCGATAGGTGTATATATAATCATCTTCATTGGTTAATTTTCTGCTGTTTGGCAAACACATTATCGTTATAGCTAGCATGAATAATGATTCATTGACATTTCGCTAGACAGAAACAGCTATGTTAGTAAAACTTATCAGTCATAAATCAGTGCAAAGGCGCGTTCTAATTACTACACTGCCTTGGATATTGAATGTTGTTGTTCGAATTGTAAAAGTTAGAAATGCACCAATGAACACTCTCCACTTCATTTCAAACAACGGTTTTTTTTTCTTTTTTTATTTTGTGGAAAAGAAGCAACAACAACAAAACAGACATGGAAAGGAAAAACTATCTCTGTAGATTCTTTCTTAATTTGACTCTTGCTGATTATAATAATTTATGGCAAGGATTAGTTAATGAGAGTAAATATAAAATGGACAAAAACATTTACGTAAAAAAAAAAAACTATATAGCTTCACTTATCCTAGGAGTGCTCAATGCATAAACATATGCAGAGCGAAATACAGATGAAAAGAATAGAAGTTAATGAAGTTGTAACTCGGAGTTTCACCCACTAAGTGTTCATCACACTAAAAATTCTGAAAGCAGATTTTGGTTTTAAGGTGGAAATTTGAAATTCATGGACGGTTGGAGAAGCGCGTTCTGTGATTGATTGATTGCTTAGTGCGTGAAACTCCGAGTTGCAACTCTATTAACTTCTATCCTGTTTATTTGTAGGAGTAAATATATATATATATATCTTTTTTGTTATTTTTAATTGCATCTCCGCAATAATTAGTGCGTGAACCACTGAAGTCTTATCCAACTTAACCTGAGTCACCTGAATATTGAACGGCCTTTGCCATCGGGGGCCAATTCACTCAAAGCAAATATAGAATAGGTCGATGGGCAGACTGAAAAAAAGATTTTGAAAACAACCGCAGCGGGATAAAATGTATATTAGAGCCAGGAAAAAAACACACACACAATAGCTTGACCAAATTGACTACGTAAAAGTCGTGGAAAGGACGGCCAGGCCACAAGGAATTTGTGTCTTCCTTCATCCAGGAAATATTATTCCCTTACTTCTGTTGAAGAAAATTCCATTGTTCCTTATTCAGACCGGGCATTTTTTGCTTCCTGCGACCGGGAAAGGGGTTCTGAGCCAACCTTTCTATAACTTCAAAATTGCTCATAATACGGCTACCAAAATTACACAGATTATATACCGTAAAATTCCGAAAATAAACCCCGGGGCTTATATTTTTCAAAGGCCCTTTTTGAGGGGCTTATTTTTGGAGAGGCTTATATTCGGTGGCGCTTATCTACGGAGGGAAATTTACGTCTCAAAATCTATTGGGCTAGCCTTATAGTTGGAAGTAAATTTACCGTTTTTGCTTTCTTTTACTTTGTATTTGAGGGCAATTTTCCAATTACAAGCCCCCGGGGTGCTTATATTTGGAGGGGCGATTTAACGGAGGGTTTTCTACGTTACCGGTTTGGGAGGCTAATGTTTGAAGGGGCTTATACATGAAGGGGCTTATTTTCGGAATTTTACGGTAATCATTATTTCTTCCATCTAGGAATAACTTGATTGACACGATGGCGTAATATGATGTCATTATTACGTCATTTTGTTGAGTTTATTGGCGGAGTCCAAATGCCATTAATTTTTCCTCTCAAAGTAAACTGGAACCATCCACCACCTTGAATCCACCATTCTGAATTAACTGAATTTGTTCCATTTCTTGATGTATAAAAGGATGGCTTGGAGCAAAAAAATCCGCCAATTGTGAAATTCCGAGAGAAATTCATACCGTTAAAAACTGAACCTAGCATCTGCTATTTGGTGATTGTGCATTCGAGTTTTTTCTCAAATCAGTCACTAAATAGCCTAGATCACACAAACAGTTATAATTAATTTGATAAAATATTGCTAATTTTATTGTAATTCTATAATCTAAAAAGCAGAAATAGAAATATGTATCCTTCTTCAAAGGAAAATACCAGATTTTGAAAAACATAGCTGTCGAAACTCGGTTGCCATGGTAACATTGATGTTGACGTAGGAAAGGAAAAGTTGTCAAGTTTGTTGGTCATAGCTTAAACTTTTTTGACACCCTGTCCCAGATTAAATAAGTTTAGAGGATTGACTTAATTTATGCCAAAATATTCTGGTCTATTGGCCAGCTGCGAAGAGCGCCGTGGTAGACTAAGATATGTTCAGTTTACCTTATAATGAGTATGCCTACCTAGTAAAAAAAAAAAAAACATAACATTTATTATATTCAATTTTCATGAGCGTAGCCTTATTACATTTTTAATGTGGAATAACACAAAATCAAATTTTTACTGCGGAAGCTAAGCCTGTTATTTACCCATTAGGATCCTGTTAAATATTTCAATTTCCGATGAAAAGCTGCCTTTATTACAGATTGCTTCACTACCAGACGTGTTGAAGTGAAATTGAACGTTAAATATCAATATCCTTTTTTATTTTCATTCAAATTAAAGATAATTATCACAGCAGAAGTAAAATATGAATAATAGGGCGAGGATCCCGCGTAACGATTCTAGTCTTGAAATTTGATTTTCATTTTTAAGTTTCTACCATCTTAAATTCTGCTTCCGGCCATATATATCGCTGAGTGGATTTCAACCTACTTTTCCTAAATAACTTTATATTATTTCCACATGAGTTGAGTCCTGGTATTTTCCTCTCTTTCGCAACCGTACCCATGAAATAGGGAATGATGGCTTCACAAAATTGAGTATACGTGTATACCCAAAGTGCGTTGCAGGTCAAATCATTGACTAAAGCTCCGTTGTCGGGTTCTTGGAAATAAATTTCCAATTTGCGTCGATGAAAGTCAACCTATCTTTGCGGGGCATTCGCTAAAATTAAAAAAGCATTCTCCGGTAAAATCTTGTCCTGGTGCGGTTTAGATTGGTCATTTCCGAGTTCCAAAAACTGTCACTTTCAAAACGAGTCTAGGAGGAAAAATTTTGTTGTGACAATGAGTTGTATAATATATCCTAAATACTGGTCACTAGAAAGCCGACTGGGGCCGGTAAATAACAAGCAGAAACTGAGTTCAATCAGTTTGTCAACCTGCTGGATAATTGGCAATTTTGATAAGATTTTACTCGTATACTAAATTATATTTTCTTACATATACTGAACACCTGTTTTGTAGGAAAACTCTCCATTTAACAATATTCAACTCTTAAGGAAGAGTACCCAAGTCCATATTTCACGTTAAATCTATGGCACTAGCGAAGTACTTTCTTTTCATATCTTTATTTTTTTATATCTCCAGTTTGATATCGACTGCAAACTGTCAGAGAAGATGCGAACTGAGCACGCGTAGTAATGGTGAAATGGGTATGAAAAATCGTGGTATGAAAGGACAGAGTTTTAAAAATCATACGCTGTCCAATGCATATGACTGCCATGTAAAATGCTTCCTTGAAAGATGTAAATGCCAAGCGTTCCAAATGAATGAAAATCTGTGCGAGTTGCTGGATGAAGACAGATTTTCTTCTCCTGAAGACTTTCTCGAGGAAGAAGGATACGAATATTTTGATATGAACAGAGAATACGTCGACCAGGTAACTAATGAATCCTGCCTTTTAATACCCGTTAAAATGAAATAAATTGAATTGGAAGCCCAAAATTCGAAGCTACTTGACGTTTTGACCTTCATCAAAGGAAATAAAAGAACTACTTTTTTTAATCCGGTCGAGGTTTAGACCAATGATTGCATTTTACCTTTCCACATTTATCGGTGCTGATGGTGAAGTACAGGACGGTATTGTTCTTACTGGTCTTTAACATTCCGAGGTTGAAATGCATTTGGGAGTTTCCATTTTCTCTTTAAGAATACGCCAAAGTTATTACTTCCTTATTCAATTTTTTATAAAATATACATCAGCCTTATATTAGTTTTTATTTCAATTTTTTTCTGAAAAAACAAATTGGAAGGAATACTTAAAGCTGGTTTGGTGAAAGTGCCTGTGAAAGTGAAACTCCTCATAAAAAAGGAAAGGCGAGCAAATTATGTAAAAACCAAAAACATAGAACATATTAGAAGTTTACATGCTGAAACAAAGAAGAATTACACACAAAAAAAATGATTATTTCATTCCATTTAGGAAACAAAATTTCAAAACTCAACGACGCCGCGCAAACTTGACTCGCCTTGCCACGGTACTTGAAGCTACGATTTTTGTCAAATAAAATTTTGATGTGAAACTCACAGAACTGTGAACACCAAAAATTTTTAAGGAATGCTATTATGTTGCGAGGAAATAGCCAATAAGGTGTGAGAAAACTCAACTGCGAACAGCAACGGTAATAAGTTTGTGGTTTTGTGGTTTGCTCGCGTGTCCTGAACTTTATTGTGATTGGTCACTACACAATCAACATTTTTGAAATTTTTCGGGTGTTCACGGTTTTCTGAGTTTGGCAGTAACATCGATCGATTGTGTGGGTTGATGTTATGAACTGTTGCCCGGCAGCCTCGAAAAAGGCAGAAGTTTCAAGGGGATTAATGTTCTTTGATCCGGGTGCAAAGGGATCTAGCGGTCTCACCAATGTAGTTGCCGAACGGTTATTGATTACTAGCCAATTCTGACCTTTCGTGCATTTAATCTAAAACGAGGAGTAATCGGAGCTTAGGAGAGTGCCTTCGATATGTTCGTTGAGGCGTAAGGGTGGTTGCGAGGTAGATAATTAAGATCATGGCATATTTTGAACGTAAGGGTTGCGTACAGCGAAATCTCTATCTAAACTGTGTATCATTTTCAGAACGTTTTCAAAATATATCGTATGGTTCGGTGTCAAGTGCTTTTAATCGGAGGAGACATTGGCCAGCGTCGGACATATAAATGGAACAATTTGTTTTACTGGCGCGAGTTACAGGGCCGATTAGTGCTTAACCCAAGATTCTTTTTCTTTCTTCAAAAACATTTCTTCGGATAATTTTCTCTGTTATTTTTAAGAGCATCCAATCATCAACGTGTTGACAAAATGAATTACATTGAAGTTACTGGTTTAAAAGCTTTCACATCTGAATTCAAACTTCGCACTAACCATATCAAAGCCTCAAATGGAACGTGTGTGCGGCTCACGTCAATAACTCTTCCAGTAATTTGGTCGAGCGTGTTGATTTCAGTGACTCGAGAGTGGCGCTACTGTGGGCTGATTTATAAGTTTTTCCTAATAAATAACAGAGAGTTAAAGTGTTCGTTTGTGCGGTGCCGAAAATATCACAAGTCATGGTCAAATGGCGCCGCCGAGCTTCACATCTCGGTAGATTTACTTTGTGGCACAACGGCTGCCGAGCTACACAACTCGTAAATTTGCTTTGTGACAAAACGGCCGCCGAGCTTAACAACTCGGTATTTTAAAATTTACTTTGTGGCATAACGGCCGCCGAACTAAACCCGGTTTGATGCATGCACCAGTAGTCGCAGACATTTTCCAAAGACAGTGACAAACCATGCTGAAAAATATGAAAGCTTAATCCAAAGTAAAATTTAACAGCAAACTCCTGAAAGATGAACGCTTTGGACGATTCAGCAATCACAGATCGATGTGCGCTTGACGAAGATTCAGCAAACTTTTTAAAAGATGAACGCTTTACGAAGAATATCAGACCTTAGCAAACCTTTGAAAGATGAACGCCGAGGACACAAGAATCACCACATGAGTTAGCGCGTCAAAGTGAGGCAAAACTTAAGCAAGCGCCTCAAAGCGAGGCAAATGTGTGTCGACGACGACGAACGAAAATGCAATCTCAAAAAAACCTCCCTTATTAATTGCACAGGTCGCCCAATAATGCACAGAACACCCAACACAAATTAGGGGTTGCGTTCTCGTACTTCGAACGCAATAACTTCAGAAACCAGTATCAAAGTGTACCTATCAAATTATAACTGTGATTTTGTCGTTATTCCCACGTGCACTTTTAACAGAATTTTTATTGGTGTTTATACTGTATAGGCAACTGCAGAAAAAGCTTGCGAAGAGCAACCGTGCATTTACCAGTGCTGTAAGCAGAGTCCTTCCGCTTACGGAGGCACCTGCACTGAACTGTGCGAAAACGCTAAATACAAGTTCAATTGCACATGCGCCATGGGGTATTTCGGAAGAGCAACATCTTGCAAAGAATTGCTGCAGAGAGACGATGGAACTGACCCGTCCGGAGTTTATCAACTCTTTGACCCAACAAGCAATTCCGTGTATGAGGTCTTCTGTGATTTCACCTCTGAAAAGGGATTCGTTTGGAATCTTTCAGCTTTCGCTATAATGATGAGTTTAAGGATAAGGCATTTTACGAAGATCATCCCTTAAACCAGGAAGCCTTTACATGGAACAAGTTTCGTTTATCTTTGCCACGTATGAATGCCACAGTAAAACGCTCAACGCACGTGCGAGCAACCTGCAACTTTAACACTGAAGAACTTAAATACGAAGATTACTTAAGGCCAAGTTAAGCGATATCGATCTTATGCGCTCCAGTTTGGGTACTTGCAAAAAATTTGAATTTATTAGCGTCCGCGGAAATAACTGTACCAACGACACGGCTCATTTCGTCCAGAGGGATTATTGGCATGCGCATAGTGATTCGAATAACCGAGGATGTCCCTGTACCAGTCTATCCGAGGGTGCAGTGAAGTTCCCGGGAGGCGAAGATAACTTTGGATGGTATAATGCAAGAAATCCGGTTCACAGATGTGTAGCAAGTAATGATTCTACTACACAGTGGTGGCTCGGGGTACAATACTAGGCTCTTTGATAAAGATCAGTCCAGCGCAGACATTCTCTGAACATTTTCAACTATCTTAAATGTAGACCTTGGAACTTTTGAGTTTTTTCTTTATTACCAGAACTGTAAAGGAGTAATAGTTCCCGGATAATGCAAGGCTTTCCAAGTGGTCCCTCCCTTATCCCACCTGACTTATGCATGTTGCACTGGATTCCAAGCTTACGTTCTCAGTGCTCTAGCCTTGCTGTGCAGCACCCGGAAACCTTGAGGCTTTTCTTAGATTAGACAAGTTTTAATGCGCCTGCCACTTATGGATTCACCTATATGGGTTTATTTTTGCTTGTTTTATTGTAAATCTCAGAAAAAAAAACAAGGTTTAAATGAATTGGCGTCTTTCGACAGATCTTATCTCTTGCTACAGGTGTTTCACGATATTAATTCAATTTTTTGCTGGATTGGGTGTTGGCAAACACATCTTAGGTTGGCGTAAATTAAAATCAGTTTCATTGACATTTGTGAAACATGTAATTAAAACCGAACCCATCTTGTAAATCTAGGTCGATGCGTGTTTCAGTCACATACTTGTAAGTAGAACGGTAAAGAAACATTAAAAGAAAAAGGAACCGTCCCGATTCCGTATCCTTATAGATTCCCAGTTACGAGGACTTTCCTAGAAGTAACAAGTGCAAACTGAGCAGTGAGTTGTTTAAATAATTTGGCATTCGACATCTGGTTAAACATATGCCATTTTCTGGTAAATGTAAACATTTATTACATAAATTTTTATGCTTTTAAATACCAAGCATTTTTATGGTATATATCCCTGGAAGGAATACTGGATTCTATACCTTGCGTTGAAACAATAACGCTGATGAACAACTTTCTTTTCTTTTTAATATTATTTGATGTCTGTAGTTTGAAATTAACAGTCACAGGCTGTCAGAGAAGATGCGAACAAAGCAGAGGAAGTATTGCTGAAACGGGCATGAAACATCGTGCTATACAGGGACACAGCTTCAAAAATTATACGCTGTCGAAAGCGTATGCCTGTCATGTAAAATGCTTCGAAGAGAAATGTAAATGCCAGGCGTACCAAATAGGAAAAAATCAGTGCGAATTGCTGGATGAAGACAGATTTTCTGCCCCCGAAGACTTTGTCGAAGCAGATGGATACGTTTATTTTGATATGAGTAGAGAATACGTCAACCAGGTAACCAATAAATCGTAACGACTTTCATTAAAGTGCACCAAAAACAAGTAAATTAGGGACCTCAGGCTTTTGCCAAAACAAATGAAAGGATTGAGAGTCGCCTTGAGGTTGTCATGATCGCGTTTTGTTAGGACCTCATGGTTTTGATAGGCTAACACTTAATTGTTTAACACGCACCTCAGTTCTCATACTCATCTTTTTCCCATCTAAAAGGAAATGTTTTCAAATTTTGTGTGTCCCTCTTAAAAAATGCGTTCAATTTGTTAATTATTAATTACATCATCCTCGTTTTTTACATAAGAGGCTTACAGTTCTTTACATGGTGTATGTTTTCCGAATTGCCTAATTAGGTAATTCACCATTTATCTCAGTCATTTCAAGGACTCCTTGTTTAGCCTCTTCTCGTATTTTATAAACGAGAAAAACCAACGGAAAGGAAACAATACCTTCACAGATATTTTTTTATTCTTGGCACTGTCAATTTATTAATAAAAGGATTGTTTTAGGCCGGAGAGTACATATTTCGGATTTGCATGTGTGTGTGTGTTTATATTTATTTAGTTATAAGAAGCTGACTTAAACAGCTACATCTTCTTTGGGGACAATTGACGGATGCGAAAGCCGATTGCCACTGTTTACAGTGGAACATTTTTAGTTTGCTTCCATTTTTTTCTCAGGCGTACAAGAAAATATATCTCACCATCAAACATGTGGTGCTTGCGATAGTGTGGAAGGACTGGGCGCATTTTGATTTTGCTACGTTAAAAAATCAAGATTTTGGCAAACCTAAAAGTTGAGCTTCCATAATGATACTGATAATAAAGAAACAAATTTAGACCGTCGCAGAAATGAGTGCCTGTAAACTACCATGCATGGATAAGCTAAGTGCACTTTCCACTAAAAAAAAAAGCCGTTAAACCTTTTTAAACCTTTGACTAGAGATTTTATGAATGAGATGAGCGAAAATTGTCAAAACTATAACTATTCATTTATCATGGTAATTATAGTTTCTACCAGCACTTTTAACACACCTTCCCTTGTTGTACATCTAAAAGACATCTGCAAAAGAGGCTTGCAAAGGGCAACTTTGCATTAACCAGTGCTGCAATCAAAATCCATGTGCCCACGGAGGGATCTGCACACACCTATGTGATGTAGCCAAACAAAAGTTCAACTGTACATGCTCTGAGCGATATTTTGGCAGATATTGTGAAAGGCAGAGAGCAACATCTTGCAAAGGGCAACGGCAGAAAAAGGAAGGGAGCAAGTCAGGAGTCTATCAACTGTTTGACCCAGCAACTAATTCCATGTACGAGGTCTTTCGTGATATCGACTCTGAAAAGAGATTCGTTTGGACTCTGATAGAATCTTTCAGCCTTCGCAATAATAATGAATTTGGGGATAAAGCATTCTACAAAAACTATCCGATAAATCAGAAAGAATTTACTTGGAGCAAGTTTCGTTTATCTCGCGCTTTTATGATGGCCACAGCAAACGACTCAACTCACGTTCGAGCAACGTGCAACTTTGATAGTGAAAAACGCAACTACAGAGATTACTTAAGAGCCAAGTTAAGTGAACTCAATGTTATGCATTTTAATTCTATCGAATGCAAAAAATTTGAATTCGTTAGCGTTCGAGGATATAACTGTAGCAACTGCACAGCCCTTTTTGGCCAATCTGACTATATGCATGCGCACACCGATTCTTATTGGGGTTCGCAACAACAGTATAAATGCCAGTTTACCAGCGCATTAGCAGGTGCTGTTAAGAGACCTGGAGGCGAAGATAACTTCGGTCATTATGAAACAGTCAATCTGAATCACACATGTACGTTGAGTGATGATTCTACTACTCAGTGGTGGTTTGGAGTACATGAATGAGCTTCAATAAAAACTGTCACATTTAGACATTAACCCTTATAATTATTGGGCTTACTGGCCCCAATTTAGGGTGGCTTAGGAGCCCCCCCCGTCCCCCCACCTCTTTAACAAGAATACAGCCACCAAAATTAGACAGATTAAGGTCATTATGATAAATCATTTCCAACATTTAAATTGACACAACTACGTAATGTAACGTTATTGGGAATTTCGTATTGTTAAATTTATTGGCAGCACCCAAATTTTCTTCGCAATGTAAAGAGAAGGGAGAAAATACTTTATAAGAAATAAGGCTCATCATCAAACATGAAGAATTGTGCAAGGCGAGGAGGATTAATTAAGCCTTTGTGAATATAATAGCTTCCGTGATATCTTAGCTTGTACACACAGCTCTTTATATCATGAGAAATCCTAATTTAATAATTGTGATGAGCCAATAACGCTCCTCCGTTGAGACAGTAAATATTCAGTTCTCTTCTTTGCTCCACAGGTTTTTCGCCTAGTAATCCGGATGTATTTTCTTTATTTCTTTCTTTCTTTATTTATTTTATTTATAGCCATAGTCCAGTTTTTTTTTTTTTTTTTTTTTTCAAAAAATGGGGGTATATATTTAACGGGCTTTTGAATTGCTATTTGCCGAAGCTGAGAACTGTGCATGATGAGATAGCAGCCAGGAGACAAAATTCCTTACATCATATTCCGTTTCATCCCATGGGTTGTATCAACGTCGTTTAGGTAAACTAATGCTATCTTCTATTAAAGACAAATATGTGTAGAATTTCATGCTATTTGAGAACAGAAAGCCCATTTCATTTGAGATATTTCAATTAAAGTGGAATGTTCATCTGATATGGAATTCAATCTGATGGAAAGGAACACTCAATATTAAATCGTACCCCCAAACAATGACGCTGATGAAGTATTATCTTTTCTTTTTAAATATTCTTTGGTGTCTGTAGTTTGAAATTAAGAGTCGCAGCTTGTCAGATAGGATCGATGCAAACAAAGCAGTGGTGGTATAAGTAAAACGGTTACGAAACATCTTGCTATGCAAGGACACCCCTTGAAATATTATACGCTGTCAAAAGCGTATGACCGGCTTCGTTTCCAGGGTTCTCTCCTGGGGACACGAAAGAGAGGACCCTGGAAAGAGGCTAGTGTATGAATGTCATGACTGTAAAATGCATCGATGAGAAATGTTAATGCCAGTCGTACTAAATAAGACAAAATCGATGCTAGTTGCCAAATGAAGACAGATTTTCTGCCAGAACGACTTTGTCTAGAAAGAAGGATATATTCCGGGAGCTAGGCCGTTTTGCTTTACCCAGAGGACACAAAAGGTTTGTAATTGGATAGGGATTGAAATTTGGGAAAATGTAGTTTTCAGTAAAACCGATATTACTATGACAACAATAAACGAAGCACTTCGAAATTGGTAAACGCCTGATTTTCTTCGATCTAGACCAGCTACTGAAAATCAAACACTAGGAACTTAAAGTTTGGTGTGTAGCAAACAATCCCCGTAAGAAGTAAAAAAAATTCTGTATGTTTGAATTCGACTAAAACGAAAATATATTTCAAACCTTAAATTTTCAATAGCTGTGATAGATTATTTAATAAAAACGTTCTGAATGACTTAAATTATTTTTAAGTAGCGTCAAAATGCTACTTATTATAAATATCATATTTCGATGCTAGGAAATTGTTTTTATCAGTCTTCCATTACGCTACCAAGAAAAGCTGAGCTTATTAAATTGTATTTCATCGTAATTATCATAGTAATGAAAATCGAGGTTAAACTATTTATGGGGAGATTGTTACATTGCACTGCATGGCGTTGTTTGCTAAAATCAGCGTGAACCGATTGGGAAAACAGGTGAAATAAATGACAAGTTAACATCGACCGTTAATTATTGTAACTTTCACTGTTTGCGTTTCCTGACGTCTACAAAAGTAATCTAGTAGATGTATTTTTCACACATCTCGGTAAGGAAATGGAAGCTGCCATCTGCATCATTGTTTTACTCCATATGAAGGGAATTTCGTCTGCCTTGAGCAAATACTGCGTGGGTGAATTTGAAGAGAGTGGGGGAAACGTCAACCAGGATGGTTTGAAACATCGTGTCTTGTTAGGCCACAGTTTTAATAATGGAACATCATCTACATCTTTTGACTGCCACGTGAAATGCTTTGATGAGAAATGCAGGTGCCAAGCGTACCAAATCTGGCAAAATCGATGTGAGTTGCTGGATGAAGACAGGTTTTCCACCCCAGATGATTTCGTCTACCGTGAAGGATATAGTTAATTTGATATGAATAGGGAATATTTAAACCAGGTAAGAAATAATTTTTAAAAACAAACGCTTATTCGGCAATGTAATGGACATCTTTAGCTGGGTGGCTCCGTCTCTTTGTCTACATTTCGTTTTTTCGTTTCGAATTTCACCACCCAGCCATGTCTTTTTATCTTTTAGGTTTCCAAGAACAAATGATCATCCTTAATTAAACCTTGCAGTAACCAGTGCTGTAACCAGAATCAATGTGCCAATGGGGCACCTGCACTGAGTTATGTAAAGACGCTAAAAACAAATTCAACTGCACATGCGCAATAGGATATTACGGCCGATATTGTCAAAAACGAAAAGTCGCATCATGCAAAGAGCAACTGCAGAGAAACGAAGGGAGCCAGTCTGGAGTCTACCAACTTTTTGAGCAAACAACTAAGGCCTTGTACGAGGTGTACTGCAATTTTAACTCTAGTGATGGATCTGCTTGGACACTCATCGAGTCATTCAGCTTGGCAAATAAGGGAGATTTTGCAAACAAGGATTTTCAGGAAGACTACCCCATAAACCAAAACGCTTTTGCGTGGGATAATTTTCGTTTATCATTATCCAGGATCACAACTACTGCTTTGCTTTCCACACACATGAGGGCGACCTGCAACTTTGACATGCGTGGACTTAACTACACTGATTAGTTGAAGGCAGCATTGAACGAAATAAATCCCATCACTAGCTTGTCCTTCGATCAGTGTCACCGATATGAAAACATCAACATCAGAGGTTATAGCTGTAGTAATTGCACAGCCAACTTTTATCTGTCAAGACGTTTTCATTCTCACGTCAATTCGTACTTTGGAACTTACATCGACCATTGTGAGCTTAAAACGCCAGGTGCGGTGGGTTCTTCAACCCGTGAAGATAACTTCGGAAATTACAGAACATTTAATCCTATACATAGGTGTTCGTCTTCTGACGACTCTACCACCCACGTCACATCGTTTTTATTCACAGAGGTCAAGGGTTCGAACCCCGTACATGCCTGAATGTTTTCAGGCTTTCTTTTCGCAACTGCAAAAGTTTCGTCAATAACTGCGATGATCTTCTTTCAAATAATTAATCAAACCTTACTAAACAGAAAATTAACCTTCATTTAGTAGAAATCCATGTTTGCCACAACTCACGATATTTTCGTAGACAGGCCTGGAAATACGCTACCGCAATCGGCTTTCATTAAAACTTGGTAAAGCGTTCTCTTCGAATCCTGAGGTGTTGTCGCTAAGCACCCCGTGTTAGCCCCATGGGGGTTTCAAGAGGAGTACCCAAGCCTAAATAATAGGCCATTTCTGAGTTACCCTAAACCTCTGTTTCCAATCGAGGCTATCTGCGACGCCATTTATTTGAAAACGATTTTTTATTCTTCTGCAAATAAAACTCATTTTCAGAACAAAGGTTTCGCACTTGGCCTCGTTTTGAAAGTTAGGGTTTTTAGAACTCGGAAATGGCCTATTTAACACATTTAAGGCAAAAATTTCAAAAAGCTTGAGGATGAAACTTGAATCAGATTTTAGCAAAAGGAAAAAGCACTGGCTAACTTTTCAGTTAGACATCTGTGTCGTCAAGTTTCAATTTTGCAATTATTTATGCCTTTTCCCTCCTATTGTATATTTAACAATTACCTCGGACCCCAATGGGCTATTGACTCAGAGGCCAACTAGTTGGTCAAAAATATCGAGAATAATGGCTCAAAATAATACAAACAACACACCCTTCAGTTTGACTTTTGCCTTCACAGACACATGTAACCTATGACAAATTCTACATGATGCCGGGTATTACGTTAGTAGATACGGCAATGTTTGAAGCCGTGCATGACGTGATTCTTGCCTACCCAAATAATGTTGAAATCATACAATTTTGCGTTTTACTATATTGTACTGCAATTCAAGTCCCTCACTGAAATCTACTATTTACCAATTATTCCTCGAGCCCGAATGGGCTCTGAGTCAATAGCCCATGAGGCCGAAGGCCGAATGGGCCTCTGACTATTGACTCAGAGGCCATGAGGGCGAAAGGAATAATTGTTTTAGTAAAATCCAACTAGTTGATCAAAAATATCGAGTATAAAAAACTTTTAGCTAGTTAAAGCTAGACTTTAATTCTTTTTTGCCACCAAAAATCCCGCGCTCTTCGCGATTAGTGAGCTATAACATGTAGTCTAGTAGTAGCTCAACCAATCAGAACGCAGCATTGAAAATAGACCACTAGTTTGATATTACCAGTAAACATTATTCAAACCATTGGTTGATCCAATGTACGGATCAGCACTGAGTAAGCTTACTTTTCTTACCGCGAGGCTATTGTACTACTATCGGACTTTATTATGGCTATTATGACATGATATCACCATACAAACAAGCAGCTCATATTTATAGTTAAACTTTGATGAGGAGTCTTCTACAGACGAAGCATATTTTCTATGTATCCTCATTTATAGTCTGCCAAACGGCGAGTACATTATGCTTTTGTCTTCCCACTAAAATGCTCCGCCTTAATGCTACATTTGTCCCAATATAATGCCCAGTCGTCCTCCAAAAGCTCATTGAAATGAACGGATAATGTTCATCATCACGGAGAGATTTTTTGTTGAATATAAACATTTTGAACCTGGGGACTATGTTTCACCAAACCACCACTGCGTAGTAGAAGTGTCGTTTCTTGTGCATCTGTGAATAGGATTAACTGTTTGATACCAACCAAAATTATCCTCCCCTCCTGGGTAGGGCCTCGCCCCTGTGCTATTTAGCTGGCACTTCGCTATTCCGAAATAGGAATCAATATGAGCGTGCCAATGTTCATTTTGTCCAAAGTAAGCAGTGCAGTTAATGCAGTCGTGGCCTCTGATATTGATGTACTCGAATTTTTTGCAATCGAGATCACTGAAATGCATAACGTTAATATCGCTAAACTTGGCTCGTAAATAATCGGTGTAGTTAAGACCATCTGTGTCAAAGTTGCATGTTGCGCGCACATTTGTCGAGTGGTCTGCTATGGTCTTCATCCGTAACCAGGATAAACGGAACTTTTTCCAGGTGAAGGCTTGTTGGTTTACCGGGTAATCGTTTAAAAATGTTTTATTCGTGAACTCCAACTTACAACCGAAGCTAAACGACTCGACCAGAGTCCAGATGATGGAATCAGCTGACCTAAAATCACAAAAGACTTGGTACAATGAGTTGGTACTTGGATCAAACAGTTGATAAACACCAGAATTTTTGCGTCTGTCATTTTCTAATTGTTCCTTGCAAGATGTAGGTCTTTGTTTATGACACAATCTGCCAAAATATCCCGTGGGACAGGTGCAGTTAAACTTTACTTTCGCATCACCACACAATTCAATGCACGTTCCTCCATTAGCACAAGGATTTGGGTTGCAGCAATGATTGATGCACAGTTTCTTTGATTTTGCGTTGTCAGGGATCTAAAGATAAAAAACAATTTTCGAATTTTGATGATATTGTGATATATCATTAGAAATAATATGATGAGAATTCAAGTTTGAGAATGATAAAAGGGTAGTAGGTTAATATTGTAATTTGACCCAAATTCAGACCGGGAGCTGGGTTTTTGGAATTTCACAACTTGCATTTTTGTTGTTGTTGTTGTTGTTGTTGTTGCTGTTTTGCTTCCTGAGCATCCTTTTATAGAACTATCAAATTTCTATCACGATTAACTCTAGTTTTACAGGTTGTAAGGAAAATTGAATACATTTGATTAACTCAAAATGACGGATCCTAGATGGCGGATGGTTAATTCCAGATCCGTCTTACATATCAAATGACGTCATCATGACATCACTGCTATTGTTAAAGATTATTAATGTGTTAGCCAACTTCTTGATTTTGCCCGACGCCGTACTATTTTAGTATTTTTCGCTCTAAGCGGAAATTTATAATTGATGGAATTAAGATTCTGCCAATAAAGTTTAAACGGCATAATGACGTCAAATTACGTCATGGTGTCAATCAAGTTATTTCATGATGTTGGAAATGATCAGTTTATTTTTCTGTGTAATTTTAGGGAGGCGAAGATAACCTCGGATGGTATAAAACAAGAAATCCGGTTCACAGATGTGTAGCAAGTAATGATTCTACTACACAGTGGTTGTTCGGGGTACAATACTAGGCTCTTTGATGAAGATCAATCCAGCGCAGACATTCTCTGAACATTTTCATCTTAAATGTCGACCCTGGAACTTTTGCCTGTTTTCTTTATTACCAGAACTGTAAAGGAGTAATAGTTCCCGGATAATGCAAGCTTTCCAGGTGATCCCTCCTTTATCCCACCTGACTTATGCATGTTGCACTGGATTCCAAGCTTACGTTCTCAGTGCTCTGGCCTTGCTGTGCAGCACCCGGAAACCTTGAGGCTTTTCTTAGATTAGACGAGTTTTAATGCGCCTGCCACTTATGGATTCACCTATATGGGTCTATTTTTGCGTATTTTATTGTAAAACAAGGTTTAAATGAATTGGCGTCTTTCGACAGATCTTATCTCTTGCGACAGGTGTTTCACGATATTAATTCAATTTTTTGCTGGATTGGGTGTTGGCAAACACATCTTAGGTTAGCGCAAATTAAAATCAGTATCATTGACATTCGTGAAACATGTAATTAAAAAGCCCATCTTGTACATCTATGTCGATGAGTGTTTCGGTCACATACTGTAAGTAAAACGGTAAAGTAACATTAAAAGAAAGAGGAGGCATCCCGATTCCGTACTCTAGATTCCCAGTTACGAGGACTTTCCTAGAAGTAACAAGTGCAAACTGAGTAGTGAGTTGTTTAAATAATTTGGCACTCGGCATTTGGTTGAATTAATGCCATTTTCTGGTAAATGTAAACATTTATCATATAAATTTTTATGTTTTTTAAATACAAAGCATATATGGTATATGTCCCTGGAAGGAATACTCGATTCTATACCTTACGTTGGAACAATGACGCTGATGAACAACTTTCTTTTCGTTTTAATATTATTTGATGTCTGCAGTTTGAGATTAACAGTCACAGGCTGTCAGAGAAGATGCGAACAAAGCAGAGGAAGTATTGCTGAAACGGGTATGAAACATCGTGCTATACAGGGACACAGCTTCAAAAATTATACGCTGTCGAAAGCGTATGCTTGTCATGTAAAATGCTTCGAAGAGAAATGTAAATGCCAGGCGTACCAAATAGGAAAAAATCAGTGCGAATTGCTGAAGACTTTGTCGTAGAAGACGGATACGTTTATTTTGATATGAGTAGAGAATACGTCAACCAGGTAACCAATAAATAGTAACGACTTTCATTAAAGTCATTAAAAACAAGTAAATTAGGGGCCTCAGGCTACTAGCGTTTCCACCTTTGTCAAAGCAAATGAAAGAATTGGGAGTCGCTTTGAGTTTGTCATGATCGCGTTTTGTCAGGACCTCATTTTTTTGATAGGCTAACACTTAATTGTTTAACACGCACTTCAGTTCTCATACTCATCTTTTTCCCATCTTTAGGGACAGGTTTTCAAATTTTGTGTGTCTCTCTTAAAAATGCGTTCAATTTGTTAATTATTAATTACATCATCCTCGTTTTGAACAAAAGAGGCTTACACCTCTTCACATGGTGCATGTTTTCCGAATTGCCAAATTTGGTAATTCACCAACTATCTCAGTCATTTCAAGAACTCCCTTGTTTAGCCTCTTCTCGTATTTTATAAACAAGGAAAACCAACGGAAAGGAAACAATGCCTTCATAGATATTTTTTATTCTTGACACTGTCAGTTTATAAAAAAAAAAAGGATTGTTTTAGGCCGGAGAGTAAATATTTCGGATTTGCATGTGTGTGGGTGTGATTGTTTATATTTATTAGTTATAAGAAGCGGACTAACAGCTACATCTTCTTTGGGGACACATATGTTAGGTGGATTCATGCGTGATAATTTTCTTCCACTCTTTTACAAAATTTATTTATCGACAATTGACGGATGCGAAAGCCGATTGCCTCTGTTTACAGTGCAAAATTTTTAGTTTGCTTCCATTTTTTCTCAGGCGTTCACGAAAATACATACCTCACCATCAAACATGTGGTGCTTGTGATAGTGTGGGAGGAGTGGGAGCATTTTGATTTTTCTACGTTAAAAAATCAAGATTTTGGCAAACCTAAAAGTTGAGCTCCCATAATGATACTGATAATAAAGAAACAAATTTAGACCGTTGCAGCAATGAGTGCCTGTAAACTAGCATGGATAAGCTAAGTGCACTTTCCACCATAAAAAAAGCCTTTAAACCTGTTATTAATTTTAATATATAGATTTAGCCAGGGCTAAAAGCGAGGCTCCCATTAGTAAATTTATAATTTAAATTAAACAATAAACTTGTATTCGAATTCCACAATTCAGTTAACTTTAGAGCACATTTATGTGACTTTTGAGGGAAAGGCTACCTGATTTTAGAGAAAAATAATTTGCAAACAGCCCAAGAGTGAACCAAATCTTACATCGAGTTGATAGCCTCATATGTACACTCAAAAACTGGTAATCATCTTTTATCACATTTAAGAGCCGTAATGGCTATTGATCACCGTAGATCAATTAGGCTTAGAAAAAAATCAGGCCAACGTTTTGGCGTTCGACAAGTTTACTTTGCAAAATCTTGCCAACAAATCTGGGTGCGTGTAAACCAACCTTTTATACCATGGACAGAAAGCAGTATTTCACAATACAAATTGCTCTCATTCAATATTCATAAACTGTTAAAAAATTTTTCCAAAATCACCTATACGGCCATCCGGTTCTCACTTTTGTAGTGCGAGCTGTAGCGAGTGTTTGAATGAACATTAACAGAGTTACGCTCCAAGATAATAAAGAATTTATCATGTTTATTTTTTATTTGATGGTTTAACGCGCGGCATTTTGAGAACTCCTGCAAGCGATGTTCACTGAACGACTGAAAACAATCGGCATAGCGATTAAAATTGCAAGAGAGACTACCAACAATCAATAAAAGAAATATAATTCGGTGAAACATAAACAGAGACAACAATTTTCATTCAGGAAGACAAGTATTAAAGTGTCCCTAAATATCCTGAGTCTTCAAGCTTCAAGCTTAAGTTTGCTGAAGTTTATGTTTTAAGCCAGCTTCCCGGTGTTTGTTTTTTCAAAGACGAACTCGAGGCAAGAAAATCGCTCAAAGCTTTCTTTTCCAGCTAGAATTATAATTAAAGATTCTTTGGAACATTTTCTTTCTATTTGCGGTGAGAAACTGTCTAAAGGCTTTTTAAAGTTCTGTAAGATTATATCAAACCAGATACTCGGTGAGATCGTTGTCTCAAAACTTACAAACGCGCATAAACTAAATTCTCGCATAAACTACGCTCCACTTCATTAAATTAGATACAAAAAACAAACATGAAATACAATAATTTCTCTGGCTTACCATTCGAGATGCAGCTCCTGAAAGTTATCAGGTAAAGCCAGTATCGCTTCAGACTTTGCAATCCTCTTACGCATCAAGCAAGGTGAAAACGAAAACGATGCCATCCGAAATCGGATTTCCGACTTTGACAAGCGACGTTTTCTCAACCAAAAACCCAATAAACAAACTAGCCATGAGTAACAGAAGACTCCTAATAGCAGCTGAATTTCATTTTGTACATCCAGTGGAAAAAGACAGTTAAAAACATCACAAGTTGACACAAAACTCTGTAAGCTTCAGCTATTAAAGTAAACAAGATTCAAGATGCTGCATAAATTTTGCGCATGAACTCACATGTCAAATTTTGACCAATCAGAGCATAAAAATTGGACGTAGAGCGTGACCAACGCGTGACCATTGTGAGAAAAACAAAAGCAACTGTCTTCCTGCCTGTAACAGCTGGCTGAATTTTCACGTCTGAGGTCAGTTTGCAATCAAAATTTTAATTGTGCAGCACATAAACACAACATATTTCATATGAATTAAGAAAAAAAATTGAACTTGAGCCTGCGATCACTTGAAAACTAGTTTACTTGTCAGCGGATAACTTCAAAAAAATACTTGACCTCGACGGGTCGACACCTGAGCCCGCGATACGGTCAAGTGATACTGGTCAGCGGGTACTCTGTTTTGACAGCTGTCAATTGATCAAAACATTGATGTCCAATATGTGTGCATTATCAGTTTTCCTGTGCTCCCAAACTAGTAAAAGTATGAGATTGAACGTTGTTCGCGATCTAGTAAAACAGTTAACTGGTCAGCGGACAGCTTCCAAATAAATCACGTCACCTCGATGAGTTGACACATGAGCCCGCGATATGGTCATGGGATACTGGTCAGTGGCTATCCTGTTTGGACAGCTGTCAATTAACCATATTGTTAATGTCCTATATTAAAGATGTGGGCTTGCCAAGACACGCCTGAGACACCCCTCCCTTCCTTTTGATAGTCTCCCCTACCCCACCCATACAATCTGTAGACGCGTACGTACGTACGTACGTACGTACGTACGTACGTACGCTCGGTCAATCACGTGACAACCAAACGAAAAGAGGTTGACCATATTCCATGGGTATGGGGCTCTGTCCCACGCGCGCTTCGCGCGCGCGGGAGCCCCGCTATTAATGAGATGAGCGAAAATTGTCAAACTATAACTATTCATTTATCATAATAATTATGTTTTCTACCAGCACTTTTAACACACCTTTCCCTTGTTGTTCTTCTAATAGACATCTACAAAAGAGGCTTGCAAAAGGCAACTTTGCCTTAACCAGTGCTGCAATCAAAATCCATGTGCTCACGGAGGGATCTGCACACACCTATGTGATGTAGCCAAACAAAAGTTCAACTGTACATGCTCGGAGGGATATTTTGGCAGATATTGTCAAAGGGAGAGAGCAACATCTTGCAAAGCGCAACGGCAGAAAAAGGAAGGGAGCAAGTCAGGAGTCTATCAACTGTTTGACCTAGCAACTAATTCCATGTACGAAGTCTTCTGTGATATTGACTCTGAAAAGAGATTCGTTTGGACTCTGATCGAATCTTTCAGCCTTCGCAATAATAATGAATTTTGGGATAAAGCATTCTACAAAAACTATCCGATAAATCAGAAAGAATTTACTTGGAGCAAGTTTCGTTTATCTCGCGCTCTTATGATGGCCACAGCAAACAACTCAACTCACGTTCGAGCAACGTGCAACTTTGATAGTGAAAAACGCAACTACAGAGATTACTTAAGAGCCAAGTTAAGTGAACTCGATGTTATGCATTTTGATTCTATCGAGTGCACAAAATTTGAATTCGTTAGCGTTCGAGGATATAACTGTAGCAACTGCACAGCCCTTTTTGGCCAATCTGATAAAATGCATGCGCACATCGATTCTTATTGGGGTTCGGAACAACGGTATAAATGCCAGTTTACCGGCGCATTAGTAGGTGCTGTTAAGAGACCTGGAGGCGAAGATAACTTCGGTTATTATGAAACAGTCAATCTGAATCACACATGTACGTTGAGTGATGATTCTACTACTCAGTGGTGGTTTGGAGTACATGAATGAGCTTCAATAAAAACTGTCACATTTAGACATTAACCCTTATAATTATTGGGCTTTCTGGAACTAATTTAGGGTGGCTTAGGAGGCCCCCACCACTTTAACAAGAATACAGCCACCAAAATTAGACAGGTTAAGGTCATTATAATAAATCATTTGCAACATCTAGATTGACACAACTACGCAATGTAACGTTATTGGGGAATGTCGTATTGTTAAATTTATTGGCAGCACCCATATTTCATCAATTTTTCTTCGCAATGTAAAGATAAGGGAAAAAATACTTTATAAGAAATGATGCTCATCATCAAACATGAAGAATTGTGCAAGTCGAGGAGGATTAATTAAACCTCAGTGAATAATAGCTTCCGTAATATCTTAGCTCGTATACACAGCTCTTTATATCATACGAAATCCGAATTTAGTAATTGTGATGAGCCATTAACGCTCCTCCGTTGAGACAGTAAATATTCAGTTCTCTTCTTTGCTCCGACAGGTTTTTTCCTTATTAATCCGAATGTATTTTCTTTATTTCTTTACAGACTTATTTATTTTATTTATAGCCATAGTCCAGTGTTTTTTTTCTTTTGGCAAAAAATGAGGGTATATATTTAAGACCTCAAAGGGCCGGGCTTTTGAATTGCTATTTGCCGAAGCCGAGGACTGTACATGATGAGATAGCAGGCAGCGCACAAAATTCCTTACATCATATTCCGTTTCATCTCATGGGTTGTATCAACGTCATTTAGGTAAACTAATGCTATGTTCTATTAAAGGTAATTATGTGTAGAAGTTCATGCTATTTGAGAACAGCAAGCCCATTTCATTTGAGACATTTTCAATTTAAGTGGAATGTTAATCTAATATGGAATTCAATCATGGAAAGGAACACTCAATATTAAATCGTACGCCCAAACAATGACGCTGATGAAGTATTATCTTTTCTTTTTTAATAGTCTTTGATGTCTGTAGTTTGAAATGAAGAGTCGCAGCTTGTCAGAGGGGATCGATGCAAATAAAGCGGTGGTGGTATAAGTAAAACGGTTATGAAACATCTTGCTATACAAGGCACCCCTTCAAATATTATACGCTGTCAAAAGCGTATGACCAGTTTCGTTTCCAGGGTTCTCTCCTAGGAACGTGAGAGAGAGGACCCTGGAAAGAGGCTAGTGTATAAATGTCATGAATGTGAAATGCATCGATGAGAAATGTTAATGCCAGTCGTACTAAATCAGACAAAATCGATGCTAGTTGCCAAATGAAGACAGATTTTCTGCCAAGACGACTTTGTCTAGAGAGAAGGATATATTCCTGGAGCTAGGTCCGTTTTGCTTTATCCAGAGGACACAAAAGGTTTGTAACTGGATAGGGATTGAAATTTGGGAAAATGTAGTTTTAAGTAAAACCGATATTACTATGACAACAATAAACAAAAAAACTTCGAAATTGGTAAACGCCTGATTTTCTTCGATCTAGACCAGCCACTGAAAATCCAACACTAGGAACTTAAAGTTTGGTGTGTAGCAAACAATCCCCGTAAGAAGTAAAAAAATTCTGTATGTTTGAATTCGACTAAAACGAAAATATATTTCAAACCCTAAATTTTCAACAGCCGTGATAGATTATTTAATAAAAACGTTATCAACTTCTTCAACTTCTTCTTCAACTTTATTTTATAAGACTATTGGTTACAATAGACTGGCCCGCAAAATAGCAATTGCTAATCTAGGCGGACCAGTTAAAAGAAAAATAAATTGAAAGGAAAAGAAAGGAAAGGAAAAGGACGGAAAACTACAATTTGAAGTTACAATAAATAATATTCTATCACAGCTTTATTTTAATTACATTAAATCTGAACAAGCAAACAAACAAATACTTTAATACAGAAATCACTAAACTATTAATCGAACTTTTTCAACTATTAAGGGCGTCTCAATATAGTCATCTTCTCTTTTCAAGATATCCGAAAGCAATCTGTGAAGTACTTTCTTAAATTTCTTTTTAGGGAGATCTCTAATATGACAAGGCATCTCATTCCAAAGTTTTACACCAAAGCGAGACAAGGAGTTTTTGTGTATTTCCAGCTTTGAGCTTTTGACGTGAAAGTTACCTGAACTAGATGATCTTGTATAGTATGAATGAATTGTTGAAGTTTTTTCAAATAAATTGAGCAGATTTGTTGGCGAATTGTTGTTGTTAATATCGTGCATTAGATTAGCCACAGTTTTATAATACATAAATGACACTGGTAATATGTCAGCGTCGATAAATAGAGGAATTGCGTGTTCACGTATATCCGTAAAATACATCATGCGAAGCACTTTCTTCTGGAGAATTAAAATTTTATTGAGGGACGTTTTGGATGCCTGACCCCAGGCAGCAAGACCATAGTTTAGGTGAGGGTGGATTAATGTTTGGTAAATATATAACAGTATATGACGGGGTATGGAGTGCCGAAGTTTTGAAATTAGTCCAACGGTTTTACTGATTTTTGCCGTAATGGCGTCAATGTGATATTTCCAAGTAAGATTTTTATCAATCAACACACCAAGATATTTAATATAATTTTTGGACTCTAGAGTTACATTTCCATTTTTTTCGTTATCGAACATGCAGAGGCTCGGTTGGTAAGTGACTTTTTTTGATAAGGATGAAAGATTACAAAGTTAGTTTTTGTAGTATTGAGAGTTAACTTATTGGATGTTAACCATTCGTGGAGGTTTTTCTAATTCGATATTTACTATATTTTTTAGGGATTTTAAGTTTTTATCGGCATAAAGGATATTAGTATCATCTGCGAGAGATAAAACTTAAGTTTATTCGAGCATTGATGTATGTCATTAACATACAATAAAAAAAGCAACGGGCCGAGCACGGATCCTTGGGGAATGCCATAACTTACGTTGGCTTTGTTTGAAATGTATGGTCCGATTTGGGTAGATTGCATCCGATTATTCAAATACGAGGAGAACCAATCATTAATAATTCCACGAAAACCATAGTGATTAAGTTTGTCAAGTAAAATGTTATGATCGACAGTATCAAAAGCTTTCTTGAGGTCTATGAAGACTCCGCACGAGAAAAGACCTTGATTCATATTAATTTGTATTGCGTTTACAATGTCTAATATTGCATGGTGAGTCGAGTGACCTTTACGAAAACCGTACTGAGAGGAATACAATAAGTTATGTTTGTCAATGTAATCTTTCATTCTGTTGTACATGATCTTTTCAAAAATTCTGTTACAGTTAGATAATAAGGATATAGGCCTGTAGTTATTCGCATCATTATCTTCGCCACTCTTGAATATTGGAGTTATTTTGGACAATTTAAGTTTTGAGGGGTATTTTCCTAGTGTAGGAGATATGATACTACTTGCACACTTTAATAATTTTATGGGAGATGAATATAGACCATAAGACTTGTTGTTTGGTATGGAGAGTATCTGAAATTTTACTTCGTCGGACGTCACCGGTAAGAATAGAAAAGATGAAGATGGTGCTTTGCAATGACTAACGTAATTAAGATAATGTTGTTGTGGCGTTGGAATTGTGCTAGCTAGCCTATTTCCTACAGACGAAAAATGGTCATTAAGAATATTAGCGACCTGTGAAGGTTCTTTTACGATTTTGTTGCTCTTATTCGGGTCCTTAATAGCAGTTATAATTTTGGTCTTCTTTCCGCGATGCAAGACGTCATTTATTCCTTCCCATGTCTTTTTCATGTTTGTTTTGTGGCGTTCGAAATAATCCTGATAGTATATCTTTTTACTTAGACGTATCAGGCTACAAATTTTGTTTCTATAATATTTGTATTTGTCTTCGTCACCGGACACATACAATTTGTTTTTAACCATAATGGATGCTTTTAATCCAGTAGTAATCCAAGGCTTAGAAAGCTGTTTGGCTTTACGCTTTGATAACTTTGTAATGGGAGTTATAAATGACTTAAATTGTTCTTAAGTAGCGTCAGAACTGCTGCTTAATACCATATTTCGATGCTAGGAAATTTTTTTCATCAGTCTTCCATTACTAAGAAAAGCTGAGCTTGTTAAATTGTAATTTTAGAAAATTTGTTTAAGATTTCATCGTAATTATCAAAGTAATGAAAATCGAGGTTTCACTATTTATGGGGAGATTGTTACATTGCACTGCATGGCTTTGTTTGCTAAAATCAGCATGAACTGATTGGGAAAACAGATGAAATAGACAATAATATCTACCGTTAATTATTGTAACTTTCGCTGTTTGCGTTTCCTGACGTCTACAAAAGTAATCTACTAGATGTATTTTTCACACATCTCGGTAAGGAAATGGAAGCTGCCATCTACATCATTGTTTTACTCCATATGAAGGGAATTTCGTCTGCCTTGAGCAAATACTGCATGGGTGAATTTGAAGAGAGTAGGGGAAACGTCAACCAGGATGGTTTGAAACATCGTGCCTCGTTAGGCCACAGTTTTAATAATGAAACATCATCTACATCTTTTGACTGCCACGTGAAATGCTTTGATGAGAAATGCAGGTGCCAAGCGTACCAAATCTGGAAAAATCGCTGTGAGTTGCTGGATGAAGACAGGTTTTCCGCCCCAGATGATTTCGTCTACCGTGAAGGATATAGCTACTTTTATATGAATAGGGAATATGTAAACCAGGTAAGAAATAATTTTTAAAAACAAACGCTTATTCGGCAATGTAATGGACATCTTTAGCTGGGTGGCTCCGTCTCTTTGTCTACATTTCGTTTTTTCGTTTCGAATTTCACCACCCAGCCATGTCTTTTTATCTTTTAGGTTTCCAAGAACAAATGATCATCCTTAATTAAACCTTGCAGTAACCAGTGCTGTAACCAGAATCAATGTGCCAATGGGGCACCTGCACTGAGTTATGTAAAGACGCTAAAAACAAATTCAACTGCACATGCGCAATAGGATATTACGGCCGATATTGTCAAAAACGAAAAGTCGCATCATGCAAAGAGCAACTGCAGAGAAACGAAGGGAGCCAGTCTGGAGTCTACCAACTTTTGAGCAAACAACTAAGGCCTTGTACGAGGTGTACTGCAATTTTAACTCTAGTGATGGATCTGCTTGGACACTGATCGAGTCATTCAGCTTGGCAACTAAAGAGAGATTTCGCAAACAAGGATTTTCAGGAAGACTACCCCATAAACCAAAACGCTTTTGCGTGGGATAATTTTCGTTTATCGTTATCCAGGATCACAACCACTGCTTTGCTTTCCATACACATGAGGGCGACCTGCAACTTTGACATGCATGGACTTAACTAAACTGATTACTTGAAAGCAGCATTGAGCGAAATAAAAACCATCACTAGCTTGTCTTTCGATAAGTGTCACCGATATGAATACATCAACATCAGAAGTTATAACTGTAGTAATTGCACAGCCAACTTTTATCAGTCAAGACGTTTTCATTCTCACGTCGATTCCTACTTTGGAACGTACATCGACCATTGTGAGCTTAAAACGCCAGGTGCTGTGAGTTCTTCAACTCGTGAAGATAACTTGGGAAATTACAAAACATTTAATCCTATACATAGGTGTTCGTCTTCTGACGACTCTACCACGCAGTGGTGGCTTGGGGTACAATAAGTCACACGTAAGAAAATATTATATCGCCACATCGTTTTTATTCACAGAGGTCAAGGGTTCGAATCCCGTACAAGCTTGAATGTTTTCAGGCTTTCTTTTCGCAACTGCAAAAGTTGCGTCTACAACTGCGACGATCCTCTTTCACACAATTAATTAAACCTTATTAAACAAAAAAATTAACCTTTATTTAGTAGAAATGCATGTTTGCTACAGCTCACGATATTTCTTGTACACAGGCCTGGAAATACGCTACCGCAATCGGCTCTCATTAAAACTTGGTAAAGCGTTCTCTTCGAATCCTAAGGTGTGGTCGCTGAGCGCCCCGTGTTAGCGCCCATGGGGGTTTCAAGAGGAGTACCCACGCCTAAAAAATGGGCCCTTTCTGAGTTACCCTAAGCTTCTGTTTCCAATCGAGGCTATCTGCGACGCCATTTATTTGAAAACGATTTTTTATTCTCCTGCAAATAAAACTCATTTTCACAACAAAGGTTTCACACTTAGCCTCGTTTTGAAAGTGAGGGATTTTGGAACTCGGAAATAGCCTATTTAACACATTTAAGGTATCAATTTCAAAAAGCTTGAGGATGAAACTTGTCTTAGCAAAAGGAAAAAGCACTGGCTAACTTTTCAGTTAGACATCTGTGTCGTCAAGTTTCAATTTTGCAATTATTTATGCCTTTTCCCTCCTATTGTATATTTAACAATTACCTCGGACCCCAATGGGCTATTGACTCAGAGGCCAACTAGTTGGTCAAAAATATCGAGAATAATGGCTCAAAATAATACAAACAACACACCCTTCAGTTTGACTTTTGCCTTCACAGACACATGTAACCTATGACAAATTCTACATGATGCCGGGTATTACGTTAGTAGATACGGCAATGTTTGAAGCCGTGCATGACGTGATTCTTGCCTACCCAAATAATGTTGAAATCATACAATTTTGCGTTTTACTATATTGTACTGCAATTCAAGTCCCTCACTGAAATCTACTATTTACCAATTATTCCTCGAGCCCGAATGGGCTCTGAGTCAATAGCCCATGAGGCCGAAGGCCGAATGGGCCTCTGACTATTGACTCAGAGGCCATGAGGGCGAAAGGAATAATTGTTTTAGTAAAATCCAACTAGTTGATCAAAAATATCGAGTATAAAAACTTTTAGCTAGTTAAAGCTAGACTTTAATTCTTTTTTTGCCACCAAAAATCCCGCGCTCTTCGCGATTAGTGAGCTATAACATGTAGTCTAGTAGTAGCTCAACCAATCAGAACGCAGCATTGAAAATAGACCACTAGTTTGATATTACCAGTAAACATTATTCAAACCATTGGTTGATCCAATGTACGGATCAGCACTGAGTAAGCTTACTTTTTCTTACCGCGAGGCTATTGTACTACTATCGGACTTTATTATGGCTATTATGACATGATATCACCATACAAACAAGCAGCTCATATTTATAGTTAAACTTTGATGAGGAGTCTTCTACAGACGAAGCATATTTTCTATGTATCCTCATTTATAGTCTGCCAAACGGCGAGTACATTATGCTTTTGTCTTCCCACTAAAATGCTCCGCCTTAATGCTACATTTGTCCCAATATAATGCCCAGTCGTCCTCCAAAAGCTCATTGAAATGAACGGATAATGTTCATCATCACGGAGAGATTTTTTGTTGAATATAAACATTTTGAACCTGGGGACTATGTTTCACCAAACCACCACTGCGTAGTAGAAGTGTCGTTTCTTGTGCATCTGTGAATAGGATTAACTGTTTGATACCAACCAAAATTATCCTCCCCTCCTGGGTAGGGCCTCGCCCCTGTGCTATTTAGCTGGCACTTCGCTATTCCGAAATAGGAATCAATATGAGCGTGCCAATGTTCATTTTGTCCAAAGTAAGCAGTGCAGTTAATGCAGTCGTGGCCTCTGATATTGATGTACTCGAGTTTTTTGCAATCGAGATCACTGAAATGCATAACGTTAATATCGCTAAACTTGGCTCGTAAATAATCGGTGTAGTTAAGACCATCTGTGTCAAAGTTGCATGTTGCGCGCACATTTGTCGAGTGGTCTGCTATGGTCTTCATCCGTAACCAGGATAAACGGAACTTTTTCCAGGTGAAGGCTTGTTGGTTTACCGGGTAATCGTTTAAAAATGTTTTATTCGTGAACTCCAACTTACAACCGAAGCTAAACGACTCGACCAGAGTCCAGATGATGGAATCAGCTGACCTAAAATCACAAAAAGACTTGGTACAATGAGTTGGTACTTGGATCAAACAGTTGATAAACACCAGAATTTTTTGCGTCTGTCATTTTCTAATTGTTCCTTGCAAGATGTAGGTCTTTGTTTATGACACAATCTGCCAAAATATCCCGTGGGACAGGTGCAGTTAAACTTTACTTTCGCATCACCACACAATTCAATGCACGTTCCTCCATTAGCACAAGGATTTGGGTTGCAGCAATGATTGATGCACAGTTTCTTTGATTTTGCGTTGTCAGGGATCTAAAGATAAAAAACAATTTTCGAATTTTGATGATATTGTGATATATCATTAGAAATAATATGATGAGAATTCAAGTTTGAGAATGATAAAAGGGTAGTAGGTTAATATTGTAATTTGACCCAAATTCAGACCGGGAGCTGGGTTTTTGGAATTTCACAACTTGCATTTTTGTTGTTGTTGTTGTTGTTGTTGTTGCTGTTTTGCTTCCTGAGCATCCTTTTATAGAACTATCAAATTTCTATCACGATTAACTCTAGTTTTACAGGTTGTAAGGAAAATTGAATACATTTGATTAACTCAAAATGACGGATCCTAGATGGCGGATGGTTAATTCCAGATCCGTCTTACATATCAAATGACGTCATCATGACATCACTGCTATTGTTAAAGATTATTAATGTGTTAGCCAACTTCTTGATTTTGCCCGACGCCGTACTATTTTAGTATTTTTCGCTCTAAGCGGAAATTTATAATTGATGGAATTAAGATTCTGCCAATAAAGTTTAAACGGCATAATGACGTCAAATTACGTCATGGTGTCAATCAAGTTATTTCATGATGTTGGAAATGATCAGTTTATTTTTCTGTGTAATTTTAGGGAGGCGAAGATAACCTCGGATGGTATAAAACAAGAAATCCGGTTCACAGATGTGTAGCAAGTAATGATTCTACTACACAGTGGTTGTTCGGGGTACAATACTAGGCTCTTTGATGAAGATCAATCCAGCGCAGACATTCTCTGAACATTTTCATCTTAAATGTCGACCCTGGAACTTTTGCCTGTTTTCTTTATTACCAGAACTGTAAAGGAGTAATAGTTCCCGGATAATGCAAGCTTTCCAGGTGATCCCTCCTTTATCCCACCTGACTTATGCATGTTGCACTGGATTCCAAGCTTACGTTCTCAGTGCTCTGGCCTTGCTGTGCAGCACCCGGAAACCTTTGAGGCTTTTCTTAGATTAGACGAGTTTTAATGCGCCTGCCACTTATGGATTCACCTATATGGGTCTATTTTTGCGTATTTTATTGTAAAACAAGGTTTAAATGAATTGGCGTCTTTCGACAGATCTTATCTCTTGCGACAGGTGTTTCACGATATTAATTCAATTTTTGCTGGATTGGGTGTTGGCAAACACATCTTAGGTTAGCGCAAATTAAAATCAGTATCATTGACATTCGTGAAACATGTAATTAAAAAGCCCATCTTGTACATCTATGTCGATGAGTGTTTCGGTCACATACTGTAAGTAAAACGGTAAAGTAACATTAAAAGAAAGAGGAGGCATCCGATTCCGTACTCTAGATTCCCAGTTACGAGGACTTTCCTAGAAGTAACAAGTGCAAACTGAGTAGTGAGTTGTTTAAATAATTTGGCACTCGGCATTTGGTTGAATTAATGCCATTTTCTGGTAAATGTAAACATTTATCATATAAATTTTTATGTTTTTTAAATACAAAGCATATATGGTATATGTCCCTGGAAGGAATACTCGATTCTATACCTTACGTTGGAACAATGACGCTGATGAACAACTTTCTTTTCGTTTTAATATTATTTGATGTCTGCAGTTTGAGATTAACAGTCACAGGCTGTCAGAGAAGATGCGAACAAAGCAGAGGAAGTATTGCTGAAACGGGTATGAAACATCGTGCTATACAGGGACACAGCTTCAAAAATTATACGCTGTCGAAAGCGTATGCTTGTCATGTAAAATGCTTCGAAGAGAAATGTAAATGCCAGGCGTACCAAATAGGAAAAAATCAGTGCGAATTGCTGAAGACTTTGTCGTAGAAGACGGATACGTTTATTTTGATATGAGTAGAGAATACGTCAACCAGGTAACCAATAAATAGTAACGACTTTCATTAAAGTCATTAAAAACAAGTAAATTAGGGGCCTCAGGCTACTAGCGTTTCCACCTTTGTCAAAGCAAATGAAAGAATTGGGAGTCGCTTTGAGTTTGTCATGATCGCGTTTTGTCAGGACCTCATTTTTTTGATAGGCTAACACTTAATTGTTTAACACGCACTTCAGTTCTCATACTCATCTTTTTCCCATCTTTAGGGACAGGTTTTCAAATTTTGTGTGTCTCTCTTAAAAATGCGTTCAATTTGTTAATTATTAATTACATCATCCTCGTTTTGAACAAAAGAGGCTTACACCTCTTCACATGGTGCATGTTTTCCGAATTGCCAAATTTGGTAATTCACCAACTATCTCAGTCATTTCAAGAACTCCCTTGTTTAGCCTCTTCTCGTATTTTATAAACAAGGAAAACCAACGGAAAGGAAACAATGCCTTCATAGATATTTTTATTCTTGACACTGTCAGTTTATAAAAAAAAAAAGGATTGTTTTAGGCCGGAGAGTAAATATTTCGGATTTGCATGTGTGTGGGTGTGATTGTTTATATTTATTAGTTATAAGAAGCGGACTAACAGCTACATCTTCTTTGGGGACACATATGTTAGGTGGATTCATGCGTGATAATTTTCTTCCACTCTTTTACAAAATTTATTTATCGACAATTGACGGATGCGAAAGCCGATTGCCTCTGTTTACAGTGCAAAATTTTTAGTTTGCTTCCATTTTTTCTCAGGCGTTCACGAAAATACATACCTCACCATCAAACATGTGGTGCTTGTGATAGTGTGGGAGGAGTGGGAGCATTTTGATTTTTCTACGTTAAAAAATCAAGATTTTGGCAAACCTAAAAGTTGAGCTCCCATAATGATACTGATAATAAAGAAACAAATTTAGACCGTTGCAGCAATGAGTGCCTGTAAACTAGCATGGATAAGCTAAGTGCACTTTCCACCATAAAAAAAGCCTTTAAACCTGTTATTAATTTTATTAATGAGATGAGCGAAAATTGTCAAACTATAACTATTCATTTATCATAATAATTATGTTTTCTACCAGCACTTTTAACACACCTTTCCCTTGTTGTTCTTCTAATAGACATCTACAAAAGAGGCTTGCAAAAGGCAACTTTGCCTTAACCAGTGCTGCAATCAAAATCCATGTGCTCACGGAGGGATCTGCACACACCTATGTGATGTAGCCAAACAAAAGTTCAACTGTACATGCTCGGAGGGATATTTTGGCAGATATTGTCAAAGGGAGAGAGCAACATCTTGCAAAGCGCAACGGCAGAAAAAGGAAGGGAGCAAGTCAGGAGTCTATCAACTGTTTGACCTAGCAACTAATTCCATGTACGAAGTCTTCTGTGATATTGACTCTGAAAAGAGATTCGTTTGGACTCTGATCGAATCTTTCAGCCTTCGCAATAATAATGAATTTTGGGATAAAGCATTCTACAAAAACTATCCGATAAATCAGAAAGAATTTACTTGGAGCAAGTTTCGTTTATCTCGCGCTCTTATGATGGCCACAGCAAACAACTCAACTCACGTTCGAGCAACGTGCAACTTTGATAGTGAAAAACGCAACTACAGAGATTACTTAAGAGCCAAGTTAAGTGAACTCGATGTTATGCATTTTGATTCTATCGAGTGCACAAAATTTGAATTCGTTAGCGTTCGAGGATATAACTGTAGCAACTGCACAGCCCTTTTTGGCCAATCTGATAAAATGCATGCGCACATCGATTCTTATTGGGGTTCGGAACAACGGTATAAATGCCAGTTTACCGGCGCATTAGTAGGTGCTGTTAAGAGACCTGGAGGCGAAGATAACTTCGGTTATTATGAAACAGTCAATCTGAATCACACATGTACGTTGAGTGATGATTCTACTACTCAGTGGTGGTTTGGAGTACATGAATGAGCTTCAATAAAAACTGTCACATTTAGACATTAACCCTTATAATTATTGGGCTTTCTGGAACTAATTTAGGGTGGCTTAGGAGGCCCCCCACCACTTTAACAAGAATACAGCCACCAAAATTAGACAGGTTAAGGTCATTATAATAAATCATTTGCAACATCTAGATTGACACAACTACGCAATGTAACGTTATTGGGGAATGTCGTATTGTTAAATTTATTGGCAGCACCCATATTTCATCAATTTTTCTTCGCAATGTAAAGATAAGGGAAAAAATACTTTATAAGAAATGATGCTCATCATCAAACATGAAGAATTGTGCAAGTCGAGGAGGATTAATTAAACCTCAGTGAATAATAGCTTCCGTAATATCTTAGCTCGTATACACAGCTCTTTATATCATACGAAATCCGAATTTAGTAATTGTGATGAGCCATTAACGCTCCTCCGTTGAGACAGTAAATATTCAGTTCTCTTCTTTGCTCCGACAGGTTTTTTCCTTATTAATCCGAATGTATTTTCTTTATTTCTTTACAGACTTATTTATTTTATTTATAGCCATAGTCCAGTGTTTTTTTTCTTTTGGCAAAAAATGAGGGTATATATTTAAGACCTCAAAGGGCCGGGCTTTTGAATTGCTATTTGCCGAAGCCGAGGACTGTACATGATGAGATAGCAGGCAGCGCACAAAATTCCTTACATCATATTCCGTTTCATCTCATGGGTTGTATCAACGTCATTTAGGTAAACTAATGCTATGTTCTATTAAAGGTAATTATGTGTAGAAGTTCATGCTATTTGAGAACAGCAAGCCCATTTCATTTGAGACATTTTCAATTTAAGTGGAATGTTAATCTAATATGGAATTCAATCATGGAAAGGAACACTCAATATTAAATCGTACGCCCAAACAATGACGCTGATGAAGTATTATCTTTTCTTTTTTAATAGTCTTTGATGTCTGTAGTTTGAAATGAAGAGTCGCAGCTTGTCAGGGGATCGATGCAAATAAAGCGGTGGTGGTATAAGTAAAACGGTTATGAAACATCTTGCTATACAAGGCACCCCTTCAAATATTATACGCTGTCAAAAGCGTATGACCAGTTTCGTTTCCAGGGTTCTCTCCTAGGAACGTGAGAGAGGACCCTGGAAAGAGGCTAGTGTATAAATGTCATGAATGTGAAATGCATCGATGAGAAATGTTAATGCCAGTCGTACTAAATCAGACAAAATCGATGCTAGTTGCCAAATGAAGACAGATTTTCTGCCAAGACGACTTTGTCTAGAGAGAAGGATATATTCCTGGAGCTAGGTCCGTTTTGCTTTATCCAGAGGACACAAAAGGTTTGTAACTGGATAGGGATTGAAATTTGGGAAAATGTAGTTTTAAGTAAAACCGATATTACTATGACAACAATAAACAAAAAAACTTCGAAATTGGTAAACGCCTGATTTTCTTCGATCTAGACCAGCCACTGAAAATCCAACACTAGGAACTTAAAGTTTGGTGTGTAGCAAACAATCCCCGTAAGAAGTAAAAAAATTCTGTATGTTTGAATTCGACTAAAACGAAAATATATTTCAAACCCTAAATTTTCAACAGCCGTGATAGATTATTTAATAAAAACGTTATCAACTTCTTCAACTTCTTCTTCAACTTTATTTTATAAGACTATTGGTTACAATAGACTGGCCCGCAAAATAGCAATTGCTAATCTAGGCGGACCAGTTAAAAGAAAAATAAATTGAAAGGAAAAGAAAGGAAAGGAAAAGGACGGAAAACTACAATTTGAAGTTACAATAAATAATATTCTATCACAGCTTTATTTTAATTACATTAAATCTGAACAAGCAAACAAACAAATACTTTAATACAGAAATCACTAAACTATTAATCGAACTTTTTCAACTATTAAGGGCGTCTCAATATAGTCATCTTCTCTTTTCAAGATATCCGAAAGCAATCTGTGAAGTACTTTCTTAAATTTCTTTTTAGGGAGATCTCTAATATGACAAGGCATCTCATTCCAAAGTTTTACACCAAAGCGAGACAAGGAGTTTTTGTGTATTTCCAGCTTTGAGCTTTTGACGTGAAAGTTACCTGAACTAGATGATCTTGTATAGTATGAATGAATTGTTGAAGTTTTTTCAAATAAATTGAGCAGATTTGTTGGCGAATTGTTGTTGTTAATATCGTGCATTAGATTAGCCACAGTTTTATAATACATAAATGACACTGGTAATATGTCAGCGTCGATAAATAGAGGAATTGCGTGTTCACGTATATCCGTAAAATACATCATGCGAAGCACTTTCTTCTGGAGAATTAAAATTTTATTGAGGGACGTTTTGGATGCCTGACCCCAGGCAGCAAGACCATAGTTTAGGTGAGGGTGGATTAATGTTTGGTAAATATATAACAGTATATGACGGGGTATGGAGTGCCGAAGTTTTGAAATTAGTCCAACGGTTTTACTGATTTTTGCCGTAATGGCGTCAATGTGATATTTCCAAGTAAGATTTTTATCAATCAACACACCAAGATATTTAATATAATTTTTGGACTCTAGAGTTACATTTCCATTTTTTTCGTTATCGAACATGCAGAGGCTCGGTTGGTAAGTGACTTTTTTTGATAAGGATGAAAGATTACAAAGTTAGTTTTTGTAGTATTGAGAGTTAACTTATTGGATGTTAACCATTCGTGGAGGTTTTTCTAATTCGATATTTACTATATTTTTTAGGGATTTTAAGTTTTTATCGGCATAAAGGATATTAGTATCATCTGCGAGAGATAAAACTTAAGTTTATTCGAGCATTGATGTATGTCATTAACATACAATAAAAAAAAAGCAACGGGCCGAGCACGGATCCTTGGGGAATGCCATAACTTACGTTGGCTTTGTTTGAAATGTATGGTCCGATTTGGGTAGATTGCATCCGATTATTCAAATACGAGGAGAACCAATCATTAATAATTCCACGAAAACCATAGTGATTAAGTTTGTCAAGCAAAATGTTATGATCGACAGTATCAAAAGCTTTCTTGAGGTCTATGAAGACTCCGCACGAGAAAAGACCTTGATTCATATTAATTTGTATTGCGTTTACAATGTCTAATATTGCATGGTGAGTCGAGTGACCTTTACGAAAACCGTACTGAGAGGAATACAATAAGTTATGTTTGTCAATGTAATCTTTCATTCTGTTGTACATGATCTTTTCAAAAATTCTGTTACAGTTAGATAATAAGGATATAGGCCTGTAGTTATTCGCATCATTATCTTCGCCACTCTTGAATATTGGAGTTATTTTGGACAATTTAAGTTTTGAGGGGTATTTTCCTAGTGTAGGAGATATGATACTACTTGCACACTTTAATAATTTTATGGGAGATGAATATAGACCATAAGACTTGTTGTTTGGTATGGAGAGTATCTGAAATTTTACTTCGTCGGACGTCACCGGTAAGAATAGAAAAGATGAAGATGGTGCTTTGCAATGACTAACGTAATTAAGATAATGTTGTTGTGGCGTTGGAATTGTGCTAGCTAGCCTATTTCCTACAGACGAAAAATGGTCATTAAGAATATTAGCGACCTGTGAAGGTTCTTTTACGATTTTGTTGCTCTTATTCGGGTCCTTAATAGCAGTTATAATTTTGGTCTTCTTTCCGCGATGCAAGACGTCATTTATTCCTTCCCATGTCTTTTTCATGTTTGTTTTGTGGCGTTCGAAATAATCCTGATAGTATATCTTTTTACTTAGACGTATCAGGCTACAAATTTTGTTTCTATAATATTTGTATTTGTCTTCGTCACCGGACACATACAATTTGTTTTTAACCATAATGGATGCTTTTAATCCAGTAGTAATCCAAGGCTTAGAAAGCTGTTTGGCTTTACGCTTTGATAACTTTGTAATGGGAGTTATAAATGGCTTAAATTATTCTTAAGTAGCGTCAGAATGCTGCTTATTTTAAATATCATATTTCGATGCTAGGATTTTTTTTTTTATCAGTCTTCCATTACGCTACCAAGAAAAGCTGAGGTTGTTAAATTGTAATTTAGAAAATTTGTTTAAGATTTCATCGTAATTATCATAGTAATGAAAATCCAGGTTAAACTATTTATGGCGAGATTGTTACATTGCACTGCATGGCGTTGTTTGCTAAAATCAGCGTGAACCGATTGGGAAAACAGGTGAAATAAATGACAAGTTAACATCGACCGTTAATTATTGTAACTTTCACTGTTTGCGTTTCCTAACGTCTACAAAAGTAATCTAGTAGATGTATTTTTCACACATCTCGCTAAGGAAATGGAAGCTGCCATCTACATCATTGTTTTACTCCATATGAAGGAAATTTCGTCGGCCTTGAGCAAATACAGTGTGGGTAAATTTGAAGAGAGTAGGGGAAACGTCAACCAGGCGGGTTTGAAACATCGTGCCTTGTTAGGCTACAGTTTTCATAATGAAACATCATCTACATCTTTTGACTGCCACGTGAAATGTTTTGATGAGAAATGCAGGTGCCAAGCGTACCAAATCTGGCAAAATCGATGTGAGTTGCTGGATAAAGACAGGTATTCCGCCCCAGATGATTTCGTCTACCGCGAAGGATATAGCTACTTTTATATGAATAGGGAATATGTAAACCAGGTAAGAAATAATTTTTAAAAACAAACGCTTATTCGGCAATGTAATGGACATCTTTAGCTGGGTGGCTCCGTCTCTTTGTCTACATTTCGTTTTTTCGTTTCGAATTTCACCACCCAGCCATGTCTTTTTATCTTTTAGGTTTCCAAGAACAAATGATCATCCTTAATTAAACCTTGCAGTAACCAGTGCTGTAACCAGAATCAATGTGCCAATGGGGCACCTGCACTGAGTTATGTAAAGACGCTAAAAACAAATTCAACTGCACATGCGCAATAGGATATTACGGCCGATATTGTCAAAAACGAAAAGTCGCATCATGCAAAGAGCAACTGCAGAGAAACGAAGGGAGCCAGTCTGGAGTCTACCAACTTTTTGAGCAAACAACTAAGGCCTTGTACGAGGTGTACTGCAATTTTAACTCTAGTGATGGATCTGCTTGGACACTGATCGAGTCATTCAGCTTGGCAACTAAGAGAGATTTCGCAAACAAGGATTTTCAGGAAGACTACCCCATAAACCAAAACGCTTTTGCGTGGGATAATTTTCGTTTATCGTTATCCAGGATCACAACCACTGCTTTGCTTTCCATACACATGAGGGCGACCTGCAACTTTGACATGCATGGACTTAACTAAACTGATTACTTGAAAGCAGCATTGAGCGAAATAAAAACCATCACTAGCTTGTCTTTCGATAAGTGTCACCGATATGAATACATCAACATCAGAAGTTATAACTGTAGTAATTGCACAGCCAACTTTTATCAGTCAAGACGTTTTCATTCTCACGTCGATTCCTACTTTGGAACGTACATCGACCATTGTGAGCTTAAAACGCCAGGTGCTGTGAGTTCTTCAACTCGTGAAGATAACTTGGGAAATTACAAAACATTTAATCCTATACATAGGTGTTCGTCTTCTGACGACTCTACCACGCAGTGGTGGCTTGGGGTACAATAAGTCACACGTAAGAAAATATTATATCGCCACATCGTTTTTATTCACAGAGGTCAAGGGTTCGAATCCCGTACAAGCTTGAATGTTTTCAGGCTTTCTTTTCGCAACTGCAAAAGTTGCGTCTACAACTGCGACGATCCTCTTTCACACAATTAATTAAACCTTATTAAACAAAAAATTAACCTTTATTTAGTAGAAATGCATGTTTGCTACAGCTCACGATATTTCTTGTACACAGGCCTGGAAATACGCTACCGCAATCGGCTCTCATTAAAACTTGGTAAAGCGTTCTCTTCGAATCCTAAGGTGTGGTCGCTGAGCGCCCCGTGTTAGCGCCCATGGGGGTTTCAAGAGGAGTACCCACGCCTAAAAAATGGGCCCTTTCTGAGTTACCCTAAGCTTCTGTTTCCAATCGAGGCTATCTGCGACGCCATTTATTTGAAAACGATTTTTTATTCTTCTGCAAATAAAACTCATTTTCAGAACAAAGGTTTCGCACTTGGCCTCGTTTTGAAAGTTAGGGTTTTTAGAACTCGGAAATGGCCTATTTAACACATTTAAGGCAAAAATTTCAAAAAGCTTGAGGATGAAACTGAATCAGATTTTAGCAAAAGAAGGAAGCACAGGCTAACTCTTCAGTTAGACATCTGTCTCGTCAAGTTCCCACTTTGCAATTATTTATGCCTTTTCCCTTCTATTGCATATTTAACAATTACCTCGGACCCCAATGGGCTATTGACTCAGAGGCCAACTAGTTGGTCAAAAATATCGAGAATAATGGCTCATAATAATACAAACAACGCACCCTTCAGTTTGACTTTTGCCTTCACAGACACATGTAACCTATGACAAACTCTACAAGATGCCGGGTATTACGTGAGTAGATTCGGGGATTTTTGAACCCGTGTATGACGTGATTCTTGTCTACCCAAATAATGTTCAAATCATACTGTATTGCGTTTTTAATACTTGTTTAAAAATTGTACTGCAATAAAAGTCCCTCACTAAAATCTACTATTTAACAATTATTCCTCGAGCTCGAATGGGCTCTGAGTCAATAGCCCATGAGGCCGATGGCCATGAGGGCGAGAGGAATAATTGTTTTGGTAAAATCCAACTAATTGGTAAAAAATATCGAGAATAAAAAAAAATTAGCTGGTTAAAGCTAGACTTTATTCCTTTTTTGCCGCCAAAAAGCCCGCGCTTTTCACGACTAGTGGGCTATAACAGGTAGCCTACGATAATAGACCACTAGTTGGATTTTACTAATAAACTTTATTCAAACCATTGGTTGATCCAATGTACAGATCAGCACTGAGTAAGCTTACTTTTCTTACCGCGAGGCTATTGTACTATTATGACTATATTATGGCTTCTATGACATAATATCACTATACAAACAAGCAGCTCATATTTATAGTTAAACTTTGATAAGGAGTCTTCTACAGACGAAGCATATTTTCATGTATCCTCATTTATAGTCTACCAAACGACGAGTACATTATGCTTTTGTCTCCCCACTAAAATGCTCCACATTAATGCTACACTTGTCCCAATAAAATGCCCAGTCGTCCTCCAAAAGCTCATTGAAATGAACGGATAATGTTCATCATCATGGAGAGATTTTTTGTTGAATATAAACATTTTGAACCTGGGGACTATGTTTCACCAAACCACCACTGCGTAGTAGAAATGTCGTTTCTTGTGCATCTGTGAATAGGATTAACTGTATCATACCAACCAAAATTATCCTCCCCTCCTTTGTAGATCATCGCCCCTGTGCTCTTTAGCTGGCACTTCGATATTCCGTGGTAGGAATCAATATGAGCGTGCCAATGTTCATTTTGTCCAAAGTAAGCGGTACAGTTAATGCACTCGTGGCCTCTGATATTGATGTACTCGAATTTTTTGCAATCGAGATCACTGAAATGCATAACGTTAATATCACTAAACTTGGCTCGTAAATAATCGGTGTAGTTAAGACCATCTGTGTCAAAGTTGCATGTTGCACGCACATGTGTTGAGTAGTTTGCTATGGCCTTCATCCTTGACAAGGATAAACGGAACTTTTTCCACGTGAAGGCTTGTTGATTTACTGGGTAATCGTTTAAAAATGTTTCACTCCTGAACTCCAACTTATAACTGAAGCTAAACGACTCGACCAGAGTCCAGATGATGGAATCAGCTGACCTAAAATCGCAAAAGACTTGGTACAATGAGTTTTTCCTTGGATCAAACAGTTGATAAACACCAGAACTGCTGCGTCTGTCATTTTTTAATTGTTCCTTGCAAGATGTAGGTCTTTGTTTATGGCACAATCTGCCAAAATATTCCGTGGGACAGGTGCAATTAAACTTTACTTTCGCATCACCACACAATTCAATGCACGTTCCTCCATGAGCACAAGGATTCTGCTCGCAGCAATGATTGATGCATAGTCTCTTTGATCTTGCGTTGACAGGGATCTAAAAATAAACAACAATTTTCGAATTTTGATGATATTGTGATATATCATTAGAAATAATATGATGAGAATTCAAGTTTGAGAATGATAAAAGGGTAGTAGGTTAATATTTAATTTGACCCAAATTCAGACCGGGAGCTGGGTTTTTGGAATTTCACAACTTGCAGAATTTTTTTTTTTTTTTTTTTTTTGCTTCCTGGGCATCCTTTTATACAACTATCAAATTTCTATCTCGATTAACTCTAGTTTTACGGATTTTAAAGAAAATTGAGTACATTTGATTAATTCAAAAGGACGGATCCTAAATGGCGGATGGTTCAAGGGATCCTTCTTAAATATCAAATGACGTCATCATGACATCACTGCTATTGTTAAAGATTATTAATGTGATAGCCAACTTCTTGATTTTGCCCGACGCCCTACTATTTCAGTATTTTTCGCTTTGAGGGAAATTTATAATTGATGGAATTAAGATTCTGCAAATAAGTTTAAACGTCATAATGACGTCAAATTACGTCACTGTGTCAATCAAGTTATTTCATGATGTTGGAAATGATGAGTATATTATTCTGTGTAATTTTAGTGGCCGTATCTTGATATGGAAGCCAACTTTTATAGAATATTTTTTTAATCACAATAGCACGTCGCCAAGCAAAGAATTGATTTATGGCTGCGTGAAAACGGACGCAACAACGCCCAATATTGTTGGGCCAACAATGTTGGGACCTGCAGTGCATCGTGGGAAGGATACAACCCATAAGTCTTTGTAAACCATGCGTAATGAGCGTAAGTGGCCCCAACAATGTCGGAAGAGCTGTTCAAACGGATCCAACATTGTTGCGCTACGCTTCGGCGATCACGGAACAAAAGAAATGTTGGGAGTTGTTGGGTGAAAAGTTTGACCGGTTTCAAACTTTCCGCAACAACACGCAACCGCATCCAACAACATGCAAGAGGGTGTGCAAACGGACGCAACATGTAACATCCAACAATGTTGCGTCCGTTTGCACGGGGCTTATGAATGGCACAAGGCGGCCATCTTGGGTCGGCCATTTTGTTTTTCTCTTAATTTGCTTTTTTTTTCCTTGTGAAGTCTATGATTAAAGACTTGATATTCATTTATTAAGCATTAATACTGAGTTTTAAGCAAACATTCCCGTCTAGAAGATTAATTAAGTTACCATAGAGACCCTACGTAATAAGAAAAGAAATCATCTGCACACTCAAAAGATTAAACGGCACGAAGTTCGATAGAAGTTTCCCCTTTTTTTTGTTTCTTAATTATAAACGCTTCCAGCTGGCGAGGAAAAAATCAACGCCCCCCTCATTTCATTCTGGTTGTGCTCAGCAGTCAGCCTGTATATATTTTTCCCCTGTGTTTGTCTCTTTCAGGAGATCTTAATGCAACTTTACTGATAGAAATCACCTTTGCTCGACGGTGGATGAAAGGGTTTGTTTACAAAGAAATTATGGCTTTTCCCTTTTTTAAAAACACTTCATCTGGCTCGCTAGCCTGCAACCAAAAAATGCGGTCCAAACATATGGAAATTAAACTAAAGTAAAAATCATCAACAATTTCAGCGTTTGTCTTACCAAGTTAGCAAATTCCCGGTTCATGTCGAAGTAGGTGTACTCGGCATCGTTAACGAAATCGTTGGGAGCGGAAAACCTATCTTCGTCCAATAGCTCACAGCGTTTTTGCCATATTTGGTACGCTCGACATCGGCACTTCTCTTCGAAACATTTCACATGACAGTCATAGGCTTGGAACAAAGAGAAATTTTTATGTCCCAGCATGGCATGGTTTGTCCCCAGTCGATGTCTGCCCCGACTTATCTCACATTTGCCTTGATGATAAGCGATTGTTAACCTCACAATACACCCAGCAAGTATAAAAAATGGATACCAGAGACAAAAAGATTTTGGAACTTCCATGTCTTGTCAAATAATGAATCAAAACAGTTAAGAGTACATGTTGTAAAACGTTCTCCTTGAATCCCGATTCTCCCTTGCCTTCTTGGTAGAATTTACCGTTATTAGAATATCTGCTGTGGAAGTGTAGTTATGTATCAAGAATAGCGTGTGAAAAATTACCCCTTTTTGCATCTACCGAGCATTGTCATGCTAATCTAAAATACATAGACGTCCTAAACTGTGTTTGACTTGAGACTGGGAAAATGACGAGATAAGACCATTTCACCTGCCTGTCGACAAATTAAATGTCAGATATAATAAGAAAAGGTTAAAAAATATATGTCTTGTTTCCTTAAAAAAGGGGAAAAAATGAAAAAAAAAAAAACTACCGTTAATTACCGATGGAGGGGTCAAGGTTTTTATTGCTAAAGCACAGACAGGGCGTTTGAATGATGAATCCTTCACTTATTATTATAATATGTTTAGAAGTACTTTTATTTCTCCTTCTCTCCTCTCAAGATATATCATCACGAGACACTTATGGTCTTTCTGATTGTTTGTTTTCTGCTTTCTTTGTAATTTCCGTTTATCGCAGAATGGGTGATTGTAAGTGGTTAATTGGCTTTGATGCGTACTGTTCTCGTGACATTAAATTTACTCACACTTTTTAAGTCCATCACATTACTTATTTTCATTCACTAACAGTCACATTCAATAATATTCATTGTATATCTTTGTAACTTATTGCAAATAACTCTTTTACAGAGACTGAAGTCTAATATTTTATGAGGAGGCAGAATTTACGTGGATTCACTTAATGTGCAAGGAGCAGCTGGTTAAATTGCTTCTGTCGCAGTTCACTTTTTTGCCCCTTATTCATGGCTCTTCGGTAGACGGACATATGCACTATTGATTTCATATTTATGCCCATTCTCGGCGACGCGGACCAAAAGGATTGCAGCTCTGGAAACGAGAATGATTTATGGTGTTTATGCTGAATAGTGAAGCAAATATTCTGAAAACAGTTCACCAATTTGGAATTTTAATAAATCTGACTTTTGCACTAACGATATACAGCTAGTCCGAGAAAGGTTAATTGTCGGAAAAAGTGCACGCGACAATCCCGAAAGGTATTGTGGGTGGTTTTCAGTTCACTGTTTTTCAAACAAATCTCAAAGAATGGCAAGAGAGGCCATGGACGTATGTTTGCGAGTGCTAAAGGAAAGCAACAAAAGTAGGTTCGACAGCTACAGTGTCAGGAACCGTGTGTTGATCATATCTCATATTACCTTTCGGGATTGTCGCGTGCACAGTTTTTGCGACAACCTATCTAGCAATAGCTGTATATTTCTTATTACTGACAACTACTTTTTCGAATTATGGAATGAAAATATAGGCAGCAAATCTTCATTTTCGTTTCTGAACATCACAATGATATCCGGTATGTAATACGCCGGGACACCTATCGGATATGTGACTCTCCACTTTGGAGAGCGGCGAGGTGCAGCTTCGCTTGTTACAGAAATCGCGACGAAATCACCGTTCTTGTGTGTGAATAGAAGCCCTATCCGTTATGGTTTTCGTGCCAACATAAATTAAAGCTATATCCACTATAGTATGAACACCTATCCAATATGTGACTCTCTACTGTCGAGATGGGCCCAGCGCAGCTTCGCTGCGTTACAGAAATCGAACCGAAACCAGCGTTCTTATGTCTGCGCTCCACTGACAAAACACGACTGATATTTTTGCGATAACCGAGTTCAATAATTGTTTCATCATTCAGTAGCTAAGTTTTTTTTTTCCGATAAATATCTTCTACAAGCTGTCATTTTCACGAAAGAGTGATCGCATGAGCAGAATATTGTTTGCAGCCCCACACAGTTGGACGACATTGCGCATGAATAGACCATTATTTATAGACAGTTATTTGTAGGTCATGTGGTGGGCTCTCGGCTAATGAAAAGGCAGAAAAATTTGCATCGAATGATAATGTATTTTATTTTTTCCCTTTCGCATAATCATGGTGTCTTGAATAGCATGGTGCCCGCAAGGTTACGGAGTCAGCTGACTGTATACTTATCCCGTACGTACTCCACTTCTTTTTCCATCATTGACAAGGCTTTAAGAGTTTTTATGATTATTAGAGTATAACTTGGGAAAGTCACTGAATGTAAAAGAATTAGAGCTTTAAAGGTGTCAACTTATAATTAAATTAGCGAAGTTATTGTACATATTCGTTTAGACAAAATAAAGCGAGATGTTGTACCGCCACCGAAATGATCCCCACCATCGAAATGATCTCCGCCACCGAAATGACCCTCAATCACCACCGAAATGATACCGGCGGTCACCACCGAAATGATCCCCGGAATATCGGGAATGGAATTAAGAGGACTACAAAAACTGGACAACAATTTAGTGCGTGCTTTTTATTTGTTTATATTGCATCTTTTTTACGGTGGGTAATTTACCTTTTACCGCACTTTATTTTGCAGTAAATTGTTTTTTTTGGGGGGGGGGGGGGGGTTAACACTAGACAATACTTGTTCAAAAGATGCAATTCACTTATGTCTTCTATTTCTTCGCATTTTTTTTTGCAAGAAAATCTTCTTAATAAAATTGTGTTGAAGCAAAAAAAGTCAAATCTTGCAATCAGGTTATGTCTTCTTGATGATGTCATGACGACAGTGATGACGTCAGTTACAGGCTCACATTACAAATGCTCTTCGAATTATCAACCCCGATATGTGCTGACATTTAATAGCCCGGCACCATGATCTAACACTGTCAAGTTTTTAACGCAAAACTAGTTGTAATCTGCTCGTTATCACGTTATATGATAAACCTGTTCCCTGTTCAAGGCGGATTTATGTAGTTCCTTTAAAATTTGAAAATAAAATCAGTGTATAGAACTGTTATCAGTCTAATTGCTTTCGGTATTTTTCTCTCTTTAGAATCGTGTTTGCATGAATAAACGAAGAATTTAGAATAGATAGCAAAGTCCCAAGTCCATTTAATCCAAGGTTCCGAAAATTTATGACGGATCATTTCGATTGTGAATAGGTATCATTTCGGTGGTGGGGATAATTTCGGTGGTGATTGGAGGTCATTTCGGTGGCGGAGATCATTTCGATGGTGGGGGTCATTTCGGTGGCGGTACAGGTCTTCACGAGAAAGGCAAACGTCGTGGTAAGTAAGAATGACGTACATCTGTTATGGATGGTTTTATACCATCCATATTGACTTCTACATGATTATGAACCAAGGGCATTGCCTAAATTGGACATAAATGGTAGCCAAAGGTTCCAAATCAAATCTGCCGTATTTCGTGATTTGTATTATTTGAATCGTCCGAATTTATAGTTCTGTTAAAACTACGACTTTAACCATCAAGGCAATGATCCATTTTCTACATCAAATAAACTCTTGAGATTCTACGAAAAGATGTCATGAGATTGATCCTACAGCTGCTGAAACCAAGCGACCTCTGTTCAAGCATCATGGACAACAATGCATAAACTCAAACAGTATAGAATTCAGTGATCTCCTGTGAGATAAAGGTGACTGTATCTCCCCAATAAGATGAACATTTTTTGGCCAATCAAAATGTCAAATTAACGCTTTCCAAACTGTTTTTATATTTGATGTGTGATAGCCTGTTAAATAAAGAGCCATTTGTATAATTTCTGTATCAGTTACCAATTGCTTTGTTTGGCCAGTGAATGTTTATGAATAATATGCATTCTCTTTATAAAGCTTTTGAAGTTATATCTAGCACGCTTACCAAAACTTAGAAATCAGGTTAAAACCGCGAGAAATAATAAGTTTTTTTGGTGCTTTACATGAAAAATAACACATAGATAAGCACTTTGCATGATTTTAGCCACACGATTTACTTTTATTGTTGAAATATGTTAAAAAACATATATGTTCACCCCAAAATGGCTTGACCACCTGCTACTTATGTCGTCATAACAAATTATATTTTGTACCCTGTAATAGCAGAAATTCCCGCAAAGTTTTCTTTTGCACTTCCCTTCGTATGAACTCGAGACATAATATACTCCTACAAGTTCTTTAATGAAAATTTCATCTCGATTCTGTTGGGTTAAGAATATTGATGTCAATTTTTATAGCATGAATTATCGATGTGCGTTACCACGTCGCGAAGCAAAAGAATTGATTTATAAATAGGGACTTTAAGATCCAACCACTCGACGGCTACGGGAACGTCGCTTAAAAAGTTAATTTGGGTTCCTATAGTCTTTATAGCGATTATTCCTACCCACTTACTTTGTCAAATGTAGGAAAACCCTCCTGATAGAATTTCAAGGGACCATATCCATGGAAGTTCAGAGAGAGAAATAAAATTTCGTCGTTCAGTTGCTTGTCTACGTCGTCCATAAAACGCAAACTGATCGGGCATTTTCACGTCTTAGTCGTGCAAAAACAGGAAATAAATTTACAAAAAAAAACGTGATGCATGTACAAAGTTGTTTTTTGCTTTTTAAACTAATTGTTTGGTTTTTTTTGACGTTCTCGTTGCCGTCAGCGTTGTTGGATCTTAAAATCCCTAATGGCGCATGGCCGCAGCGGTCGGCCATTTTAGATTTCTCTTTTGTTGCTCTAATACCTTGTGAAGGGTATGATTAGAGACTCGACATTAATTTATTTAACGTCAATGTTGAGTTTTGGGCAAATATTCCGTTTTAGAAGATTAAGTTTCTATAGAGACCTCACATATTATGATCAGAAACCATCTGCACAGTCAAAGGATTAAGGCAATTAAGACAATAACAGGAAGTTCAATGGATTTTTTGCAGCTGGCGAGAAAAAAAATCCTCCCCCCGCCCGCCCCTCCCTTTCACTCCCTTCTGTTTGTGCGCAACAATTTCAGAGTGTTTTAATATTTTTCCCTTCTGTTTGCCTGAGACGATTTTCAACTTTACTGCCGAAGTGTGGCTTTTCACTTCTTTTGACACTTCAACTGGCTGCAGATAGCCTGCAAACAAATTGAGGGCCAACCATTCTTCGTCGATGGTCTTAAGATTTTTCGATACAGTTTTTCGGAGACCATACCGATATTTTTCAATCGACTTAAAAGTAATTTATGCTTGCCTGATCGCCACAAGATTTTCACCAGTGATTGACTATGAATTGAAGTTTGTCAAAATGTAGTTTTTAGTAAAATCAACATCACTATGACAACAATAAAAAAAGTTAAAATCGATTTAATCCGAATTTCGCGCAATCTATAGACCCGCTACTGAAAATCCAACACCAGGAACTTAAAGTTTGGTGTTTAGCAAATAACCTCCGTGCGAAATAAAAAATTTTGTATGTTTGAATTCAAATAAAACATAATTTCAAACCTTATATTTTCAATAGCCGTCATTAATTGTTCAATAAGCAAAGTTTGAAGTAACTGAAATTTATGTTCAGTAACATCAGAGCGCTGCTTAATATCATTTTTCGATGCATGGAAATTTTGGTCTATTTTGTTTTTTGTGATCCTGAAAACTAACATGTTTTGTCACCACCCGTCTAAGTGCAACTTTATTCTAATTTTTGACTTTTAGCGCTTTTCTGTATATCTCGATAAAACCGCTCGACAGATTTCTCCTTAAACCTCATCACACAATCTCCCTGATGTATATATTAACGTCTGAAACTTTCATTGAGATTGATTCACTAAAACACCTCGGACGAGGATAAAATCACTTTTAAGGCGATTGAAAAACATTGTTATGGTCTCCGAGAAACTGTGTCGAAACACCTTTAAAGACGGGTATCTGATGGAAATTAAACTAGGGCAAAAATCAACAATAATCAATTTCAGAGCGTTAACTTTGTCTCACCAAGTTAAGAAATTCCCGGTTCATGTCGTAATAGGTGTACTCGGCATCGCTAACAAAGTCTTTAGGAGCGGAGAACCTGTCTTCATCCAATAGCTCACAGCGTTTTTGCCATATTTGGTACGCTTGACATCTGCACTTCTCTTCGAAACATTTGACATGGCAATCATAAGCTTGCGAGAAAGTAAAATTTTTGTAGCTGTGTCCGAGCATGGCATGGTTTGTCCCCATTCGATGTCGGCCCTGACTTATCTCACATTTGCCTTGATGATAAGCGATTGTTAACCTCACAAAACATCCCGCAAGTATGAAAAATGAATACCAGAGACAAAAAGATTTTGGAACTTCCATGTCTTGTCAGATAATGAATCAAAACAGTTATGAGTAGATGTTGTACAAGGTCCTTTTTTAATCTTGATTTTCCCTTGCCTTCTTGCTAGCATTTAACATTATTAGAATATTCGCTGTGGAAGTGCAGTTATGTATTAAGAATTGAGTGGGAAAAATTACCCCTTTTTGCATCTACCGAGCATTGTCATGCAAATCTAAAATGCATATAATTCGTAAACTGTGTTTGACTTGAGACTGGGAAAATGACGGGATAAGACCATTTCACCTGTCTGTCGACAAATTATACGTCAGAAATAATAAAAAAGGTAAAAAAAAAATACATATGTCTTATGTCCTTAAAAAGGGGGATCGACCAGATAAAAGGAAAAAAAATACCGTTAATTACCGATGGAAGAGTCAAGGCTTTTATTGGTAAAGCATTGACAGGGCGTTTGAATGAAGAATCCTTCACTTATTATTATAATATGTTTAGAAGCACTTTTATTTCTCCTTCTCTCCTTTTAAGATATATCACGAGACACTCATGGTCTTTGTTACTGTTTGTTTTCCGCTTCCTTTCTAATTTCCGTTTTCGCAGAATGGGTGATTGTAAGTGGTTAATTGGCTTTGATGCCTACTGTTCTCGTGACATTAAATTTACTCACACTTTTTAAGTCCATCACATTACTTATTTTCATTCACTAACAGTCACATTCAATAACATTCATTGTCTATCTTTGTAACTTATTGCAAATAACTCTTTTACAGAGACTGAAGTCTAATATTTTTATGAGAGGGCAGAATTTACGTGGATTCACTTAATGTGCATCTACCGAGCATTGTCATGCTAATCTAAAATACATAGACATCGTAAACTGTGTTTGACTTGAGACTGGGAAAATGACGAGATAAGACCATTTCACCTGCCTGTCGACACATTAAATGTCAGATATAATAAGAAAAGGTTAAAAAATATATGTCTTGTTTCCTTAAAAAAGGGGAAAAAATGAAAAAAAAAAAATACCGTTAATTACCGATGGAGGGGTCAAGGCTTTTATTGGTAAAGCATTGACAGGGCGTTTGAATGATGAATCTTTCACTTATTATTATAATATGTTTAGAAGTACTTTTATTTCTCCTTCTCTCCTCTCAAGATATATCATCACGAGACACTCATGGTCGTTCTGATTGTTTGTTTTCTGTTTCTTTCTAATTTCCGTTTTCGCAGAATGGGTGATTGTAAGTGGTTAATTGGCTTTGATGCCTACTGTTCTCGTGACATTTAATTTACTCACACTTTTTAATTCCATCACATTACTTATTTTCATTCACTAACAGTCACATTCAATAACATTCATTGTCTATCTTTGTAACTTATTCCAAATAACTCTTTTACAGAGACTGAAGTCTAATATTTTATGAGGAGGCAGAATTTACGTGGATTCACTTAATGTGCAAGGAGCAGCTGGTTAAATTGCTTCTGTCGCAGTTCACTTTTTTGCCCCTTATTCATGGCTCTTCGGTAGACGGACATGCGCACTATTGATTTCATATCGTACCTCGAACGCAATAACTTCAGAAACCAGTATCAAAGTGTACCTATCAAATTATAACTGTGATTTTGTCGTTATTCCCACGTACACTTTTAACAGAATTTTTATTGGTGTTTATACTGTATAGGCAACTGCAGAAAAAGCTTGCGAAGAGCAACTGTGCATTTACCAGTGCTGTAATCAGAGTCCTTGCGCTTACGGAGGCACCTGCACTGAACTGTGCGAAAACGCTAAATACAAGTTCAACTGCACATGCGCAATGGGATATTTCGGAAGAGCAACCTATTGCCTCTGTTTACAGTGCAACATTTTTAGTTTGCTTCCATTTTTTCTCAGTCGTACAAGAAAATATATCCCACCATCAAACATGTGGTGCTTGTGATAGTGTGGCAGGAGTGGGCGCATTTTGATTTTGCTACGTTAAAAAATCAAGATTTTGGCAAACCTAAATGTTGAGCTCCCATAATGATACTGATAATAATTATAAAGAAACAAATTTTGACCGTCGCAGAAATAAGTGCCTGTAAACTAGCAAGGATAAGCTAAGTGCACTTTCCACTATAAAAAAAGCCGTTAAACCTTTTTAAACCTTTGACTAGAGATTTTATGAATGAGATGAGCGAAAATTGTCAAACTATAACTATTCATTTATCATAGTAATTATAGTTTCTACCTGCACTTTTAACACACCTCTCCCTTGTAGTAATTCTAACAGACATCTGCAAAAGAGGCGTGCAAAGGGCAACTTTGCATTAACGAGTGCTGCAATCAAAATCCATGTGCTCACGGAGGGATCTGCACACACCTATGTGATGTAGCCAAACAAAAGTTCAACTGTACATGCTCTGAGCGATATTTGGCAGATATTGTGAAAGGAAGAGAGCAACATCTTGCAAAGGGCAAGGGCAGAAAAAGGAAGGGAGCAAGTCAGGAGTCTATCAACTGTTTGACCCAGCAACTAATTCCATGTACGAGGTCTTCTGTGATATCGACTCTGAAAAGAGATTCGTTTCGACTGTGACCTAATCTTTCAGCCTTCGCAATAATAATGAATTTTGGGATAAAGCATTCTACAAAAACTAACCGATAAATCAGAAAGAATTTACTTGGAGCAAGTTTCTTTTATCTCCCGCTCTTATGATGGCCACAGCAAACAACTCAACTCACGTTCGAGCAACGTGCAACCTTCATAGTGAAAAACGCAACTACAGAGATTACTTAAGAGCCAAGTTAAGTGAACTCAATGTTATGGATTTTAATTATACCGAATGCAAAAAATTTGAATTCGTTAGCGTTCGAGGATATAACTGTAGCAACTGCACAGCCCTTTTTGACCAATCTGACTATATGCATGCGCACACCGATTCTTATTGGGTTCGCAACAACAGTATAAATGCCAGTTTACCAGCGCATTAGCAGGTGCTGTTAAGAGACCTGGAGGCGAAGATAACTTCGGTCATTAAGAAACAGTCAATCTGAATGACACATGTACGTTGAGTGATCATTCTACTACTCAGTGGTGGTTTGGAGTACATGAATGAGCTTCAATAAAAACCGTCACATTTGGACATTCACCCAATTATTGGGCCTTTCAGGAACCAGTTTAGGGTGGCTTAGGAGGAATTTCGTCTGCCTTGAGCAAACACTGCGTGGGTGAATTTGAAGAGAGTAGGGGAAACGTCAACCAGGCGGGTTTGAAACATCGTGCCTTGTTAGGCCACAGTTTTAATAATGAAACATCATCTACATCTTTTGACTGCCACGTGAAATGCTTTGATGAGAAATGCAGGTGCCAAGCGTACCAAATTTGGCAAAATCGATGTGAGTTGCTGGAAGAAGACAGGTTTTCCGCCCCAGATGATTTCGTCTACTGTGAAGGATATATTTACTTTGATATGAATAGGAATTATGTAAACCAGGTAAGAAGTAATTTTAACGCTTTTTCGGCGATGTAATGGACATCTTTAGCTGCGTGGCAACTGCGTGGCTACGTCTCTTTGTCTACATTTCGTTTTTTCGTTTCGAATTTCACCACCCAGCCATGTCTTTTTATCTTTTAGGTTTCGAAGAACAAAGCATCATCTTAATTAAACCTTGCAGTAACCATTGCTGTAACAAGAATCAATGTGCCAATGGGGGCACCTGCACTGAGTTATGTAAAGACGCTAAAAACAAATTCAACTGCACATGCGCAATAGGATATTACGGCCGATATTGTCAAAAACGAAAAGTCGCATCCTGCAAAGAGTAACTGCAAAGAAACGAAGGAAGCCAGTCTGGAGTCTACCAACTTTTTGACCAAACAACTAAGGCCTTGTACGAGGTCTACTGCGATTTTAACTCTAGTGATGGATCTGCTTGGACACTCATCGAGTCATTCAGCTTGGCAAATAAGGGAGATTTTGCAAACAAGGATTTTCAGGAAGACTACCCCATAAACCAAAACGCTTTTGTGTGGGATAATTTTCGTTTATCATTATCCAGGATCACAACTACTGCTTTGCTTTCCACACACATGAGGGCGACCTGCAACTTTGGCATGCATGGACCTAACTTCACTGATTACTTGAAAGCAGCATTGAGCGAAATAAATCGCATCACTAGCTTGTCCTTCGATAAGTGTCACCGATATGAATACATCAACATCAGAGGTTATAGCTGTAGTAATTGCACAGCCAACTTTTATCAGTCAAGAAGTTTTCATTCTCACGTCGATTCGTACTTTGGAACGTACATCGACCATTGTGAGCTTAAAACGCCAGGTGTTGTGGGTTCTTCAACCCGTGAAGATAACTTGGGAAATTTCAAAACATTTAATCCTATACATAGGTGTTCGTCTCCTGACGACTCTACCACCCAGTGGTGGCTTGGGGTACAATAAGTCACACGTAAGAAAATATTATATCGTCACATCGTTTTTATTCACAGAGGTCAAGGGTTCGAATCCCGTACAAGCTTGAATGTTTTCAGGCTTTCTTTTCGCAACTGCAAAAGTTGCGTCTACAACTGCGACGATCCTCTTTCATACAATTAATTAAACCTTATTAAACGTTAGTAGAAATGCATGTTTGCGACAGCTCACGATATTTCTTGTAGACAGGCCTGGAAATACGTACCGCAATCGGCTTTCATTAAAACTTGGTAAAGAGTTCTCTTCGAATCCTAAGGTGTGGTCGCTGAGCGCCCCGTGTTAGCCCCCATGGGGGTTTCAAGAGGAGTACCCACGCCTAAAAAATGGGCCCTTTCTGAGTTACCCTAAGCTTCTGATTCCAATCGAGGATATCTGCGACGCCATTTATACGATTTTTTATTCTCCTGCAAATAAAACTCATTTTCACAACAAAGGTTTCGCACTTAGCCTCGTTTTGAAAGTGAGGGATTTTGGAACTCGGAAATAGCCTATTTAACACATTTAAGGTATCAATTTCAAAAAGCCTGAGGATGAAACTTGTTTTAGCAAAAGGAAAAACCACTGGCTAACTTTTCAGTTAGACATCTGTGTCGTCAAGTTTCCATTTTGCAATTATTCATGCCTTTTCCCTCCTATTGTATATTTAACAATTACCTCGGGCCCCAATGGGCTATTGACTCAGGGGCCAACTAGCTGGTCAAAAATATCGAGAATAATGGCTCAAAATAATACAAACAACGCAACCTTCAGTTTGACTTTTGCCTTCACAGACCATGTAACCTATGACAAAGTCTTCAAGATGCCGGGTATTACGTTAGTAGATACGGCGATGTTTGAAGCCGTGCATGACGTGATTCTTGTCTACCCAAATAATGTTGAAATCATACAATTTTGCGTTTTACTATATTGTACTGCAATTCAAGTCCCTCATAGAATCTACTATTTACCAATTATTCCTCGAGCCCGAATGGGCTCTGAGTCAAAAGAGTCTATTGACTCAGAGCCCTTCGGGCTCGAGAAGTAATTGTTTTAGTAAAATCCAACTAGATGGTCAAAAATATCGAGTATAAAAAAATTTTAGCTAGTTAAAGCTAGACTTTAATTCTTTTTTGCCGCCAAAAATCCCGCGCTCTTAGCGACTAGTGGGCTATAACATGTAGCCTAGTAGTAGCTCAACCAATCAGAACGCAGCATTGAAAATAGACCACTAGTTTGATATTACCAATAAACATTATTCAAACCATTGGTTGATCCAATGTACAGATCAGCACTGAGTAAGCTTACTTTTCTTACCGCGAGGCTATTGTACTATTATGACTATATTATGGCTTCTATGACATAATATCACTATACAAACAAGCAGCTCATATTTATAGTTAAATTTTGATAAGGAGTCTTCTACAGACAAAATATATTTTCATGTATGCTCATTTATAGTCTACCAAACGGCGAGGACATTATGCTTTTGTCTCCCCACTAAAATGCTCCACCGTGATGCTACATTTGTCCCAATAAAATGCCCAGTCGTCCTCCAAAGGCTCCCTGAAATGAACGGATAATGTTCATCATCATGGAGAGATTTTTTGTTGAATATAAACATTTTGAACCTGGGGACTATGTTTCACCAAACCACCACTGCGTAGTAGAAGTGTCGTTTCTTGTGCATCTATGAATAGGATTAACTGTTTGATACAAACCAAAATTATCCTCCCCTCCTGGGTGGGACCTCGCCCCTATGCTCTTTAGCTGGCAATTCGGTATTCCGTGATAGGAATCAATGTGAGCGTGCCAATATTTATTTTGTCCAAAGTAAGCAGTGCAGTTAATGCACTCGTGGCCTCTGATATTGATGAACTCGAATTTTTTGCAACGGAGACTGTTGAAATGCATAACGTCAATATCGCTAAACTTGGCTCGTAAATAATCGGTGTAGTTAAGACCATCTGTGTCAAAGTTGCATGTTGCACGCACATGTGTTGAGTAGTCTGCTATGGCCTTCATCCTTGACCTGGATAAACGGAACTTTTTCCACGTGAAGGCTTGTTGATTTACTGGGTAATCCTTTAAAAATGTTTCCTTCTTGAACTCCAACTTATAACTGAAGCTAAACGACTCGACCAGAGTCCAGATGATGAAATCAGCTGACCTAAAGTCGCAAAAGACTTGGTACAATGACTTGTTTCTTGGATCAAGCAGTTGATAAACACCAGAATTGCTGCGTCTGTCATTTTCTAATTGTTCCTTGCAAGATGAAGCTCTTTGTTTATGGCACAATCTGCCAAAATATTCTGTGGGACAGGTGCAATTAAACTTTACTTTCGCATCACCACACAATTCAATGCACTTTCCGCCATTAGCACAAGGATTCTGTTTGCAGCAATGGTTGTTGCATAATTGCTTTGATTGTGCGTTGATAGGGTTCTAAAGATCATAAAAAACATTATTTGAATTTCGATGATATCGTGGTATAACATAATTAATACAACGAGAATTAAAGACTAAGAATGATAAAAGTGAATAGCTAGGACGTATTTAACCTTCGGACGTAAACGCAAATTCATACCCCACCGTGGTACAAGGGGGGGTTTGGGTGGATGTAGGCCCTCCCCGGAGGTTTTGATATGTTGCAGTATTTCCTTTAGTGGAAAGCCTTTGATCTTCTTGACAAGATGAGGTATATTTTAAAGGTGGTGGCGATGTTGGAGGCCCGTGACGTCACCAACAACGGTCGCCATCTTGGATTTTACCAAAACTTAGAAATCAGGTTAAAACCGCGAGAAATAATAACTCTTTTTTGTGCTTTACATGAAAAATAACACATAGATAAGCACTTTGCATGATTTTAGCCACAAGATTTACTTTTATTGTTGAAACATGTTAAAAAAACATGTATGTTCACCCCAAAATGGCTTGACCACCAGCTACTTATGACGTCATAACAAATTATATTTTGTACCCTGTAATAGCAGAAATTCCCGCAAAGTTTTCTTTTGCACTTCCCTTCGTATGAACTCGAGACATAATATACTCCTACAAGTTCTTTAATGAAAATTTCATTTCGATTCTGTTGGGTTAAGAATATTGATGTCAATTTTTATAGCATGAATTATCGATGTGTGTTACCACGTCGCGAAGCAAAAGAATTGATTTATAAATAGGGACTTTAAGATCCAACGACTCGACGGCTACGGGAACGTTGCTTAAAAAGTTAATTTGGGTTCCTATAGTCTTTATAGCGATTATTCCTAGCTACCCACATACTTTGTCAAATGTAGGAAACCCTCCTGATAGAATTTCAAGGGACCATATCCATGCAAGTTCAGAGAGAAAAATAAAATTTCGTCGTTCAGTTGCTTGTTTACGTCGTCCATAAAACGCAAACTGATTGGGCATTTTCACGTCTTAGTCGTGCAAAAACAGGAAAGAAATTTACAAAAAAAAACCGTGATGCATGTGCAAAGTTGTTTTTTGCTTATTAAACTAATTGTTATTATTTTTTTTTTTGACGTTCTCGTTGCCGTCAGCGTTGTTGGATCTTAAAATCCCTAATGGCGCATGGCCGCAGCGGTCGGCCATTTTAGATTTCTCTTTTGTTGCTCTAATACCTTGTGAAGGCTATGATTAGAGACTCGACATTAATTTATTCAACGTCAAAGTTGAATTTTGGGCAAATATTCCTTTTTAGAAGATTAAGTTTCTATAGAGACCTCACGTATTATGATCAGAAACCATCTGCACAGTCAAAGGATTAAGACAATTAAGACAATAACAAGAGGTCCAATGGATTTTTTTCTCATTTATAAATGCTTGCAGCTGGCGAGAAAAAAAATCCCCCCCCGACCCCTCCACTCCCTTTCACTCCCTTCTGTTTGTGCGCAACAATTTCAGAGTGTTTTAATATTTTTCCCTTCTGTTTGCCTGAGACGATTTTCAACTGTACTGCCGAAGTGTGGCTTTTCACTTGTTATGACACTTCAACTGGCTCCAGATAGCCTGCAAACAAAATGAGGGCCAACCATTCTTCGTCGATGGTCTTAAGATTTTTCGATACAGTTTTTCGGAGACCATACCGATATTTTTCAATCGACTTAAAAGTAATTTATGCTTGCCTGATCGCCACAAGATTTTCACCAGTGATTGACTATGAATTGAAGTTTGTCAAAATGTAGTTTTTAGTAAAATCAATATCACTATGACAACAATAAATAAAACTTTAGAATCGAATTAATCCGAATTTCGAGCGATCTATAGACCTGCTACTGAAAATCCAACACCAGGAACTTAAAGTTTGGTGTTTAGCAAATAACCTCCGTGCGAAATAAAAAATTTTGTATGTTTGAATTCAATTAAAACATAATTTCAAACCTTATATTTTCAATAGCCGTCATTAATTGTTCAATAAGCAAAGTTTTAAGTCATTGAAATTTATCTTAGGTAACATCAGAGCGCTGCTTAACATCTTTTTTCGATGCATGGAAATTTTGGTCTATTTTGTTTTTTGTGATCCTGAAAACTAACATGTTTTCTCACCACCCGTCTAAGTGCAACTTTATTCTAATTTTTGACTTTTAGCGCTTTTCTGTATATCTCAATAAAACCGCTCGACAGATTTCTCCTTAAACCTCATCACACAATCTCCATGATGTATATATTAATGTCTGAAACTTTCATTGAGATTGATTCACTAAAACACCTCGGACGAGGATAAAATCACTTTTAAGGCGATTGAAAAACATTGCTATGGTCTCCGAGAAACTGTGTCGAAAGACCTTTAAAGACGGGTATCTGATGGAAATTAAAGTAGAGCAAAAATCATCAATAATCAATTTCAGAGCGTTAACTTTGTCTCACCAAGTTAAGAAATTCCCGGTTCATGTCGTAATAAGTGTACTCGGCATCGTTAACGAAGTCTTTAGGAGCGGAGAACCTGTCTTCATCCAATAGCTCACAGCGTTTTTGCCATATTTGGTACGCTTGACAGCTGCACTTCTCTTCGAAACATTTGACATGGCAATCATAAGCTTGCGAGGATGTAAAATTTTTGTAGTTGTGTCCGATCATGGCATGGTTTGTCCCCATTCGATGTCGGCCCTGACTTATCTCACATTTGCCTTGATGATAAGCGATTGTGAACCTCACAAAACATCCGGCAAGTATGAAAAATGAATACCGGAGACAAAAAGATTTTGGAACTTCCATGTCTTGTCAGATAATGAATCAAAACAGTTATGAGTAGATGTTGTACAAGGTCCTTTTTGAATCTTGATTTTCCCTTGCCTTCTTAGTAGCATTTAACATTATTAGAATATTCGCTGTAGAAGTGCAGTTATGTATCAAGCATTGTGTGCGAAAAATTACCCCTTTTTGCATCTACCGAGCATTGTCATGCTAATCTAAAATGCATAGAATTCGCAAACTGTGTTTGACTTGAGACTGGGAAAATGACGAGATGAGACCATTTCACCTGTCTGTCGACAAATTATATGTCAGAAATAATAAAAAAGGTAAAAAAAAAATACATGTCTTATGTCCTTAAAAAGGGGGATCGACCGGAAAAAAGGAAAAAAAACACCGTTAATTACCGATGGAAGAGTCAAGGCTTTTATTGGTAAAGCACGGACATGGCGTTTGAAAGATGAATCCTTCACTTATTATTATAATATGTTTAGAAGTACTTTGATTTCTCCTTCTCTCCTTTTAAGATATATCACGAGACACTCATGGTATTTTGTTATTGTTTGTTTGTCGCTTTCTTTCTAATTTCCGCTTTTCGCAGAATGGGTGATTGTAAGGGATGGACCATTAGGAAACTTATGGGGGGGTGGACCCGGCGCAGCTTTTGCTGCGTTACATAAATCAAGCCGAACTCCCCTTTCTCATATGTGAACGTACAGAAGCCCTATCCGTTATGGTTTTCGTGCTGGAACAAAAACTATCCACTATAGTATGAACACCTATCCAATATGTGACTGTCTACTTTCGAGATGTGCCCGGCGCAGCTTTGCTGCGTCACAGAAATCGAGCCGAAATCACCCTTCTTATGTATGAACAGAAGGCCTATCCGTGAATATAGCCTTAAAAGGTGACACTCGGTGTTCATTACGAAGAAAGTTAGAAAATTAAATGGCTGAAATTTCGTTACCGGGACCTATAAAAGAATTCGTGATTCCATTATGAAGCGAGATTTCAAAATCGTGATAGCTCTACCTTGTTTCAGTCAATTATATAATTAAAAGTCATTGCAAAGGGTTGAGCGAAATATCGTGTTTTGTCAGTGGCAAGCTGATCAATTATTTGCCGCAGCCGAATGTCGAGGCCTAAGTGAATAATTGATCTGCTCTCCACTGACAAAACAAGACTGATATTTTGCGATAACCGAGTTCCATAATTGTTTCATCATTCAGTAGCTAAGTTTCTTTTTTTTTTGATAAATATGTGAAATATCTTCTACAAGCTGCCATTTTCACGAAAGAGTGATCGCATGTCTTGAGCAGAATATTATTTGCAGGCAAACACAGTTGAACGACATTGCGTTTGAGTAGACCATTATTTGTAGGCAGTTACTTGTAGGTCACGTGGTGGGCTCTCGGCCAATGAAAAGGGAGAAAAATTTGCATCGAATGGTAATGCATTTTATTTTTACTTGAGATTTAAATGCCTTCCGCATAATCATGGTGTCCTGAATAGAATGGTGCCAGCAAGGTTTCAGTCAGCTGACTGTATAGTTATCCCATGCGTACTCCACTTCTTTTTCCATCATTGACAAGGCCTTAAGAGTTTTTATGATTATTAGAGTACAATTTGCAAAAGTCAATAAATGTCAAAGTATTAGAGCTTTAAGGGTGTCAACTTATAATTAAATTAGCGAAGTTATTGAACATATTTAAACAAAATAAAGCGAGACGTCAAGTTGATACATTCCTTTGTGGATAAGAGCAATATAAAAGCTCACTTTGACTCACAACAACTGACTTCGGTTATCACAACATTTCTCGTATTTGACAAGATCTTACCGATGCAAAAGTTACAAAACTTATAAGTTCTAAAGAAACTTTTTTTTATGCTTAAAGTCTGCGACGACATTAATTTCAGTGACTCCTGTGCCCTACAAAATGACTTTGACTAAAGGTATGTGTTTAGCTGAACAATAATTTGATCTTCACGAGAAAGGCAAACGTGGTAGTAAGTAAGAATGATGTATATCTGTTATGTTTTTACACCACCCATATTGACTTCGTCATGACCATGAACCAAAGGCATTGCCTAAATTGGACATAAATGGTAGCCAAAGGTTCCAAATCAAATCTGTCGTTTGTATTATTTGAATCGTCCGAATTTATAGTTCTTAACTAAGACTTTAACCACTAAAAAAGGCAATGACCGATTTTCTACATCAAATAAACTCTTGAGATTCTACGAAAAGATGTCACGAGATTGATCTTGCAGCTGCTGAAACCAAGCGACCTCTGTTCAAGTATCATGGACGACAATGCATAAACTCAAAAAGTACATAATTCAGTGATCTTCTGTGAGATAAAGGTGACTGTATCTCCCCAATAAGATGAATTTTTTTTTGCCAAACATAATGTCAAATTAACGCTTTTAAAACTGTTTTTAAATTTGATGTGTGATAGCCTGTTAAATAAAGAGCCAATTGTATGATTTCTGTATCAGATATCAATTGTTTTGTTTGGCCAGTGAATGTTTATGAATAATATGCATTCTCTTCATAAAGCTTTCGAAGTTATATCTAGCACGCTTAATTAATTCTTTTATTTGCAAGGTCAGGTGTTTCCCGTACTTATACGTGCAAAGTAATACCAGCGTACAAAACATCGCTTGCTTTCTGTCATTCAGATGATCCAACTAAAGTAAAGCCATTTACGGAGACTACTATTACGCTAACAAAGGAGACGGCAGGCCTTGGTCTTGGAATTGTTGGCGGATCAGATACTTACTTGGTAGGTAAACTACAGTCACTGCCGGTTCATCCTTGGAGACCCAGGGGCAGATAGTAGGATCGAGGGAAGTCTAAACGGGCGGGAAAAATGGCAGGAAGAAAAGTAATTTTAACGCCATTTTTTTTCGGCCCGTTTAGACTCGCCCCCACTATCTGCCCCTGGCTCTCCGAGGATGCCCCCAGTCTCGAATAGGCTCAGTCTCCTGTCTTGGGCGTCTTTGATGCACCCGCGGTACTCCCCAACCGAGTGAAGAGTACCGTGCGTACGCCAGTCTCACCCTCCAGTACGGACACAAAACTGGTCACAGACCTTATACAACGCGCCTACCGTCATAAAAGTTTTAAAAATACTCCTTTTATTGTAAAGAAGAAGGTTAGTATTGTCAAAAGGACTTCAGGTTAGCAATTGTCAAACCCAACATCTCCAGCTTATAAATCGCATTTCTTCTTTGCGCTTTGTCTCTTAGATCAGAACGGAGGCCAGTTGTTAGTTATCTGTTAGCATATAACTAACTTATCTGTATATAGGTTGCGCTGATTTCCAAATTAGCTGTAGTCTCTTAGCCAATGAGAAGACAGATAATGAGTACAGTGTATAATAATAACTAATATCGTCATCAATGTCGTGAAAATAACACGTGGTGCTGGAAAAGAACTACAAAAATGGTCATGCTGGGAATTACACTAATTGCAGAGAGAAGTTGTCATCAATGTTTTGGAGCCTGGAGGCGCAGCAGCTAAGGATGGAAGACTTGCTGTTGGGGACCAGATCCTCGAGGTGAGTCTATCAACGATTACTTATTTAATAAAGTCTATCTACTTATTTACATTGGGGTGTTAAAACCAAACAGCACCACAGCTCCAGTTCGTACTTCCCAGGTAGTGATGAAAGGTGGATAAATATCATTTGCACTGTATAAGGGCATCTTAAGGTGTTTTTTTTTTTTTCGGATGGGTACACCCAAAAAATAATACACAGTTAACGGACACAAGTCCAAATCAGTCTATTGAAACAAGAATTAATGAAAAAATAAAATAAAATAAAACGAAAATAGTAAATAAAAAAAGCGACATTGATAAAGGAATCTTAGTCAGATCTGCCTTTTTCGCAGGTCAATGATGACAGTCTTCGAGATATAAGCCATAAAAAAGCAGTGTCCGCCTTGAGATTGGCATCGTCTCCTGTTAGAATAACAATTTACCGTGAAGATCCTGAGTCAATTTTCACTTCATATGAAGGTAATGAGTGCTTTCACAACAACCTTAAATTTATCGATCTTATTGCTGGTAATACCTACCATTCGCCCATCATAATTCCTTTTTGTTTGCTTGTTATTTTTTTTGTTAATTGTTACTTTTATTTTTGAGGATATATCTTGGACAACACCCTTATTTTCCTGGCATCCAACGATTCATGTCTTACACTTTCTCCTTGTATTCTGTCGATGCAGAACCCTCAGCAATATTTGAAGTGAATTTGGTAAAGTCTATCACCGATTACATTGGGCTTAGCATTCTTGCAAGAAAGTACGTATTCATACAATGATGTTTTGTGAAAAAAGCAAGTTTCTTAAGTTTCTTTTCTCTTTTTCCATCCTTTTGGACCTCAGGCCAGATGAAGGATAAACGGCATGAGATATTCACTGGTCATTTCATTGCAACACCTCCCATCAAAAGCAGAGGGAGGCCTCTGGACACTTAATGTCACCGAGTCAGCTCCAGAATTGAATTAATTCTTTGCTTTTTATTCGCGAGAGATTGTTCTTATAAACTTTGTCTGGTAGATATTCCGTTCAGAACAACTAACCTCAGGTTTTCGCGGATGACTCCTATTCTGTTTTATATATATCCCCAAAGGTGTAAGAGATTTATAGAGATTCTGGGTGGGTACCACAATAAACCATTAGCTTTGTTACTTCGGAAGAAAAAACCCTTAAGGTATGTTTAAAAAAAAAATTCAAAAATTATATTTCTCTGACCTATTTTCATCCCAAGAGCTAATTAGGCCCTGTATGCTCAAAAAAGATCGTTCAAAACACATGATTTTTCAACTGTTCATTGTCACTGTATCACTGTATTTTCTAACACCTTATACTTCACTTAAATACATTAGGGACAAGAAAGGAGTATTTGTCACTTACGTGGTAAGATGCAATAATTCGTTCATGAAAAGTTCATTTTAGAGACATACAGCAAAGCATATAATTATATACATCAGTACGTATTTGATTTCATTGAGTACGTTGGTATGGTCTATCATTTTCGACTATCTTTTTTTTTTTTCGATCTTTACATCTTAGTCAGAGGACGGTATTGCTTACAGGGAGGGTTCAATTCACCAGGGAGACAAGTTGCTCGAAGTTAATGGCGTAAATCTCAAGAAGAGCTCTCAGGAAGAAGCGTGTAAAGCTCTTAGGGTGAGAAAAGGATTCTTGGCTAAAAAATAACCACAGGCGTCCCAAACTCAATATGTGAGCGCATGTTAAAAATTAACCACATACAAATCCCATCCACTGAAGGAAAGCACTGGTTGTTTACTATTCACAAAACGTTTCCCAAAAATCTGGTTGGGAAGAAAATGGAACACGACTTTTTGGGTCAGTACCTGCCGGAAACTTCCAGGAGCAACGGAATATCTGAATATGTACAGTCATAATTTTAAGTTCCGCACGGAATGTTCCAAACGAAAATTCGTATTCCATTTCCTCAAAGCCATCTACGATACCTGAGTTTGAGGTCTTCGCGCCGTTTTTTGGTACAGGCCGGAACTGATTTGTATCAATGGTAAACGCGATTCCCGGAAAAAAAAAAAATTATCGGCCCTGAATTTTTGGTTTGCTTACCATTTTCCAAAGCGGTGAACCAACAAGTTTTACTACGTCAGTAAATACAATAATAAACAACCTCTGTGTACAATTCCGTACCATCAGGTAAATAGTGTCATTTCTTTGAGAACCTCAAATCGTCCAGGGCTAATGAATTTTTACTTTTGTGTAGTGCACCTTCGGAAGAGTGAATCTCAAGGTAGGGCGAATTCCATCGCTGTACGACTCTCTCACTTCCTCCACAACCAAGGAATCTTACACAAACCATGGGCTTGAAGACGAAGGAGGTAGGTAATCTTCATTTTGCGTTGTGCGAGGAGTTAATCACCCCCGATAAGGGTATCCAAAACAGTCTTGAATTCTAGATTCCACGCCACGGATTCCGGAGTCCGGATTCCTGGTACTAGATTCCAGTCTTTGTCAGTTGAACTTGGATTCTGGACTCCAATCGTTTGTGGGATTCCGGATTCTTTTAGCCTGCGCTGCAGACGTAATTTAACTCGGGTTAGTAACGTCTGCGAAGCAGCCCCAAAATCCTTGTTCTGGGCCTCCAACAGACTCGAAAAAATTACCAGAAACGCGTTTCGAATTTCCCTTCAAACTGATTGGCAAATCTGCTGATGGCTTTTTAGTTAGGCCGAATCATGGCGCTTACTCAAATCCTGGTACACAAGTAGGGCCTAGAACAAGGATTTCAGCGCTGTTCGCAGACGGACTTAGCCAGAGTGTAGTTTCGTCTGGGGCGCAGGCTAGATTCATTGACCTGTATCTCGGATACCAAAGCCAAGGATTCCGGATTCCTAATTGCATTTGCATAAGCATTGTTTTCAATTTTTGTTGGGACGGCTGTAATACTCAAAAGAAATGGAAAACAAAGGTTAGGCAAAATTTCTGGGGGGCAAAAATAAGGTGCATTATTGACTATTTTCCAATTGCCCATAATACACTCTGTCTGCCCACCCAAATTTTGCATAACTTATTGTCTTAAAATGCTCTTGGGAAAATGCAATACTCCCAGGAGCATTTAAAAACAATGGTTTATGCAGAATTTGGGGGGCAAACAGAGTGTATTATGGGCAATTGGAAAATAGAGAAAAGGAGATGTGCAAGTGGCGTATTAAGGAAAAGCAGCAACAAGGTTAATTATTTCCAATGGAGAGGGGCACCTTTCAAGATTCTGCTGCCAAGTTATTTAATGCCTTCGGGCTAATGTTAGAAAATGTAGCGATTTCAAAGTATACTGTTGGGAAGTTAATGTCTACCTATTAAATAAAATATGTAAATAGTTTTGTATTTTTAAACATTTTTTGTACAGGTATTACTATTACTATTACTATTTCTTTTTTAATTTTAATCTTTGTTACATTTTTATACAAATTCTTTCATAGGCCTTATATACTATTGCTTTTTATATTGTAGATTTTATAATTTATATTGCATGTAGTATATTGTAGATTTCATATTTCATTTTGTAGTTTTTCACAGGTGAAGATAAGAGCCACTAGGTGGATATACTGTTAATAAGCCATTATTATTATTATTATCATTATTATTATTATTATTACTATTATTATCATCATTATTATCCGGATTCCCTTACATAATAATAATAATAATAATAATAATAATAATAATAATATTATTATTATTATAATAAAATAACAAATTTACCCAGGATTACTGCGTCAGTTTAGAAAAACTGCTACCTTACCTGACGTTTTATTAGTTGTATACGATCATTCTCATTCTCGTTATCAGTAAGAAGAGGAAAACGATAATATCTCGCTTTGCCTTTTCTGATAGGACCAAAATCGAATTTTCGTCGATGGAATAGCTATGGATGGGGACAAAAGAAGAAGAAGAAGAGCCAGATACCTCGTGAAAATGGCAATGAGGTGTCATCAAGAAGAAGATCGCTAAGCTGCCGAGATTATGGCCGGGAGTCTGACTTTGACTTAGAAGGACTGGAACGAGTTTCTTCTGAACATGATGTTAGAGGTAATGCTGCCCGTATTCGTCGCTGAGAAAATGTGTTGTTTGTTTTCTTTCGACGCCTTTGTTATTTTTTGTTGCATTCGAATTTACCTTTGAAGCAGTGCTTCAGATAAGTCTGCGACTATTAGTCAGTTCTGATTCCCTGCGTGTGATGAAGTTTGGTGAAAACGATATTGGTAACAACGATGGTGAAGGTATTGGTGACAATACAATAATAATGATGATGGTGATCATGACGATCATGGTGATGATGATGGTAGTAATGAAAGAAGTCATGATGAAACTATATATCATTAGAAAATCCAACTAGTGGTCTATTATCAATGCTGCGTTCTGATTAGTTGAGCTACTACTAGGCTATATGTTATAGCCCACTAGTAGCGAAAAGCGCCGGCAATTTGGTGGGCAAAATATGATTTCAGTTTAGCTTTAGCTAGCTAAAGTTGTTTTGTCTCGATATTTTTGACCAACTAGATGGATTTTACTAAAACAATTATACCTCTCGTCCTCATGGTCTCTAAGTAAATGGCCCATTCGGCCTTCGGCTCATGGGCTATTGACTCAGAACACATTCGGACTTGAGGAATAATTGTTAATTATAACATTAATTGTCATAATCAGGGATTGTGTAGATCATGACCAAGATAATAGAGACCTTTAGATTGCTTCTGAGAGAAAAGGACGACAACGCGACGAGATGATCTCAATAGTAAGTAGTGCGAGCGCGTAAATCAGCTTCATTTTGGCGGGAAAACTTGATAGCCGTCATTCTACTAAGAGTTTTAGAAAAATAACTAAAAATGTACGTCACGGTAGGAACTGCTTTTGCACTTTTCATTTGAGCTCAAAGTTTGCAGTTTGCAGGATGGTCGGACTTTGTATTCCAAACAATCGTATGTTTTTTGTTTTTCGATTTTAACGGTTTTTGGCGGGAAAATGACATCACAAGATTGACAGCAAAATTTAAATTTTAACTATGGCGTAAGAAATAATTTTAGGTAATTTATAAGAGGCTAGCAAGATGGAAACAAATGTGAAATTTTTTTTTGAAAAGCTCAATTAGTTAAGGAATTATTAAGCCGTTTTTAGAAACAAAAGCCCATTTCGAAATTCTCTATCTCCTAAAGCAATTGAGTTTTTCAAACATTTTGTTTCTATCTCGTAACCCTCCTTCAAAATTACCTTTTTCTTAAGCCATTAGTGAAAATTTAAATTTTGCTGTCAATCTTGTGACGTCATTTTCCCGCCAAAAGCCATTAAATTGGAAAAACAAAAAACATACGATTGTTTGGAATACAAAGTTCTACCATCCTGCAAACTTCCGCACAAAGGTATAAAAACTGCAAAAGTAGTTCCTGAGTGGCCACATTTGGCGTCCTGTTGGCCCACCGCGTGACGGAAACAAGCTAAGTTATTAAATGTCAGTCGTTTTATCATTTTGCGATCGGGGATAGGGCTTAGCCTCCTTCAACTAAATAACCATGTAGACATATTAAATTCTGCAATCAGAATACTGCAATGCTGATCGAACTATGTGAAAATTAACTCTGCAAGACATCTACACGACACCGAAAGAACTCAAAACAGAGCGGGATTGTAGCCATAGACAGCTGTTTCGCCCTTTTTGGGGCTCGTCAGTATGGCGCAACAACCAGAGAAAACAGATTTAATCTGTCTAACATTATTATTTTTGCTGATCAGGTCTTTATAGATCCTACGTTCTTCGGCATATTCGTTTGCGGTCCTTTGCAGTCCCTTGTGGTTAATGTTTGTACTAAATAATCATGTTAACTTTTCTGATATAAAAAAGGTATCTATTCTTGACGACAAGTCAAGATAACCATTATTTTGGTCATAGTGGTGAAAAATAAAAGTTTAAAGATAAAGAAACTAAACGCAGCTCATTCGAATAATCGACCTCCAGTTTTTGTTATTATTCTCAGGAAATGCTCCAACTTTAAAATCCAGCGCAAAAAAGGAGGAACCGAAGGAGAGGTTTAGATATATACATCCGGACAGGATTGAATTGACTCTAGCACTGGATCATCAGCAAAAACAAAAACCCTGTCGAAAGGAAGGTAAGTTCATCTAAAGCGACACCTGAAACGATCAGTACTGATCATGAGGGATTTCTGTCTAACTGACAGAATTCCGTAAACATCTAAACTGTTTCAGCAATGCTGATTGTACAATGAACAATCACAACAAAGATCAGAACACGAAAGCCAATCCTTACAACCACAAAATACAGTACCAGAAACCGCCTTATTTCAACTCAAGGAAGTGGTTGAATGTAAATAATTACTCAAACATGCTTTGAGCAATCAGGCTTTATCGATTTCATAAGCTATTGTGGTGGCTCTCTTCTATTTCATAGTATTATATATATTATACTACTACATGAAAAATTTCTGCAATTTGATTGGCTTAGAGCAGTGGTATTTCAGCTTAATTTGAAATACCTTCATGTGAAAATTACAAACCTTTTGCGGGTAGTAGATGATGATGATGATGATGTTGATTGTCTCAAATTTCACCCGCCTAACGGATGACGTATAACAATTTTGAAATATGATGATGATGACGATCATTATAGTTTCATATTTTCATGATGATGATGGTGATGATGTTGATGAGATGATGATGATGATGATGATGATGATGACGATCATTATATCAACTATTCTTTATTCACAGATTATGTTTAAAGGAAGCAAATGAAATGGACGTGTAGTCATTCCAATTAGCGTTATCTTAACTTCATTGCACACATGATTAATCTTTATCTAGCTGCATATTTACGATGTAAAAGGAAATGAATAAAAACGATTTGAAAAGATCTAACAAGTTTACCATATTTGTCAGCATTTTCCGTTCAGTGATTGAACTGAGCTTTAACTTTAACTGCACAAGTACATCCATGTGCCACGAACCATTCTAGACAATGATTTTTTTTGTTTGTTTGGAGCTGACAGGTTCAAAAGCGTCAAAAACGATCCTTTTCGCCAGTGGTCTAGGTCTATTAACCATCTCTTTTAAATTCCTCTGGGAAGTTCAAAGCAACAATAGGGTCATATAAAAAGGGACACTCCCCGATCTCTCATAATTCTCCCACCCGTTTCAAAAACTGACGACGGTGAGATGCCGGAGGCTACATTGCGTTTCTTTCCTTTTTTTACTGATTTATGAAGACGGTTGAAAATGCGGGGTATTTACTGATATTTCTTGTCGCGGCCAAAAGTCTCGCTCGATCTCTCCTCGAAACCTTTGTTCAACGATCATGTTCAACCTATGTCCAGGAGTGAAGGAGTCCCTGATTCTCACCAGTTGTTTAGCAAAATGCCAAAAATGATTGTAAATAAACTGAACAAAACAAAACAAAAAAAATGAAATAAACTACCAAACGTCCATGTTCGACTACGTCTCGTAAAGCCTTACAGATGGTGTCTCGTAAACGACCACTGAACTAGCGACCGCCAGCACTTTTGAGAGCTGACTGCTTGATAATTTTTCATTGTCTTTAATCTCTTGTAAGCGGCTACTTCACACATGATCTGATATCTATGTTCGCTCGATATACTTGTGTTACTTAGAGTTTACGGAGAACTTTTAACGGCAACGTGAAACTATACATGTAGATATGTTCGGAACTCTCCTCAGAAGAGATTGCCTGTTGTTCGATTCTTGTAGGCGACAATCCCCGTAAGGCCAGCAAGTCGACGCATTTTGGGTGGTAGCTTACGGGAGGTTCGACTGTATTGTTATGGAAAATTCTTACGTTTTCGTATCTAGATTAGGGTATAGAAGTATCCAATGACGAATCCTGCGTAGGTTAAGGGGAATACCACTCGTGCCCCAATGTCTATCTGGAGACCCAAGTTTGACGTGGCACTGGAAGCCATCGATGATCGATCCTCCATGGATTGGCTGCTTTCAGTTTCTGATAGTTCTTGAAGAATTAGCTCTGAAGACGTGTTAACTCGCTGGTGGCAAATGAGAGAATCTGTATTCTGTAACCTTGGAGATTTTGGCACTGTGGGGTGAAACTGAGTTCCGTTGGAATGTTCCTTTGAACCAAGGATCGATCCATCTGAGTGGCCCTGAAAATAACCAAAATATGAGATAAAGGAAACATCCCCCTATGTAAGACAATTGAAATTCTTGGAACAGGAAAATTTTCCTTTGTGGAATTCGGAAACCTAGTTGATCATTTGGTTTCCCTAATACTTATCCACTGGACAGTGATTTATCCAGTGGGTAGCTTTATCTAACGTTTGAACAACCAGGACCTGGTCCTTGGAATCAGGAATACAGCTCACCGACAGGAGTTCTCAATATTTTGGACGGCTGCCAGGCTATCCGTCCCTGGTGTTAGAAGATTGATTTGGATGTGGCTGTGGTCATGAGCGTTTTAACAAAAATGATTAGAGAACATTTTTTTTATTATAGGGCTAACCCGTCTGTAAAAACAGTTTTGATAGAAAAAAATTAAAAACAACAAAAGGGACAGCGGATAAGCTATAGATAGGTAGAAAAACCCTAGCGATAATCAGAGAAAATGAGATCATTCATTAATTTTGATTATGTACAATTTCCCTGAACCAGATCGAGAGGTCTTTCACCTTCGTCATTAATTTTGTGTTCTTTGCTATTAACTTGAATAAAGTAGAGGCTACAAGCGCGTGATCTCAGGTACTATATCAATACTATACTCAGCAATTACAGTCATATCCTTTATATTAAACAGGAACCTCATACCTTGTCGCCTTTCTCCTCTCTTTCTTTGCCCTGCTCATTCCGTTTAAAAGACCAATAGCTTGCCTTAAACGCCAGCGCCGATTCTAGAAGAGCCATGAAGATGAACGCGAAAGAGACAACGACATAAAGCTCAGCCGCCTTCATGTAGCTGACCTTAGGCATCCCTTGGCTGCTAAACTGAAGCAGGAATATTTCTGTTAAAACTGTTGTTATGCCCAGTCCCGCTCGGTCACCGATAGCTGTTACATCCATCCAAAACTGGATCCAAGAAGCTATGGTACATACTGTGCAAGGAAAATAAAACTCCATGATGTAATACTGAAGGCGACGTCTGATTTGAAATTCGGCGATAGCTGCTGTGTGGGTTCCTAGAAATTTACAGAAATAATTGGAGTTAATTTAAGTTCTACAGTTGTTTTCTCTTAAGAAGGAATATTTTTTAGCCTTAACGTAAAATTCAATGAACGCTGAACAAATTATTTGTTTGTAATGCGCAAGGAGACCATTATGAAAATGCTCAATTTGGCCTCACGACAGTCTTGGATTTTGGAATCCACGCTGAAAGGAAGCAAGAAAATGTACCTGAGGTACCTGTAATAAAAGAGGTGGCCTCCAATCTGAGAGTTTCTTTCACAACGTAGAATTCCGTCATATCCTTTTCTGTTAACGAGACTTTTGACCATCGATACATGACCTGGTTGTCATCATAACTGTCTGGGATAGGAGACAGACGCAATTTATTACGATAATATATAGGTTTAGCCAAGGCCAAAAGCGAATCTTTCGTGGGATCTTTTGAGAAAAGTCTTTCTGCATTGATTCAACATTTACCATTGTGGGATCGTAAGGTCCCTAATAGACCTCATTCACGATACCCGCCATCTTTGCTCGCGCCAAAGGTCTAACGGGATAAACGTAATGTCACGTGGTTTCTCAGGGGGCCAAACGAGCTATAATTTTGCCAGCGCAAAATTCGATCGCGGTCGATTTTGTTTTTTTCTAGACAACAGAAAACGAAGATCTTTTCACATTTACGGATAATAGCATATTCATATTGACTAATTTTGATGCGGAGTAGCGAACGAAGATGTCCTCACAGCAAACACTAGTCACGTAAATCTTTCGAAGCTTGAACGGTTCATTTTGCGTGACTATTAAATCGTCATCTAGTTTTGATAGAATAAACCAAATCGACCGCGATTACTCGTATTGGCAAATATATCTTTTGTTTGCCCCCTGTAATACTGCGTAACATTGCTTCAAGCCTAAAGCGCTGGCAAAGATGGCGTGCATCATGAATAAGGTCTATTAAAGGACGTTAGCCAAGAGCATTCCGATACATCACTCTTCGTCTCGTCGTATCTTTTTCTTTCTGCTGGGGGAAGGGGATTTTCTACTGCTACTGCTTGGGGTATAAAAATCTAAAATGACTTTCCGTTTGAGTTGTAGCGGTACCTTTCCACCCTTTCAGGGCTTAAAACCAAAACAAATAAATGATGGGAAATTAATTGTCACACAACTGATTTGTGGTACCTCTCTCAAACTTAGGTGTTGAAATGAATGGTAGCTGCGTCCACAAAGAAAAATTCTGATACCTTTCAGATATATTTTGGAAATTCTCCGACCAGCACCCCCCCCCCCCCTCTCCCCACCCCTCTTTATCAGGGAGTTAACCCCGTCGGGGAAGTTGAATCTAGAGCTCTAACCTATGGCTTTGCTAGCGTCGGGTGCATACTCTGTCAATAGAGGGCAGCCGTTTATTACTTAGCGTCCATGTATATAAAGACGCAAATGGAAAACATCGCAATAACTTCATTAAGAAACGCCTCATATAGAAATAGGTTCTACGATCCAAAAGAAGTTTACTCCTCCTCCTAGCTATTTTTTTTTTTGCCAGAAAGGCAAAATGAATATTATTCATATTAATAGTTATATGTAAACCAATGATGAACACACAAGCAGCGAATTGGATCCTCAAGGTCTGGACATCCATGGGGTAGCTGTGGAACTCCATATGGCTTGAAAGTGTTCCTTTAATCCTAAAAACAAAGTAAGTTGATTGATTAATAACATGTTATCGCCTATCACGAAGAACACCAAGGCTAAATAAATAACAATTTACAGGTAGCACATGATCCACCTATTGATTCTTCCTCTATTTGGTTCCTGGTCGAATTAGAATTTGAAAATGTTGGTTCTTGAGGAGAGGGGGAAAACCTGAGTATCCGGAGAGATAAACCTCTCGGAGCAGAGTCAATCCACATATGGTGTCGACGCCGGGATTTGAATCCGAGCCACACTGGTGCGAGACGAATGGTTTCACCACTGCCCCACCCTGGGTCCCTCGAGGAGTTGCTGATCGAAGTGAAAAAAAAGAAGGTTTTGCAAAAAGTGAGACTAAATCTGGCCTTGAGTTGTGTAACAAACAGCAGCGCCATGTTCAGATTATCTGAACCACATACTCCTCAAAGGCTCCTCAGCCTCGTTTGATAGCCGAGTCAATCAATCAAACTTACCACTCAGACATGAAAATTGTACCGTCCCCGAAAAGGTAAGCGGTTCTTGTCTTGTCGTCTACTTCATGTTTTCTAGAGTTTTCAATCATTGTGTCAGGATACCAAACCTTGGCCAGCGTGTTACCTTTTAGGCGGACAAACCATGAGGCGTTCCCATAAGCAAGTCTTGGATCCTTCCAGTTTTCTTTAAGCACGACCTCAACCTTGTATTCCTTTAAAGGAAAAAGTAAGTACACAGAAAGGTGCGACAAGTCGTTAAAAGAACTTTGACATGATTTTAACAATAAGTATTTTGTGGCGTCTAAAAACTATCGAACCTTCATTTGCGCCACTCTCGGGTTAAGCGAAATCCGCAAACATTTAAATTTTCTCACTCAAAGCCCTGGTCTATAATTATAGCGGAGCTCCACTTGCGCGAGCGGAGCCCCAAAGCTAAGAAAATTTGGTAATCTATCCATCCGAGAAAATTTGGTTATGACGTCAGCGTACGACCTTCCGTCCGTACAGACAGGGGAAAGGGAGTCAGGAGTCACCGCCGAATCGAGCGAGGTGCCTAAAATGCAAAATTTCACCTCAAAACGACTGGTCTTTCATCATAGCCCGCGAGATGGCCATGTGATATTTGTCAGCGCACACCTCATTTTGACAGCAGTCAGTTCATCTTCATACGGATGGCTTATATAACTGAAAGGCTAGTGTCAATTTGTGCAAGATCTTATGTGACACTTGACATGGGCTTAAGGAAAAAAAAAGAAGAAATAAAAAAAACAGACCTAACTATACATCGAATTAAACACAACAAAGGAAAAGAGTGTGTAGCAGCCAAAGGAGCCAAGCTTTCGAGTTGGCTACTACCACATAGCGGTTACAAGTGGGTGGAGGTTATACAGTACTACTACTACTACTACTACTACTACTACTACTACTACTACTAATAATAATAATAATGATAATATTTAGATTAAATAATTAAATAAATAGAACTAAGTAACAGATTAGAGTTGTTCAAGATGCCTGACTGTCAAGTAGAAAGAGTTTATATTCTTTTTTAAAACTATTCAAGGGGAGACACTTAATTTTCATAGGTGTTGCTTCCCAGGTCTGTGATGCCACTACACTAAACCTTGCTTGGGCATAACTAGTTCTGGAAAACGTTCTGCACAGGTTTTGATTAGTGGCATACCTAGTATTATAATTATGGACAGCTAAAGCCGGTTGAACTAAGTCATGGAGGGCAGGAGGTGTATCCTTTTTTTGATATTGAATTTTATGCACAAGAGCGCCAATTTTTAATTTAAAGATATTCTCTAACTTTAAGATTTCTAATAGTGTAAAGTACGGTGTGGGACTTTCTCTTTTATTTGCAGAGTAGATGCAGCGAATACAGTTATTTTGACTTACTTTGATTTTATTTAACTTAGTTTGGTATGCGGTACCCCAGCTCATTAATCTATACGTTAGATACAGCCTTAATTCATAATAAATTTTAAAGCAGATCCTTTGTATGTCGACGATGTAATTTTCATTTCTTATTCTTATATTTTGATTCTTATCAATTTTAACTAAGAGTTTATAGATCTTTTTATCAATTCGCTCAAGTTTGTTTGCTAATAATGTTAGGTTGTTATGATACTCCTTTTGTAGTATACATAAATCTATTTTTCAGGGCTCCTATTGACAATAGAGTTAGCCTTGACCCTGACGGGATTTTTCTGAATAAATAAAGGTGTTTATCTTATCTTAAAATGTCCGGACCTCTTCTCGGAAGAGACGTCCTGTTGTCGATTCTCGTAAGCGAGCATTAAAATCTTTCTATTTTGGTTGGTCGCTTACGAGAGGTTAAAGTGTATTCTGAATTCAATTCACCATTGTTGAAGGGTATCTTTTAATGTTAGTTCCATAATGCAGAAAACACAAGAGTTTGTTTGGCTTTTCTACCACACAAACAATTTGGACAGTTAACGTAGAAGATTAACATGAACCACAAACGACAAACTTTTATTAAATTTTCTTTCGATTGCCTTAACATTTCATTACGCGAAACAGTGGATTGTTATCCTATCTCATGTGCCTTGTCAGTAACTTTACTTATATTGTTGGTGGTATGGGTGATTTGGTTTGGGGAAGAGGTTTTTTCCCCGCCTCTGGAGACAGGTTTTTTCCCCGACATCTAACGGTGAAAGACTTTTCTCCAGCATTATACGCCACGAGAGATAACTTTTTTCAGTGCAAGATAAATTTTTACCCCGGTATTTCCTTGCAAGACTTATTTTTTCCTCTTGAAATCGGTCTGGAGGAAAAGATCCACGTTAAATAAAGTATCTTATCTTATCTTCCCTTAATTTTTAATTACCGGGTTATCCTGCCGCGGTCTTTATAGTGATCAAGTGCAGAAACAACTTCCTTACCATTTGTTCTTCCTTGATGTCGTGAAAAGAGTCGATAACGGCATACAAAGTCACATCAACTGGTTTTTCTAAAAGAGAAAGTACAAAACTTGGGGAAGTTAAAAGCACTGCTTTTAACATTTATTATCGTAAGGGATGGTTATAAGGGAAGTTCTCGTCGGGATTATTTAAAGCGCCTACAACGTAAAAACATTTCATTATTTAAGGTATTGCAACAGATAAAAACTCAAGCGGAGCTCCGTTGTACGTGATATTAGGTAAATTATCCACCCTTCCGCTCTTTTCTTTCCACTACTTATTATTCTATCATTTAGATAAAATATCATTTTTACCTCTGTAGTAAGGTCTGACTCGCTTGTCGTACCCTTTAAATAAGTTTTCAAGTATATATGTTTTGTTTGGTGCTTCAATTCGTCCGTTGAAAAGTTCCTCATGATTATCTTTTAACCTACAATATGCAAAGAAGACATGATTGAGCTCTAGACTCGAAGATAAAGGCATTTCAAGCAGCGTAAGCGCTTTCTAGCCACCATCTCGAAAAAAAGCACTAAAAGAAAAAGCCAAGAAAAAATATATAATGCGTTGTTTCGGGAGTCCATCACTAGCAGTTTGCAACTTGAAGAATAAGATCACCCACCCCTCGCCCTCCCAACCCCCGTTTTCATAGAAGCACTTTTGCTCCTTGTAAATCGGTCCTGAAGGTAAATTTCTCCTGCCACGTACTTTTTACATGTGTACGCTTATAAATATAATAGATAGAGGTATGAAAGGTCGTGCGCAAACGTAAAAATTGAACCTCGCTTAATTTTTACATTTACATGTGACACTTTATACGTTGCCTCTATCTTATTTACGCGCATATACGGACTTAAAAATTAACATACGCCACCGGGGAATCCAACCTTAGTTTAGTAGACTTGTGGAATTTCACTTCCCTATGGGATTAGAAGTATCGAATCAAATTTGAATTACTGCGGTTCCTCATTTTAGCCTTCATTTTAAGAACTCCATCCCTTTAGCCCATTAGCAATGGGCTCTGTTGCACTGATCCAATGTATGTATCTAGCTTCATTTCATTTTTAGTTTTGTTTTGTCTTTTGTACATTGCAAACAATGATCTGTTCCTCAGTTCTTTTGTTTTAAGTATTCGTTTTGAGTGGGTCTAAGTGGGGTTAGCCGTCAGCAGTCGAAAAAGGTTATTTTTTTGCCCTCAACCGTCAAAAGTGAAGATTAATTTTAATTGTCAAAAAGTTTCAAGGTATTTCGACTATTTCAAATCTCACTATTGAAGTTGATTTTCACTTTTCGACTTCTAACTCCTGAAGAATCTCTACGTAACTGGAAAGGGAAGGAAGCTCCCATACCTTACCTCTTGTTTATATCTGAAAATATTGTGAAATTTCATAAGTGAATGACCAAGACAACAACCAAAACACAACATTTAATATAATTTATACAGAAGTTAAGACAGAATCCACAAGGAAATCCACAAGGAAATTTTAATTTTAAGTGGACAAAAACCTTGTACCAGAATAATTTGAACAATATTGCATTCTTTTTTACATTTTTCAAATGCTAAAGACGTAATTAGCTATCTGTAATAAAATCCAAAAACATTTCTCATGGTAGTCTGAGAAAATAAATGTCAAATTGGGGAAAATGAATCTCAAATTGAACAAGACACAGTTAAATTCTGGAAATTTAATGTGTAAGATGTAATTTTGTGAAATTTGACATTCACTTTCTCGGGCTCCCATGAGAAATTTCCTTTGGTGTTATTACAGATAACTAATCACATCTTTAGCCCTTGAAAAATGTAAAAAAAAAAATGCAATGTGATTTAAATTATAATGGTAAAAGGTTTTTGTCCACTGAACGTTAAAATTACTCGATTTCCTGATGGGTTCCCTCTTAATATTGGAGCGCGCGATGCAGATAAGCTCGAAGCTTTAAATAAAAGAATACTTAGATTTATACTTGGAGATTACTCGTCTCCATACAACACTCTTCTCTCAAAAGTCAGCTCTACTTCTTTGTTTAACAAACGCATTCAAAATTTCCTCATTCTGTTATATAAGAGTTTGTTTTTCACTCATTTTCCTACTTATATGAAGAATATGTTTTCACTCCGGTCCTCTTCCTATGATCTTCGTGGCAACTACATTCTTTCACTAAGTAAACCTAAAACAACTACCTATGGTCTTAACTCCTTTTCTTACTTTTCAGCTAAGCAATGGAATGCACTGCCGGACTTTTTTCGTACCAGTTTTTTTGCAGACTTTAAGACTAAAATACAGGATGTTACCTTCATGTAGATTCTTTTTGCCTGACATACTTAAACTTAAAATTGTGAATTGTAAATGATATTTTCTTTCCTTGCATTTAATGTATATATATATTTTCTATATAGTTTTTATGTAGTGTCAGCTCGAAGATATTAGCTTGTTAGCTACCCTAAAATTCGAGTTTAAATAAAGTTTTATGTTATGTTATATGTTATGTAATATTTACTGTAACTGTTGGACTATTAAAAATAACTGTCAAACGTCAAAACCAGTCTGAATTGAATTTAACCGCGGTTAACCCTCACAATTAGAAAAAAATTAACCGTCAACCGTCAAAGCTACCGCCCCCCCCCCCCCATTGACACCCGCTTTTAAAAGCTACACCCATTTAGCCCATTGCCAAATGGTTTCTCTTACTCCCACTTATTAGCCAATACACTTAGTTTGGTTCGATTTTTCATTTTGTGGTGTGTTTTGTACATTGCAAACAATGAAGGGTATTTGGGATGGAAAAAGCGTGATGGTGCAATGAGTCAATGGAAACGACAGACAAGTTATGAAAACGCTAGAATTAGCATAAAAATGGTTCTAAAAAGACATAGAATTTCGCTCTGAAGCCCTGATTTCAAGAAATAAAATTTAAAGGCTTAATACTTCATAAAAACCGTATACGTGAGTATCATTAAGAGGGCTGTTTTTCCCAATATTTTGGGGATATTCTAAGTAACTTTGTTTTTTTGAACTGATTGTTTTTTTGAACTGATTGATGGCTTGATTTTCTTTGGAAATTAAGATAAATTGGAAAGCAGTAGAGTTCGCGCTTTTTTAAGTTCACTGTGATAAAATACGTTTATGAATACTTCCGTATACTTTCGTACTTTCGCCATCGAAATAAGGCCCAGTTCAGACGCTGAACGTTTCATGAGCCGAACCCAATACATTAAATTAAGTTCATATGAAAGTTCGTCTTCTGAACAATTGTCAAGGGTAGGCGATACAATTTGGAGCGGCTCAGCCGTTCATTCGAATTCCGCCTTACCCGTCAGGGAATTTCTCGACTTTGGAGCAACTTTGGAACGGCTTCAACTCAGATGCCGAACTTTTTACGTGCCAAAACTAACGCAAAAATCATTATAACGTATTTTGCGAGCAGTTTAACTCAGTGAGCGGTTTAGTTCGGCTGGAATTAAGATCGATGTCTGTATCAATTTCGCCGGTTTTAATAATTTGGGGTTGGCAGCAATTCGAATTAGGTTCGGCTAATGAAAAATTTAGCGTCTGAACCGGGCCAAAGCCTTATGTTTGGAAATGGTGACGGAAAATTCAAGTTAACGATTAACAAAGTAAAAGTAAATTCTAGAAGCAATGATCGGTACGTTATGGCGTATTCAGCACCCAGCTTCTTCAAGTTTAACCAAAATAAATCCGTTTCAGAATTATATTTACTTCCTGTCATCAAAACGTCGTGTTAGAAATGGCGATGAAAATTTTACGCATGAGTGAAGTCAAAGCCATAAAACAACTAGTCTGTCAATTTTATGCATCTTTCAACATATTTAGGACTTAGGAAAATAGCTTCCGGCTTTCTAAGTTTACCTTTGTGAATCTGTCCCAGAATCATATTCATTTTCACCCGTCCATGCCTTATTTAGCTTTCTTGAATATGCTGAGTATTTGCTTACTTATTTAAGAACATTGCACCCAAAATTACCCGACAATTTCGTAGATTTTAGTAACAAACTGTTCAGTGTTATTGGTGTGACTTCCTGTTGTTTGTTGCAATTCGAAAACCGAGATATATAACTACCATATCAAGGGTATTTCAATGCGCTCCTGTCGATAAGTAAATTGATATCTTAGACATATTATTTGGCACTGCAAAACAATTGAAGATGTCAATAGTTGTATCTTCCAGCTTCATGCATAACAGGAAATTATATGGCAAATCTCTTAAATTGACTTTGCCAGATCTACCACGGATAAGTACACTCATCTTTTGGTAATGGAAGATCTTCACTTATATTAGATAAAGAAGACGTAATTGTGGTTACACTTGAATAGCTTAAATTTCGAGGATCAAGGATGGCCTAATGGCCAAGGTATAAACAATCTTAAAGGAAAGAAAAAAATCTTAAATTAGCTTTAATAATTATGAATAGCAGACATAACATTAAAATTTTTTGAAAAAGTGGTAGGTTTTACAACCTTGGGGACTTATATTTTTAAATATGTTATCTAAGTAAGATGCTTTTTGGACAAATTTAATTAAATGAGATGCTAGAAGTCAACAAGCTGGATTCACTGAGAAAAACATCTGTATCAAATCTTACCCCTGATTGTCGCTTACTTTCTCTCCAACAACACCCAAAACTATATTTAACATAAAGCATATCAAAAAAGCGGCGAAGATTCCAGATGGCATAGTTCTCGCAGCAAAGATATTCCAGCTCGTAAAATCTCGAGTTTATTCTCGGAATAACCACTGAAGCCGGATCAAGTACGTTATAGAAGTCATCGACGACATACGCCAAACTGCTTATGTTTCATAACAGTTTAACTCGTGGCATTTTAACCTTGTGTCTGGGCCAATGGCATGATAGTTTCAAATCTGAATTATTTATGCAATTGAGATTTAGCATGGTCTGAACCAGAATAAATCTCGCCAGTGAGACGTGTTGTAATTAAGCAGGTAATAGCTTTCCATCAATTCTAAATGTAAACTTTTGATTATTGTGGTAAATAATAGCGTTAACAACGGTACGCTACGACGATTATGACTGACCATGATTGTGTTAGTATTAAGGAACTACCATTTCGAATTTATTGTGAGTACTTTGCGTATTACAGAACATGAAATAAACAAGCCAAACAAACTATTTTTTTGAATATTTTAATTCTCAAACATATTTACATTTTGTTTCACTGTTTTTGAAATACAATTTTGAATTTTGTCAATTTTGTGTGATTTGAATTAAACGCTATTCATAATTAATAACACTCAATTGTGATCTCGCCAATGTTTGAAGATTTTTTAACCTCTACTGAGGGCGGCGAACTTGCGTTCACTTGTACTGAACAGCAAAGCCGCACGATCTTTATATCAACCACCGATTTCAATGAAATGATCTCTAAAAAAGTGAATCATTAGCAAAAAAAGATAAAACT